CATAAATCGAATACTCATTTGGCAAACCCCACTTCCTGTTTGCCTCAGTAGCCAATGCTGAATTCTTCACAAGAATCAAATGTGCGAAATCAGCTTGAGTATTGGCAAATCTTCTTAGCATTTGTCCTGGTTTACTTCCACAGAGTGAAATAACATCCGTCATTGGATATCTCTTACCAATAATTCAAGAGCATAGCCATGTTGTATACTCATTGCTTTCACCATTGACATTGCATTTGTTTTCCTCTCAATTGGAATGGTAGAAAAAGTTGGCATAGCATACATAAGTGTTTGTCATTGTCAAAAGTAGTGAGTTTGAAAGAATCAAAGTGAGCAGCTTGCCTTTCGAATGTCCATGGAAAGGCATCCCGTCTTGCGTCGTCCATCATTAAGTGCCCATTGGATACAAATAACAGGGGTTTCGCAGTCAATGCTGCTTATTGTCTATATGCTACCAATGTTAGGAAGATCTCAAATGGCTTGACAAATGCTAACAAGGTCAACAGGATTTCAGATAGGGATCTTGGTAGGAATCAGGAAACGGTTGTAAGGCTCCTTTTGATATTGTATTTGTTCTAAAGCAAAGATGTATAGTTGCGATCAAGAATAAAATACATACCTGCTTCATTATTCTCTTTAAATGTGATTGGGATTGCTAAATTGCCAAGGGGTGTGGCATTCATAGCATGCACTAGAAGTAGTTTGCCATCTTAAAGAACATTAGAATAATGCTGTTGAAAATTGCACTATTCCAAAAAGTAGCTGCACCACCTACAAAAAAATAAAAAATCAAGGGAACATACATCACTAAATAGATTCATCGGGCTGTTGTCACCATCATCATCACCTAGGTCTTCAATGTGGTCATCCTCATGGCTCCCAAAGCTGAATATCGGGTTATCTTCTTGCTCAGGGTTTGTGTCAAAAGTGATGAGTGGGTCTTCATCTTCTTGCTCAGGCTCCGTGTCAAAGCTATTAAGCAGGTCAGATGGGGCATGCGGAGTAACTATTTGGGGAGCCTGATGCCATGCATGATAATCCTGCTCCTGTAGTCTGATTATGATTCTTCGACATCCATTCAAAGTGAGCTTGTAATACACTTTAACTGGGTATAGAATTTTTTAAGGTGGATGTTGTAGTTTTTGTTTCGCTTTCCTACCATGTTCTCGCTATCAACTTTTTCTGGAACTTTTGAGTGGAACATACAGCTTTGCAAATAATACTTATCAATGATGGAAGAATGGTATTTGTATTCACCCTTAAGAAGATTGGACACCATTACCCATTGCCTTAGCTCATCATATATAAGGAACGTATCCTACTGTTCCACATTGAAATGCGCACAATATAGATGAAATTGGGACGAGAGAAGAGTAGAGCGAGGCTCAATAGTAGTATGATTTTCATTTATTTCATTGAGTACACCTATTGTTATCTTTGCTGTTGTCTTGGGTATATGGGCAGCATCGATGGCCCGGATTGCAACATGAGGGCATTTCACCTCCATAAACTCGCTATACTTTACACATCCATATCCTCTATCCGTGTATGCGGCGATCGGCACCTCAAGAGCATCAGCTGCCACTTGATAGCAATCTTGGTTAAACCAATGAGCACCCTTGCAGGTACATCTTGTAGAGAATGAAGTGGTAAGCTCATCAAGTAAATTCTTTACTTGACGAGCACTTGGAGGTGTGTTGCATCTTTGGACGTTGTCGGGTTGGCCAATAAGGGCATGTTTGCCTTGGTCTTCATAACTTTTAGCCTCTTCAATGGCTCCTTTACTGAACCCGAGCTTCAGAATTTTGTACACATCTTATATCTCAATCATGCATAATGTGTTGTAACATATGGAAGCTAATAAATACTCATAGCTCTAATGGATGAACCATTGACAAGTATGCACCAAGCATCATTGCAACATCCAATGGTACAAAAAGCGAGCATTATAATAATCCTGGTGGGAACGCTCTCGAGACTTGTTATAATGCGATAGCAGCATAATCGTCTTGTGGGCTTGGGACCAGAAGATGTTTCGCTCATTCCAGAACGAATTATCCACTCGAAGCTGAGCGAGCTCTTCGCCACGACTTGGTTGGCCGTAGGTCAAGGTGATAAAAGCTAACTTGCAGCAACATCTTGGCCTTGGCAAATGGGAATTTCTCTTCATCACCTTCAACCATTTTCGTTAGCACACGAAAGCCACAATAACCATCGCCTTTGACATTGATTGCACCATTAGTAAATCCAAGAGGGGTTTGACGATTGATATCAACGTCCAAGCTTTATATATAAAAGAATGAATCAGCATACATACATGCATAACATACACCAGGCGATTGGTCTACTACCATGATGAGACCTTGCTCTTTACAGATTTCCGCCTATGTACGTAAAGGCTTGGGTGTAACAGTGGTCTTCTTGGGGAGGTAAATGTCATCCTTCATATGAGCGATGGCTCTAACGACCGCTGTTGTGGGCACAAATAAAGGATAAAGGAATAGACACAAGGAAAGATACAGTGAGGCTGTTAACTACCGAATTATTATGAAAAGAAGTGCCCTATATACTTGTTACAGAGAAGGGGAATGAGTGGTATGTAAGCTGTATTGTAATTATGACTGGACCAGCCCTTGATACGATGATGGATTATGCATGAATGCCACACATGCATCTCCTGTTGATAGTGTTCTCTGCCAAATAGCACTTACCTGGTTCCTTTGCGTAATCGGGGGTATCTTTCAGGAGCTTTGATTTGCTCGCAGCGCCGTTGTTGTCACGAGTTGAGTATTAGTCGAGGCTGTAGACATAGCAATGCATGTATCCTCCGATGAGAATTAATCAAAGACTAAGAATTCATTTCCAACTACCTTTATGCTGGGCTATTTTCCCTATTATTGTTCACGATCTTAGAGGCTGCGATACACTAGAACAACCAAATAAAACAACTCAAAATGAATACTACTACTCATACAAAGCAGGTGGGGATGACAACTGCTAGGGAGCTCTAACATACCAACAAAGGGAGGCCAAAGGGGAACTTGTGTGTGAAGGTGTATAGATATCGATAATGTGGTAACTCTGCTAACTACTAATGTGATACGACATATAAGATAAATGTACGCCGTTCGTGACAAAGGACCTCTGGCTTGCGGTACATACGATATATACAGGGATTCGATTCTGCTTTGGCAGTCTTGTGCCCTGCTAGGATCCAGGTATATAGCGAGGAAAAGAGCTCTTTTATTTACTTTGCTGCAAGATAATGTTTTATACTAAAGTAGGATGTCTGGTGATCGATTATGCATAGGGGGTATTCATGTCTGGACTTTCTATAACCATCCTCAACACTATGAACCACCTAAAGGACCGCATTGCTTTTCCTTGGCTGCTCACTATGCGGAGTTCACTTCAAATGTTGCCAGCTACCTCAACTACCTGAAATCTGCATTCACGAGTGCGTATGATTGTGATATTTTTTAAGAACTTCGATAATGAGCAATGTTACTAGAACAATGAAAAGAACACATACAGGAACTGTACATGAATGTGTATGTGGAATTTGGGAAGCAGCAGAGGAAAAGGCAACCTCTTCTCTGTTTATGCAACCCCTGTTGATCCGGTTGTAGTTTTTGCCCGTCTCGTGATTTCTTTGTCTCAATAGCTAGCATGCATGATTCCTTTTAGTATTTAACCCCATTGCTACCCATTGTAGTTTCTCCCCTCTTATTGTCTTCTTTTCCCTTTTGTCTTTGGGATCTTTTTAACTATCTACTCAAGTCCTTTCTTGTAAGCTGCAAGTGCAACCCTTGTGTTCAACTATCATTGTTTCTCACCTTTAGCTCTTTGTTCAGCTATCTGTTTTATACCTCTCTGAGTCATTTCTTTTACGTTTTTCACCCAATTCTTCAAACTATCATATTCTTCTGGTGCGTATTACTTATTGTCATTGCTGCTTATCCATGTTATTAACAAATCACTCAGGTGGTTTATTTTATATCATTAAATTCAGTTGTATACGTTTTACTGTGCAATCATGTGCGGGGCATTTAAAGCTGGAAGGTGTACAACAATCTCACATGACCGCACCAGAGCCTACCCCCTGTCTACTATGCTAGCAACGACTACGCCAGACTATCACCACCAAAGAACAAGCAATTGTATGATCCTCGTCAGCTGAAAGTAGCTGCCAAGCAACCTGCCCATGATGTCGACTTGTTAAGAAAATTAATTATCCAACATGATGGATCGATTGCAGACCTCAGTAATACCAGCTGTGAATGCCGTAACTGAGAAGTCAATGCCAAGTGGTGATTCTCCTATGGGATGATGCTACAATTGTGGTCAACCAAGCCATCGTTCTCATGTTTGTGATTATGATGGTTGCTATGCAACAAGGCAAGGTTAATTCAGGGAGCAGGCTCAAGCAATGAAACAGGGATAATAAGAAGGCTGAGATTAAGGTAACAAGGATCAAGGACAAGGAACAAGGTATGAACAAGAGCTGCAACAATGACAAGAGCAAGACTATAACAGAAAGGGTGGCCATTAGGTACATGATCACAACACACCTGTGCAAGATCACGTGCCGAGTAACAAGGCAAGGATAAAGATCAATGAGCAAGATATCAAGGGCTAAGACAAGGTAAGGGCAAGAGTGTACAAGATTGGCACAAGATAATCAGACTGAGGTTTATTGAATCTGAATGCTGGCTTATTTATACAAAGGAGAGGAATGATAGGAATGAAACATCAATAAAACATGTGAACTGTGACATTTATGCATCATACCAAGGGCTGGTCCCGATACAATCATAACATCTGTACATACCATTCATTCTCATTCCTATTCTCATTCTTCATAATTTGTATATAAGGACACCCATTCATGTAATAAATCGGTAGTTAATAGTCTCACTGACTCTTTATTGTTCCCTTTTCTCTTATCTTATTACGTGTCCACCACATTTTTTTTTCAGTGAATTCTTTTTGCTACCGATATGGCTGCCAACAACAACCAAGAAAAGACCCCTGCCTCCTCAAGCTCTGCTGGTCAGCACAACAACGACAACAACTCCCATGAACCCGTCCAAGATCGTATGAAGCGATTGTCATTGCAAAAGGATGACATGGATGTGGACGAAGAATCCCAAGCTACGCCTAATCAAAACAACAACTCGTATCGAGAAGCTATCGATACCATGCAAGGCCTTGAAGACCAAATTCAGGAGAAACTTGTAGCCTTTCGCATCACTATCAAGGAGAAGCAAGCACCCGAAAAGCAAACTCAAGCATTCCAAGAATTGGCAAATCTACGCGAGCGAGCGGAAGAATACCGCAACATTTGCAAACAACAATACCCTGGCCGAATCGAGTTTTATACATGGGAAGAAGTACATCAACAAAAACAACCACCTAGCAACAACTCGAACGAACACATCGTGCCCAAAGAACTCCCGGCGTTGCAATGTATTGGAGGCGACCATTGGCATCCCACCAAGGCTCTTCACTTGTCAACCGAAATGTTTGCAAGGGCTTTCGAGAACGAGCTCAATGCTGCTGGCCTGGATTACGACAAGCACTGGAGACGCCTGTTGCCCAAGTGTTTAAGCGATGCACAAAACATTTGGCTGACAGCTGAAATAAATGAGAACCCTGATTTGACTTGGCAAGAAATCCGATCTCGACTAGTCACCAAGTATGATACACCGGAACAACAACTCAGGAGCATGGAAATCGTTTTCAACATGAGACAGCAACCTCAAGAGGATGTGGGCACCTATGCTCGTCGTTTCCACCAAAGGTGCATTGAAACAGGCTTGGATCAATATCACAGACCAATGATCGTGGCGTTGCTCTCTTCCCTACGCTGCAAACAAGCTGCCTACAACTTGGTATCCACAAGGTTCGCCACTGGGTTCACGCAACAAACATTGGAATCGATCGTACAATACATTGCTGGTTTACAACTTGACCAAGATACAAGACGTGTGCATGAAGGTCCGACAACCTATGAGCCACGCATGAGATATGAGGGTACATCATCCCGTGAATCTCATTCCAGACATACCAGACCATATCACAATCGTTCACCTAATCGAAATCCAACATGCCAATATTGCAATCGATCTCGCCTACGCGGCCACAAATGCAACGAATTTCGCCTAGCGAACAATCTTCCTCCACTACCACACTTACCACCAGCTCAAACAAAGATCAATCGCTCAGCAATGATCGTCGATACTACTTCTCTCAATGACGCTCTTCCATGTAAGCCATCTAAAAACACAAATGATGTTGATGAGATCCTAATACCAGTGACCATAGAAAACAAACGCATCCATGCCTTATTAGATGATGGCGCAAATTTTTCGGCAGTAGATAAAACGTTTTGTGATGAAAATGGAATAAAGATCATACCTGTAAAAGGACATATACAACTTGCCTCTGCTGATACAAAAGTCGCCCGTATTGGAGTAACTGAAGAGCTGGATATATGGTACAACAACCGCCACATAAAACATTCGTTTGAGGTCATGCAACTTGCTCGTGATAAAAAGGCTAGCATTGGAAAGAACCTCTTCAATGAGTTTGGCATTGGGTATACAGGCCTCGCATTTACTTGGAAAGACGATCTATTGGAAGAAGCAGAAAAAGAAACAAATGACGAACCTGAGACACTAAACGCGCCTGCCGGCACACCAGAAGAACAAGCCACGTTCATGTCACTCGTGCAACCATGCATCGATAAGAATGGCGAAGTAGACAAATACGCACTATGCCCACTGCCACAGGCTGTTATCAATATCAATACCCCTGATGATGTATACTGCTACAGAAGACAATATGACATACCGTACAACATGAGACCTATAGTTCAAGAGTGCATCGACAAATGGCTCGAAAGTGGCACCATCGTTGAAGTCCCAGCAGATGCGGACAATCGTTGGAATAGCCCGCTAACCTTAGCACCAAAGAAAGACTCAGAGGGAAAATTGACAGGACATAGACCATGCCTAGATCCTCGCTTAATAAATCAGTATCTTGAAGATGACAACTATAGCTTACCTCTTATTAATGAAATCTTTGATCAGCTTGCTGGAGCTTCTATATACACTACCCTTGACCTAGCCAGTGCCTTTCATCGCTTCCCAATTAATCCTGCACATCAGCATAAAACCGCATTCACTGCTCCAAATGGTACACGTTACATGTTTAGAGGCTGCCCATTTGGCTTAAAGCCTATCTCAGCAAAATTTCAGCGTGTCATGCACATCATATTTCGAGATCTCCCATACGTCACAACCTTCGTAGACGATATCATTGTATACTCTCACACAAAAGAGGATCACGCACAACACGTTATTACAGTAATTAATCGGCTCACAGATGCCAATCTCATCCTTCAACCTAAGAAATGCTTTTTCATGCAAAAGTGTGTCAATCTCCTCGGTTTCTGCGTCGACAAGAATGGTCATAGACCCGATCCACGTAAAATCACAAATGCACAATCTTGGCCAATGCCGCGTACCTCCAAAGACATTCAAGCATACCTTGGCTTCATCAATTACTTTCGTGATTACATTCCTTACATCGCTGATATCACCAAGCCGCTGCATGAACTCCAATTTTCCAATAACGTTGCATCCCAATGGAATGAACGGCACACACAAGCCTTTAATTTACTCAAACGTGCATTATTAGAAGCACCTATCCTTAGCTACCCCAATATGAATGAACGATTCCACGTTGCGACCGATGCATCGAACGTTGGTATAGCCGCTGTATTATATCAAAAGTATAACAATCGCAAACACGTCATCTCATACATGGCAAGAGCCTTAACCAAATCAGAAAGAAACTACATGATCACCAAAAAAGAATTGCTAGCTGTGATTTTTGCTCTAAAGAAATACCACAAATACCTATGGGGAAATAAATTTACCCTTTACACAGACCATAAAGCATTAACGTATCTACATCACCAAAAAGAGCTCAATTCAATGTTGACCAATTGGTTTACCACGCTATACAATTATAAGTTCGACATCGTACACATTGCAGGACGATTAAACGGCATGAGTGATGCCTTATCACGCCTCTTCCATGAAGGCCATGACGACCTCACACATAATACATTGGATGCACACGAAGAGAATCACACTAAAATAAGTCGAGCAGCCGAGCTAATCGCCGAAAACACCTTAATACCACCTGAGAATGAACGACCACAAATACTTGAACAAGCCCACCTATTTGGCCACTTTGGCGCTAATGCAATTGTACAAGCCATACATAATAACGGCCTACATTGGCCAAATTTAAAGCAAGAAGCTGTCAACTTAGTAATGCAATGCCCTGAATGTCAAAAATTCAACATAGCTCAAAGAGGTTACCACCCACTCAAATCCATTACAGCTGAATCACCAGGAGACCATTGGGCCATGGACTTAGCCAACTACGAATTATCAGAAAAAGGCAACCGCAACCTACTTGTTCTCGTTGACATGTGTACACGTTTCTGCATCCTACGTCCTTTACCAGACAAAGAAGCTACCACTATCGTAAACACCCTCGTACAAATCTTTTGCGACTTTGGCCTCCCTAAAATCATTCAGTCCGACAATGGCAAAGAATTCGTTAATGATCTCATGAAACGTTTTGCCAGAGCATCAGGCTTTGAACATAGACTTGTACTACCTTATCACCCACGTGCCAATGGCTCTGCAGAACGATGGGTACAAAAAGCTACGTTGTGTATCAAAAAGGTGTTGAAAGGAGCCACCACCAATTGGGATTCATATGTACCTGCTGTCCAACTTGCTTTGAATGCCAACGTTACATCACGCCATAAGACCCCACCATTCACCCTCATGTTTGCACGAAGGCACAATGACTTCAAAGATTATACCAATATACCCGACTCCGAACCTTTGTCAGAGGAACAATTACTTGAACGCATACATCACATGAAGGATATCGTATTCCCTGCCATTCGGGAAAGCACAAAGACTATCACTAAACGCCAAGAAGCATACTTCAATCGAAAACATAAGATGACACAATATAATATCGGCGATTACGTGATGGTTCGCTCTCCTGAATTATCTAGCAAATTCGATGCCACATACAAAGGCCCTTATCAAATCATCAATACCACCAATGCAGGGACGTCGTATGTCCTTAAAAACTACGAGGGGGAAATACTCCCTAGAAATTATCCGCCACAATCGCTCAAACCAATACAAGTACTAGAGCATATACCCGCTGATGAGATATACGAGATTGAAAGCATCGTTGGACACAAAGTGCATAAAGGAAACTTCTTGTATCGAGTGCGTTGGAAAGGCTATTCGGAAGATGACGACACTTGGGAGCCACCTCAAAACTTTAATGATCCATCCTCCATCACCACATATTGGAGACGAAGAAACGAAAATCCCCAAAACATCTTAGAACGGCTCAATCTCAAAAGAAAAAGTAGCAACCACCCACATGCAAATAAGAAAGCACGATACCACCTCCGTAATCATCAAAGCTATTAAGCTTTTCCACTAGGCTTTACAGCCTCGAGGGGGGCAAATGTGACATTTATGCATCATACCAAGGGCTGGTCCCGATACAATCATAACATCTGTACATACCATTCATTCTCATTCCTATTCTCATTCTTCATAATTTGTATATAAGGACACCCATTCATGTAATAAATCGGTAGTTAATAGTCTCACTGACTCTTTATTGTTCCCTTTTCTCTTATCTTATTACGTGTCCACCACATGAACAAAGCATCCATGATGGTCCACATGATGATCATGACAGTGATAAACCATATGTTTGCTTGTTTGCATGCATGAAAAAGAAGCGTGCATGATTTGGAATCATAATGCAGCTAAAAAAAAGTTGCCAGCAATCAGTGATAGAAAAAGTTGTACCAAGCCGTATGATTAACAAAATGATGCATGGATGATACGTAAAGGGGTGGTGTTAAAGAAAAGCTGGCTACATAATGTGATCCAGTGTTTTGGATGGGTACACGAGATGGGCGCAGCTGATTAGGGTGATACAAGACATCCGCAGCAGTTGTATATAAACAAGATCCATGTAGCATCATCCTACCTTTTGTCTCTTTTATGTTGGCAATGGCCAATGGTAGCTTTGCTGCCATTTTCCCACACGAAGTAACCGGTTACATTTTCTCACTCCTTTCTCAAAAAGATCGTATACAATGCATCCATGTATGTCATTTATGGCGACAAGGTGTCATCTATTGGTGTGATCAAGCATGGCGTACGACTCAATTACGACTATTTGACATTGACAGCATGATCGCTTGGCTCGCTGACGTGTCACCTATCATTCATTGTTTGCATATTGATTCAACGTTGGACCCATCCTTTGATGCTGCAGACATCCAGGAGGCTGTTCATGGTGACACAGACATCGAAGACAGCATGCGTAATCAACAACATATACCCGCTGCGAAAGAAATACCCACCCACCTAAGCAAATTGCTATCCATACCCTTTGATCAACTCAAATCTATCCGTAAGTGACATGCACTTTTTTAAAATGTGTACAGGGATCATGACACAAACATGCTTTATAGGTTACGATACAAACGGGGTGAATGCTGAGATATTACAATGCTTGATTCAACTCGCAGGAAGCAAGGTGCGCACATTAAACATACAAGCCATTTACCAATTCATGTCAAAGAAGCCTCTTTGTGTTGCCTGGATCCTTGATCAATGCCCACAATTGGAAACGTTCATTGATTCGGAATCTGTGTGCGAGTTTGTTGTAAAGGATAAAACATCCTTGATACCATGTCGTCTTGAGAATTTGGATTTGGCACGTCAGCGATTTGACAGCAAGGAAATCATGTTTCTTTTAACGAAATGCCCATGTTTACGACGTTTACGATTGAGTTGTTGGTTTACCATTTCCATGTCCCCGATAATTATGCTTGAAAAATGTCCACGATTGGAATCCTTGGAATGGTGTCATTTACGATACGGCAGTCCATCTTTTTATCGGCCTGAATGGTGGCGGCGTCGTCAAGTTACGTATGCATTGGATGATGAACAACAACTATCGTCTACACCTAGTACTGGATTACGACAACTTGTAATGGATAACGTTTATGACACGGACCAATATGCTTGCATTAACACCATCATCAATCGACACCATGCAACGTTGACAAGGATATCCATCACATTATACATGGACGTCATGCGATCGCGTGAAAGTATCAACCCAATCCCAATGAACCTTGAACGATTGGACTATCATTTCCATCAAGGAGCACAAGAGGAGATTGAGTCATTTATACGTCCTCTGGTTGAACATTGTCATCATCTCAAGAGCCTTTCCATTCGCACCGATTTTCGTTATGCGGATCCCAATGAAGTTGTGTTACCACGATGGTTTTTTGTTGCCATGGCAACCTTGCATGCATTGCAGCATTTGGCGATTGAAGTGGATAATGACGCCGATGACATGGTTCATTTTCTTGAAGCTGCAGCCGATTGTTCAATCCCATTGGCATCGCTTTATTATCATGGTGATTGGATGACGTTGCCATGCATCGATGCGATTGGCAAGATAAACACGTTACGATCCCTTGCATTGAGTACGCATGAAAAGACCTTGGATACTTTTGATGTCTCCATCCTTACTGGCCTTCAACAACTACCGCATCTTGAATCACTCGCGTTTAAGCATCATGAGAATGGGTTCTTCCAGTCACCCGAAGCATTTGATTGCCTTTATCAATTTCCTTGCTTGAAACAACTCTTTATTTCCATACAAGATGGGTTTAATGTGGATGGAATACGACATTTGGCTGATCGACAACCTCCTTTGGAAGAGATAGTGCTCTTGGATTTGACGGGTGATTGTAGCGAAGAGCTTGAATCTTATGGTTTGGAGGAAGCATTGGATTACGCAAGAGAGAAAATAGCTAATGTACAAGGGGGTAGAGTATGTCCTGAATGTGATCATCATACTAGAAAATACGACATGTAATGTATGGGATGGATAAATAAAACAGTGTGGCACCCCTTTGCCTTCAATTTCATTCTTGCCTTTTTCTCCTCAAACTCCATTCCACGAACAACATCTTGACCCCAGATTCCTTCTCACCCCCACCACCACGATGCATTGGACGACGACGACATGTGTATACCACCTTCAGCACAATGACCACACAGCTTGATCTGGCTTTCTCGGTTACAATCTACAAAGTAGGTAGGATGGGCTCATGTTGGCATACAGGGAACACGAGGATACCAACGTACAGCTATGACACCTTTTTCACAAGTACAAAGGAAACATCGACATTGGGTAAGTGATTCATCCATTGGATTCAGTCTACAACAACAACAATGCGAGGGGTCGTTTGCATCTTTTTCCTTCGTTGATGGTATACAAGCATGCAGCAAGGATGTGGATTCTTTTGAATGCTGATTGCGATGGTATTGGATAAGGATGGATCGAGATGTATGTGCACATATCGAGGAGACGAGACTGGATTGCCCAAGTTTTATTACGAGTAGAAACGCCCCCATCTGTCGACCTTACATTTTCAAAACCACGTCTCCATGCAACATTGGATAGGATACTTAGCTAGTGGATTGTGCTTATAATACGGGGTTAGTGAAGGAGATAGCAAAACCAATCATTCAGAGTATAGCGTTGAATAAAGGTTTTGGATTGAAATGAAGATGACAAGAGCCATCCGATGATACCATATCCATGTTGAAAGGAAAAAGTGCTCATGTATAGGTTGAGAGAGCTTGTTTTATAATTATCACCCCATGCCCATATTCCAATACAAAACACCCTGTTGATGTTATGGTTTTTCAATCATCCATATCTGCCAATCATCATTGTATATAAAACCCCTCGATCATACACTCCATCCCAAGAGTTTGTGCTTTACTCAATCTCAACGATATTCAACATGGGCTATTTTGGTGCGTAGCAATTCTAGAATGTAACCCTTGACCGGAACATCGAGTACAAGTGATTGCAGCTTTGGGAACTTGATGAGGCTGAGGAGATCTTTGTCTGTCATGCTTGTTGCACGAAGAATAAGACTTTGGATGGTAGGATGAACATGGCAGGCTGAAATCGCGCCATCCGGTATATCTGTAAAAGTAAACCGCAATACCAAGCTTTCAAGTAGAGGTAAACCTTGAGACAATGCTGAGATGATCGCTTTAATGTCACTAGGAGGAACGCCAGAAAATATGATGATTTTCAACGATCGCAATTGTCCAAGGTGGGTGAGGGGAATCATCCACTGAGAAAGATTGCTGATTGATATTTCCAGTTCTCGCAATGTCGAACGATTTCCAAGTTGAACGTGATGCTCGATCAGGCGGCAAAATGATTGGGAATGATAAGACATAGGCATTACAGAGAGTCTTTGTAGATGTGAGAGCCCTGTGATAGCATTTATCAAATCATCATTGTTTCCCCCCGCCAATTGATGTGCCATGATCGTACGAAGATGAGGTGCATGGCGGATGATCCATGAGGCAAGTGGCAGAATGGAGTCGTTATTCGATGATACATAGAGTTGGCTCAATTTTCTCAATACGAGTTGCGACTTGGATGAAAAGATTGCTGTGTCATCGTCTTCCACCGAGTCTCCCCTCAAATCAAGCTCTTGAAGCGATTCACTGTATTGTGCCAAGGTCGAAACGATTACGTCGCTACTGTATTTTGTACCATGGGGCCCTATTGTCAGCTCTTGTAATCCTTGTTGTTGATTATCCTTGACAAAGTGCGTGCTGATGTTGTCGCCATATCGTATCACCTTCAACTTGGGGCAGTGCTGATGAATTGTGGGCAAAATTCGTGAATCAGGCATTGGATGCACACAGAATGTCAATAATGATGGGAGATGGCTGAGGATATTCTCCATGCAGTTGTATATATTAGAATCACCGATGATGTCGAGCAGTCCCAAATGCGTCAATTTCGGATAATCATGGGTCAATGTCAAAGGAGTTGCAATGTCCAACCATTCCATATCGAAGCTCACAAGATGCGGACACCTATCCAAGATATCGCTCATCAAATGGATCGCATCAGCTGATTCAATTCGCTCAAAGAAGAGAGAAATCTTCAAATGTGTCAACGTGGGACTCATCGAATCGAGAAACAGAAACATATGCATTCGATGACCTTCATGAGCCAGTATGAGATCAACATTTCCACCATCATGGATGTTACTTACAATCAAGGTCTAGATGTCGAATTGCTGGAAAATGGGCCTTGACTAAAAGATCAACGACATCATTGGCCGATTCCTCCACAGGAGTACGCTTTACGAATAATGACTTGACATAGGGAACATATGCCTCTACTGATTGCTCGAATTCATTTGGCGTCATCATGGATCTGTCAACTACCAATGTCAAAATATTGCATTGCAAGATACTTTGGCGCCAGGTGTGTGACACTGATAGCAAAGGAGATAACCGACCGAGGGTCGTTTCCAATGGATCAAACAGCAATGGGATAAGGGTGGTCGCAATGATATCCATAGGGAGTCGACTGATAAAATCAACGCGTTTGGTATCCTCCTCCTTCAAAGCATGAGAACGGCATTGGCCAAGCTGCGTGTAACAAGGATCGCATGAAGGCACCCTGTCAAGACCTTGATCATACATCATCACGGCTGCACGTTGTCGTCCCTGCTCCTGATAAATGCTGCCTGCTCTCAAATACCCCAACGAGGATCCAGGTGCTAGTGTTCGCATCATGGCGGCATCGCGTAACGCAAGATCGAACTGGGCTCCACACGCCAATGTAGTTGCTCGCTCATCAAGTTTCTCCATCAATCGGGACAAAAGCTGGCCAATGTCATGAGTTGCTGCTGATACAATGGTGTCGCCTTGTCCGTGATGGGCACTGGTGACAAGGACGTCTTCATACTGAACGCTGATAGTCATGGTCGTGAAAGATAGAAAGCTGTTGATTTTGCATTCAAGCATGTATCTTCTTTTTGCATATTGTGTAACCTGCCCAGATGTTGTAAATACCATTCCCCTTCCCGCCTTGATGGTGAAAAGCACAGAGACAAGTTGAACGTGGCATAGCCTTTCCTGATTTATCGATGATAGAGCAAAGCAGTTTAATAAAGACCTTTGATTATACAGGATTCTAAACTCGACAACGACACATCCAAATACATAACGTGACATACAAGTCCTTGTTTTATACAACCAATATTTGCAAGCTAAAATACGTTGTTTTCATTCCATGAGCGTGTATCTTCATGTAGCCATCTATCCCAATTGTTTATTTTGTATAAAACGTCTCCTACAATGATTGAGTAGAGGAGATAATCACAACCGGATCACTTTGTCCCTCTATCCTTATTCCTCCATTGAACGCCAATCAAGGTGGTGTTGTATTGCATAAAATGTACAAGAACATGTTTCAGAGTGGGTGAATAAACAATCGCTGTGTATGGTATGAGGTAACGCGGGTGCCATCCATAATACTGCATCATCCTTGATCCTTCAAACCTCACAAACGCATAGCCTTTCTTGCCTATAGATGCAATCCAGCACATTGTCCTTGATGTTGTCCATTCCGTAATTGTCTTGAGCATCCTTCAACAGCCACTCATCCATGCAAACATGCTGAGTAATGTTTTGTATCCCACATGGCGATTGCTGATCGATGGAATCCTTGGCCATTGTGATATGGTCATCAACGCCATCCACCATCATGCATTCTTATTAATCATTAACATGGTGCATATGATATCCAATCTCTTGTACCCTAGTTTACCTTGATGGAGTCGGTGGTGGATCTCTTAAAGAGAGCAAGTCATGGTTGTTGGGAACAGACAAAGCTGCTGCTACATAGTATTGTTAGCATGTTGTAGCACTACAGCCACTCACTCGCTTGTGGAACTGGTTGCTAGGGTCTTGACAGGCAATTCAAGTAGGGAACGTTGCCATGGCATCGTGGTTTTCCTTTGTTGTGACATGGTCGCAGCAGAGACCTGATGATGTAAAGGTAGCTTGTCACCTTGAAAGGGATTGTTTCAAGAAAGCAGTGGGAAGCGTCATTGTCCGGTCGAAGCGAAATGCGGTTGGAGACGGAAGAGGTGAAAACAAAGAACAGCCAAACTCGGGTGCTGCCACCATTATAACCGATTGCGTGTTACACGAGCGCCGCCGCCACATTTTGTGAACTATGCACATGAACAAAACACCCCTGGCCAGTCATCCAGATGCATCGAACATCGCGTGTACGACATGCTGGATGCATTATCTCTTAGCTTGGATAGCATGTGTTCAAAACCCTCCTCTTTACATATAAAAGAATAAGTCTCTATCAAAGCTTGTCAGTAACATCACCATCTTACCTATGGGGTTCTGTCCTAGTCATTTATCATCCACATAAGTAAAACGCCCTATTCGCTATCGCGATGTACATTATCCACGCCTGTCACACATTATTGTGTATGTTTATTCTGATGCAAATGTTGTCATGGGAAAAAGGAAAGCAAAGCTGTATATGAAATTGTAGATAGGAAGAACTTGAATGAAACCGTATGACCTTCTTTGAAGACGCCTACACAGGTGTTAAGCAGCTCCAGCAGCAGTCTGATCGCTTCCAGATGTTGTGACCTTATCGCGGCATGTAGGCATCATAAAACCAGTGAGCGTTGGAACTGAAGAAATGGCCAATAAGAAAGCTGTTATGAGTATACATGGATTATTAGGAAGATAGATGACTCTGCTTACTCTCTACCACTTCGCATTCTGGCATTTTTCTACAGTACTTTTCCGAAGTACCCTCACATTTTGCTTGAGAGAGAGGCGCCAAGGCGGCAACAGCAAAGACAAGAGATAAAATGGAAAGACGAGTGAATCGCATCTTGAATGGGTAGAGAAGCCAGAAAAAAAAGGCACACGAGTAGTAACGGGTATTTATAGCTGAATAAGACCTCTTTCGGTTTAATATGTACGTAGAGCGGCATATCTAGATATGCAAGATAGAAATACAGGAGATGGCAAAACATTCATCGCTATTACAAGTCGTTTGTACTGCTGCAAGCATCATGCAGGGGTAAAAATGAATGTATAAAACGTTCGTTGGCTGTTTGAGTAGCAAGTAGATGTAGGTATTTATAGTTGTCTTTATCCTAAGCCAGGTTTGTGTTTCCTCATGGTACACACACACAAGTGGCAAGTATGCCATCATACATCATTTCGGTTAGAAAGGGTGCCATCATCATGCGATAATAGTAAAAGCTTTATGTTTAGCAAAACGCCCATGCATGCGAAAATTTACTTGCACTTTTTAGCTTTCATGTTATGATGATATTGATGGAGCCCTGTTACGTACGTAGGAATAAAACCCCTTTAGCGCTTTTGTGGTGCAACGACATCCCATCGTTTTACTCAATGCACAATGGCCCTTGATACTCATGTATCCTTGGCTGGAACTTGAAGACACTTTTAGTACCTTGTAAGTGATGATGCTTTATTGGATATTGTACAACGACGAGTGATTATTATGCAGCAAGAAGGTAACACATGATGATGGCTAACTATCACCCCTTGAATGTTGCGTACGTATCCATTCCCACTTTCGGCTTTGGCATTTGGGGAGCCTCTTTATGATCGAGACGAACCTTGACGTTCTATATCCAATAGGACCACTCGACTACACCAATGACGAAGCAGCATGGCGTATCCAGATTATGGAATCGACGACCCAAGTTCAAGATTGTATGGAGAACCTCATGTCAGCCCTTGATGCGAGAGCATCTCTCCTTGTCGCTTGCAACCAACTGAATGCTGCCCTTCAAGATGCGCTCGCCATGATCTCGATTGCACCGTGGTCAGTGACTGGATACCTGACAGCCGGCCATGTCTATTCCCTTCAAGACCAACACGCTTCAGCTTTGAGGACGTATCAACAGATGCTGCAAGATGTACCCGATTGTCATCCAAGATACCACGAGTTTGTCAAAGCCAAGGCAACCGAATACGAGCTTTGGAGCAAGCGTGTGGACTTTGTGAGCAGGTTGCCCATTGATCTGGTGGTGTCCAATCTTATTCCAAGGATTTTGGATGATCAGCCTATGCTGGAGATTGGGAAACAAAAAGGATACCTTGATGTGTGTCGTACCTGGCGACAAAGGATCGCATTGGCAGGTGGAATACCTTTTCATATTGGGCCTGAGGACTTATCAGTGGATGAATATCATCGATTATCGGATATTGCGCCTTATCTCCAATGGCTCTCTGTATCACAAGAAGGACAGCATGAAATCATACCCAAGTTGGCCCACTATGCACAATTTACATCATTGCAGCGATTGGATGTGAAAGGTAATAGGCTATACGAGAAGAGCAGCAGGCGCGTGGTATTGATGACAACAACCTTACACATAGAATCTGTGACACGCACATCCGATCAATTACTGCCTGCATTACGTGCATGGAGCAACACCTTACGACATCTCAATCTGGAATACCAACGCAATGAAATACCCACACACCGATACCGACTTTGTGATATCCTGGATGCATGTGCCAACCTTACTTCCATCAGCATGCGGTGTAACGATACAAATCTCCCATTTTTATTCACTATGCACTATCCCAAGATAATCAAGCTGGATCTGTGGGTAACCCAATTCAGATTCAACAAGGCCCGGATTGCACCTTTACTCAAACCATTCCCTCGTTTGAGATCCCTACGACTACGTCCCAGTCCTGGATCGGATATTTTCCCAGCCATCCAACGATATTGTCCTCGGTTACAACAACTCTTTGCCGATTGTGTATGTCTTCATCTGCCTGATCTTCCAAAGGATCAAGGGAAAGGATTACGCGTTCTTTGTGTGGCTCAAGGGATTGGTCATGCCAAATTCAATGAGGATGCCTTGCTACGATTTATGATGCAGCATAGCGATACCTTGGAGACCTTCATCACTGGATCGGATGGATTGGATTTCATGGCAAGGAGATTGCTGGATGCTCAAACAACTACGACATTCAATCGGCTTTTGCATATACGAATTCCGTTTATCATACGATCATCCAATCTCAATCCTTTTCTCATTTGGATGGTACAGCATGCACCGAATTTGGAATCGATCGACACCTTATGGAGCAGTGAGCAACAACCGGTCATCGAAGCGTTATTGGAACATCCACGTTTCAGGCATATCGGGTTTCGATTGCCATCATGGTCCGAGCATATCAAGAAACAATTCATCATGCATCATTTGTCGCTTGGAGATCGATCCAACCTGCAAGAAATGACAATCCACTTTGAGGGCTCTTCTGGATCGGATTCTTGGCTTTACAAGGTGCCTCAGCTGACACAGTTGAAAGCGTTTGAATTACATTTTGATCGTCCTATTACGATACACAAAGCCATCCCTTTGATTCTCAAGCTTGCTGAAGCATGTATTTCTTTGGAGCGCCTCACATTGGCTTGCGATCGATGGACTATCGGTTACGACCTCATTGGCAAGATAAAGCTTCATCCAAATTTGAGACGCCTTGTAATTGATGCAGAAGCATTGGAAGGTCATCCATCCGCCATTGGCAGCAACTTTGACGGACTTGAGTCTTTACATCTTCGACTTTATGAATTCAATTGGGAGGACATGGACATTTTAAGGAAGAGAAGGTATGCATTAACGTGTGAAAAGAGAAAGTATAGAAACTTTTCTGGTTGATCAATAAACCCCATTATTATCCTCATCTTTCATTTTATCCCAATGCTCTATGTGCTGCTGGGTGATTGAAAAGTAAAAGACTAGCTTGATTTTATTGCATGATACACGCATTTTTCTAATCTATTGTCCTTCCCTATTTCATCCCTCCCATATAAACGAACCATACCACCAGCATTCCTCTTCAATAAAGTCGTACGATTTCCATCATCCAATCCTGCGGTTGTATAGCGTAAAATGTACAAGGGTAATGAGGGCCATCCTTAATCATCCACCATCGTGATCCATCCAAGGCCACAATAATCATAGCCAACCCTGTACTTTGTTCTTGATGCTATCCATCCCGTCATTGTGTCGGATCGTCTTGATCATCCTTCAAGGGCCAACCATCATACAAACATCCTGAGTAATATCTTGTATCCCGTAGTGAATGCCGATCGATTGAATTCTTGGCCGTTGTGGCATGGCCACCCATGCCGCATGATCCATGCCATTCCTATCCAACCTTCACCATGGTAAACATGACTCCTTTACCCATGCAAACACTTGTATCCCTCCTCACCTTAATGAACCAGGTGCATCGTATTGCTTCATAAAGAGAGTATGCCACCGTTGTAAAGCTGCTATATAGCATTGCCACTATGCTATAGTATCACGACGAGAAAGCATCACACGCACCACCCGCTTGTGGGACCTGGTGGGAAGAGGCGACAGCATTGGCAGGGACCCCATGGTCATGGAGCTCGTTGCGGAATTGTCACAGCCGAGGCTTAATGGTGCACAGTATTCTCTTGGTCATCTTGAAAGTGGTTGTAATGGGATGTAGTTGGGAGTGCCATTGTCCAGTTACAAGGGAACGGAAGACTTGTAGATTTGAAAGGACAGCTCATCTTTATTTTCACCGACACATCGGTTTCTGTGAGTGATGACTACACGTGATCATACTTTTTGCATCTAACACATACATAACAATCGCGTCTATGACTTTTTCTTGTAACGTGGATACGCTAATGACCATAAGCCTTCTTTAGCCTCCTGAATGTAAGAGTAGACTCCTCTAAATTCCACAGGCGGGTGATGGACGACTCCCGTTTGCACGCTTTGTACGTTGTCCCAATTAATGTATTTGAGGAAGCCATTTATGCCATCTGGTACGGTACTTTGATAGAGCCACATGGAAGGGCCGTCTTGTCTAAACACTTTTTTAAGTTCTCGACCTGGACGTGCAGGATTGAGGATGGATTCGAAGCAACGACGCATCTATTGATATTCGATCACCTGAGTCCCACTAGCTAATGTAGCGCTGATATGGATAGAAAAAAAGTCTTACCAAAACATAGGCCAATACAATAAGTGGTTTTGGCACCAACTCATGCTTTTCCAATTCGACCATACCACTTTTGCAAAACACATGATGGATGACTTCGCCGATGGCTTCACTCTCCAGGAACCCACCTTTAGAGAGATACCCTCGACGTGCGAATCTATCATGGTGATGTCGTCCCAATACGTTATATAACCCGCTCGCACTTCCTTGGAATGTCTATTTCATACGTACCTATTATCATGGAGGAGGTAACGACAATGATGCAAGTGCTCTTCTTCCGCCCGGCGGTCATAGATGACTTCCTTATCAACTTTGCGACTTTGAGAAAGCAAGCTTCGTGTTCTGTAATACATGTCTTTCCGTATATCATTTAGGGTCATCTCAAACTACATCACCCAGCATAATGTCAACAACCCAGGCAGCGTGTGGTATACATTGGTTTCACTTGCCTGAAGGGATAATGGATATTTCAATGTCTCTTGTGGATCCAAAAGCTGTCCTTTCACGCGAGCATACACCTCATGAGCAGCTTGCTCATAGCAATCGGGAAACGCATTCTCTGTGCATATATAGTGTTGGATGGCCTTATCAAAAACAGGGCCCACTAGGATTTGCCGCTCACTCCTAAAAAAAATAAACCTGTAAGCAACCAAGAAACGGATGCTTGTTACCATAGCAATGGATATATACCTCTCCAATCGCTTGCCGTGGTTAGCGATATAGTCGTTAACAAGACCATCTACCGACTGCTCGTCTACAAAGTACCTGTGAGTGGATATGGGTTGCAGATTTGGGTGTTACATGATACATTACAATCCGACTTTGTTGGTTGCGTCTGATCAGAGGAGGCGCTTTGGGCAGTATTCGTAGACATATAGAAGGCCATACAACCACCTTGTTGTTGACGGCATCTCATCCGATATTGAAAGCTCATTCCACGAGCAACTCTGTGTAGAGGATGTTATTTTGTTGAACATTCCATCTCGAGATGATACCCTATTACCTGCCATAGTATCGTTGAAACATGATAAGGAAGGAAAGAACTTTGACACATGGACAAAGATTGCTGTGCGTAGTTTTTTTTTATATCGATTGCTGAGAAACAATTGAGGGATGCAGGATACACAACTCGTCCCATTGCATCATCACAAAACGACACTCATCAGACAACCTCACCACCATTTCATCCATCTCTTGGCATCCTTTGTGATTCGTTAATCCGATGTAGGTCCATGAATATAGCTTGTGACCATGACGATTGCTGCTACATGGGGTGGGATTGAGAACACTGCATCTTGGTAGGCGTTGCCGTATATAGAGATATGCATGAGAACAAAGAAATCGCTACTGTCACACAATGATGATGTGTGCGGAAGGTTCCGAGTGCCTGCCAACCCCTTCCACCGCATACAGCATGCATGCAGCATGTTCCCAGATGTTCTCATTTACAAGTCTATTTGTTTTTCGTGTATACGCGACACAAGATGAGTGCTCGCAAACTTTGAAGTAATAGCCCCTTCTCTCCCATTCACCTTTATTGCCCAATCCATTGCATATGAACGATTCGCCTACTCCAGCCCATCATCTCCATCCTTCAACTTTCTTGATCCGAGGGGATTTGGATGAGAACGCTCAAACAAAGAAATATCATCCAATATTAGCAAAATGTACTAATTTCCACTCCTCCCATTCAACTCCTAGCTTCTTGTCCTTCCTCCCACTCTCAACTGTTGCCTCATTCAAGTACAACCACCAGCTACGAACGATTGTCCTGCTTCAACCCATCCATGTCAACCTTACAATTATCTTGATCCGATTGTCTTTGACTCAATGGCAAGTTCATGGCTTGTACGCACCCCACTGCAACACCCACGTTTCTTGACACGTCACCTTCTCTTGTACACTCCTCTACCACGATAACCCCGTAACAGCGTTCATTCCAGCAGTTGCTACTAGCAAGGTCTTCACTCCATTGTCTCAAGCAACATGCTTTACTTGCAGCAGCCTGCCTTGCAGTCTTTTGTTATGTGGATAGCAGATAGCCATCATATAGAAGCAGCTTTATTTACGTGTATCAACTTGTTTTCAATACATACGAATTTCTATGGATATGGATTTGAATATCGTTTTCATCATGAGATAGGAGGGAGGAATTGCATGCACATGCATCTAAAAAGACACGCTGGAAGAGATCAACAGCTGTAGAGAGGTATCTATTTACTGCGTCATAGTGACGAAGGAAAAGCAAGAAGGGGGTGATGGAGAGTATGCTTTCCGATAAGCTGTGGAGGTCTCTGTAACAATAGCAAGAATATGTGCTCAATAAAAGGATCTACGTTACATCGTCATCCAGCCTATTACCAATGCATCCCATAATTCCATTCATATGTGAGAGACAGGCCTGTCTCTTGGTGCTGTACTAATCCGGTTTATTTTAAAAGTGAAAATCCATTGCACACTATTAATCATGGTCATCATCATCGATGGATAAAAACAGCCTGCTCATTGGCATTGAAGCTACATCACGTAAACCAGGCAGGGTCCATGTGTAGTTTATTGGTAACCTGGAGCTGGTTTGCATTGGATATTGTAAAGGGGACTTCGAACTTCGCCGGCAGCGTTATCGCTATCGTCCAGTCTGCAGTCCATTAGCATCAACTTGCCATCCTCGCAGCTATAGTGGAAATCGGTGCCTTGGAGATACGCGTACGAATCAATGTGCTTTGGGTCACATTTATTGGACCTATTTAGCTTGGTTTTCGTTTCATGCCGGTAACCACACGAGTAGTGAATATCATTGCCTTTGGGTCCATCACGATAGAGGGCGTAGTAGCCATACTCGTTTCCGAACTCCTTGCATTTAGCTTCACCTTCTTGTTTGGATTTAACTAGAAAAACATCACCAGCGGCAGCAGGTGGGATCATCCATGCTGCCATCATGATCGCAATCAGGGAGAGCAATGATGGCGTATAATATCCTTGACGAAGAAGCTTCATTATGACCAGAAAAAAGGATAAGGTTACATGCATCGTCATTATCCGATAATGGCTGTATATATATCTTTGAAAACAATGTCACATCCCTAGTGATACGTACTATGCGTACGTATGTATGCAGTTACGCCTGATAATCACTTACGCCATCAAAAGGCAACATCATCCAACAAGCCAAGATTTTTGTGTGTTGTTATTATTGTACGATTCACTCAGCCAGATTTCTTTATTAAAGAACCTTTCATTGGAATGAAAATCTGGTCTCTATACCGTGGACATTATTAGTGTAGTAAAACAGGTGGATGCATGCAGACAATGCATCACGCATCTTTAGTTGCTTATCGTGTACCCCTTTGTCTCCGCAAATACGAAATCCTCTAGGATCACGCCACCACTTCTATATTGCATAAGATAAACTAAGGGTAACGTTTGAATGCCCATCTATGCCCACCACACTTCAATCCAGCACATGGAAGGTATCATTTCATCTTGCGTGAGTGATGAATGAAAGCAAATGAGAATTCCATGATTGAAAGAGTCCTTGGATAAGCTATCCACGGACCAGCCAATACTTTATATATAAATGATTGGGTTCTATGACTTTTCCTCGTAATCTGGATATGATGACCATATGGCTTCTTTAGCCTCCTGAATGTAAGAGTAGACTCCTCTAAATTCCACAGGCGGTTGATTAACGACTCCCACTTGCACGTTTTCTACGTCGTCCCAATCAATATCCTGGATGAATTCACGAAAGCCATCTGGTACAGTATCGCGATAGAGCCACATGGAATAGTTCTCTTGCTTAAACATCTCTCTGTGATCTCCATGTTCCGGATTGAGGATGGATTCGAAACAATGACGCATCTATTGATTGACATTGAGTCCCACTAGATACAGCGCTGAGATGGATAGGCAAATGTCTTACCAAAACATAGGCCAAAGCAATAAGCGGTTTGGGTACCAGCGCATGTTTTTCCAATTTGACCATACCACTTTTGCAAAACACATGATGGATGACTTCGCCGATGGCTTCACTCTCCAAGCGTCCACCTGTACAGAGGTATCCTCGACGTGCAAATCTATCATGGTGATATTGTGTCAATACGTCATATCCCCCCTCCCACTTCTTGAATGTCTCTCTCATACGTACCTATCATCTTCGAGGAGATAACGACAATGATTCAAGTGCTCTTCTTCCATCCGGGGGTCAAAGTTGTCTATATCATCGACTTTACGAGGTCTACAAAGCAATCCCAGTGTGCTGTAATACATGTCGTACTGTATATCCTTTAATGTCATCTCGAACTACATAATGTAGCATAATGTCAACAACTCAGCCAGAGGGGAGTACATCATTGGATGGCACTTGCCTGACGGGATAATGGATATTTCAAAGTGTCTTGTGGATTCAAAAGTTGTCCTTCCACACGAGCATACACCCAACGAGCAGCTTGCTCATAGGAGTCGGGAAACGCATCCTCTGTGCATATGTATTGTTGAATAGCCTTATCAAAAACAGGGTCCACTAGGATGTGCCGCTGAACCCTGAAAAGTGAACCTTTGAGTTAAGTAACAAAGCAACGGCTGCTTGTCACCATAGCAACCTAGATTACCTGCTTGATTCCCTGCAGAATTCAGCCACTTGATGTTTAGTGTACAAATTTTCCAATCTCGACTCTACAAAGTACCCTGTGAGCGGATATGGGTTGCAAAGTTGATATTACATGATACACTACCATACGGTTTTGTTGGTCCTGTCTCATCAGAGGAGGCGCTTTGGGCAGTATTCGTAGACATGTAGAAGGCCATACAACCACCTTGTTGACGGCATCTCATCCGATATTGAAAGCTCATTCCACGAGTAACTCTGTGTAGAGGATGTTATTTTGTTGAACATTTCATCTCGAGATGCCACCCTATTACCTGCCATAGTATCGTTGAAACATATGATAAGGAAGAAAAGAAGGTTGACACATGGACAAGGTTGTTGTGCGTGCGTTTTTATATCGATTGCTGAGAAACAATTCAGGGATGCAGACAACAGGATCCACGACGCGTCCCATTGCAGCATCAAAAAAGGCGCTCAGACAACCCCACTACCACTTTATCCATCTCTCGGCATCCTTATGATGAGATAGTCCGATATAAGCCCAGCGAGATGGCTTTTGATTATGATGATTGCTGTTAAATATGGGGAGGAGATTGAGAAGACAACATCCTGGTAGGCATTGCCGTAAATAGGGATAGGCATGAGAACAAAGAAATCACCTTGTCACACAAAGATGATGTTTACGGAACGTTCCGAATGCATGCCAGCTCGCTCCACTGCATACAACATGTTCCCAGATGTTCTCATTTACAAGTCTATTTGTATTTGTGTATGTACGTGATACAAGATGAATGCTTGCAAACTTTGAACTAATAGCCCATTCCTCCCACCACCGCTCCAGCCCTTCAACTTTTTTTTATCCGAAGGGATTTGACTGAGCAACGCTCAAACAAAGATGCATCATCCCAGCATCAGAAAAATCATTTCCAGGTCTTGTCTCTTCCTCCCATTCCCAACCGTTGCCTCATTCAAGCACAACTACCGCCTGCAAACGATTGTCCTGCTTCAACCCACCATGTCAATCCTACGATTGTCTTGATTCGAATGTCTTTGACTGAATGGCAACTTCATGACGTGTACGCACTCTTCTACAGCACCCGCGTTTCTTGACACTTCACCTTCTCTTGTACACTTCTCTACCACGATAAGCCGTAACAACGTTCATTTCCAGCAGTTCCTACTAGCAAGGTCTTCACTCTATTGTCTCAAGTTACTTGCCACACTCTGCCCTGCGACCTTTTTTTACGTGTGAGAGCAGATGGCCATTATGTAGAAGCAGCTTTATTTACGTGTAACAACTTGTTTCAATACATACGACTTCTTGTGTATATGAATATTGATTTGGTATATGGGATGGAAGGAAATGGGTATATACAACGCGTGGTGAAAGAGTGCATCCATGGTCTACTTGACCATCATGCCTGATGCTGCTGTCATTCTAACGATTGGTGCATCCAACTCCATGGCAGCTACACAACCATCACCCCACATTGCAAAATACAGTCTTCTCTTGGATCATCCCCCTGCTGCTATGCTGCATAAGATAAATCACCGTAACATTTGAATGACCCCCTATGCCCACGACACTATTTCATCCTGCAGATGAAAGGTATCATTTATCCTATGTTCGTGGGTGGTGAATGATGGAGATCTTGCCACATAATGGTTTCGCAATGATTAAAGCATCCCTTTGATATTCACCTACAAAGCTAAAGACGCCCCATGTGTAAAGCCAACCATAGTCAAATACCTTCAATCAACTTTACGCATGTGTTTGATTGCTCACATATGCACCCCTTTTCCCGCTTTGCATGAAAGTGTTATTACTATTTCCAATAGGCTCGTTGGTGGTTGCACAGGATTGCCAGATTGAAAAATTAGCATCCTGTAAACCGCAAGACTATGATGGCTGCAACGTCGAGATGTTTACAGTACAACCACAGTGCCTGAAGACAACCTTAAAGGATGCAAGTGTGGGTTGGTGGATTCACCAATTATCATGTGCTTACCATCCTCTCTCTTATCTCTCTACAGCTTGGTACTTTGCACTCCCCTGTTTAGCTAGCGGGCAAATAACAGATCCTGGCATATGCAATAAAGCTGGTGACAAAGAAGCTGATTGTGTAGCATCCAAATGCACTTGGATTTCACGCCAGGATAAAAGTAACTTTAAATAGACACCATGTTGACCTGGATACTAAAGGATGGGTTGCTGTTTTTAGTCACCGCTCTGGGCAATATAGCGAATGCTGTTAATGAATAATGATGTTGCGCGTCTCGGTCAAGAAATTACGCTCCACCAGCAAGGTAGCTGTGTCCCTCAGCCTGCATGTGATATCTTCAACTATGACAAACAGCGTTGTGCAAGTCTTTTGCATTGCCAATGGCAACCAGGAGGTATGGATGATTGCCTACAAGGCCACTTGATGTATACTTACCAGGTTTTTTTCATGTAGTTGGCTGTCGACCTACTAGCTAATACTCTATATGATCGCGGACTCCTTACAAATTGTTTCTGATGTAATTGAAGTAGCTTTCTTTAATCAAATGACTACTTAATTTCACTACTACTACATTGCACGTGATATGCTTACACTAAGAACCAACAAAAAGCCTATATGTCATATGATGAACGCGGTGGTCAATCCTGTGTATGCGGTGTTTAGCGTGAATATCAAGGATGCTTAAAAGGAAAACTACTTTGAAAACAACAAGGATGAGTGTTTCCTCAACAAAAGTCAAACATATGGGCAATAGGGGTGTGCAAAAGAGAGGGTCACCTGACCAAGGAGTAGTGCATGTCACCTGATTGAAGAATGATGCTCAGTGAATCAAACGCAGTCAATACACAAAATAATTTCCGCTCGTTTGCCTCCTCTCTTTTTCTACACAAACACTTTCACACACACACTATACAAGTACACTTATGAGGTATATACACAACAGCATCTTTATGTAACGACACGCACGCTCACTCTTTTATACATAGCACACCACCAGGGTTCAATAATCCAAATATTGCAGGACGAAAGATTGCCACGCCTCGACGACGGTTGAATCGCGCGTCTTCCGATATGGGTGGTCAAGGAGCGCCCATGCCCAACTTTACGTTTCAACCACCTGGAGGTGTTGCACCTTCGTTTGGTGGGGGAGCATCTGGTACTAGTGGTACTCCTCAGCCTTCATTTTCAGGCTTTAATCGGTCTGCTTCTGCAGGCAGCGCAGGATTTCAATTTAGTGCTCCATCTCAAGCGACGCCAAGTCAACAGCAGCCTTTTGTATTTGGATCTCAAGCAAGTGGAGTACAGCAGCAGTCGAATGCACCGTTTCAATTTGGTAGTGGAGGATCGCAGCCTTCATCACCTTCGTCCTTTTCTTTTGGTTCAAATACTGCAGCACCAACACCTGCCTTTGGAGCTGCAGCACCAACAACTACTACGACTTCTGCAACGCCTAGTTTTGGAACGTCAGCACCAGCAACGAGTTCTACTTCAGCAGCCCCTTCATCACCAGCACAACAACCTTTCAAGTTTGGTTCACCCACATCATCACCTTTTGGTGCAAGTGCAACAAGTACAACATCAACAACATCACCCTTTGGTTCACCTTCCTTGACACCGGCAGCACCAGCTAATGCTACTACACCATCCACTCCACCTGCATTAGGAGCATTTGGTTCTTCATTATCGAGCACAAGTAGCACCACATCACCCACGGCCAGCACATTTACATTTGGTGCATCAGCACAACAACCACCATCATCACCCAAGGTTGCAGGAGGATTCACATTTGGTGCTGGTGCAACACCAATCACCACGACAGGAGATAGTACCATGGCAACAGATACTAGTTTGGCCCAGCCATTCTCGATTGGTAGCACGACAACCTCAGCAACAACATCACCTAGCACAATGATCAAAACACCATCCTTCAACTTTGGTAGTACTGCTGCTACAACAGAAAAACCAGCTGCTACGACCACCACGACAAAGTCCACTACTGACAAGCCTGCTGCCGCTGACAAGCCTGCATTTTCATTTGGATCAACATCACCCAAACAAGGTCCTTCGCCTTTTGCATTGACATCAACTACTACAACCACTTCTTCTGAAAAATCAGCTCCTGCTATGACAACAGCTACGACAACAACAACATCATCATCAACAAAAGCAGCACCAACATTTAACTTTGGAGCTGCAGCAACAACAACCGACAAGCCTGCATCTTCTTCTCCTACTTCTACTACCACCAAGCCTGCATTTTCATTTGGAACTCCAGCATCAACTACAAGCACTACAGCTGAAAAGCCACCAGTAGCCCCCAAAATGCCAACATTTTCATTTGGATCAGCATCAGGAGGAGAAAAAGGTAATTTGCAAGGACTTTGTATTGGGTATCATGTATTGATGCATGGGTTGATATAGATGGATCCAGTGAGACAACATCAACTTCAAAGGGTAAGAGGAAGGGAGTTTGTGTTTTTATTACTTTGGATGACTTATCTATGGTGATTAGAGGAAACAACAGCGGCTCCCGTGACAACAGGATCAAAGCGCAAGACATTGGATACAGCTGCTGCTGAAAGTGCACGCCACAAGTTACGCCATGGCAACTCGCCTTTGTCCCAATCATGGAATGCAGATGACGAGGAACAACCAGCTGCCAAGCGTGCTACTACTGGATTGAATGATGCATCCAATCGATTACAACCACCATCATCATCGTCTACTGAAGACAAGGGCAAGGATAAGGGATCGAGTGATACGGCTACGACGACAACAACATCTACTGCTGCTGCTACTGCCGGCACATCCTCTACAGAATCTGATGGCAAGAAGCGACCCTTGGAAGGTGCTGATAATACTGGTACACAAGCCAAAAAGGTGACCTTTAGCGTTGGTGAAAGCAGCAGCAGTACTAGCAGCAAAAAACCTTTGTTCACGTTTGGTGCCAAAGAACAACAACAGGATGGAGACAAGAAGGCGACTGAAAAGAAAAAGGATGAAAAGGAGGGTGCCACTACAACAACAACAACAACAACAACAACAAAGGAAGGAGACAAAGAAAACAAGCCAGTGAATCCATTCAAGCCTCTTGAATCAACTCCTATCGAGATACCCAGTTCGCAAGCATCTTCTTCTTCCTCCACTGCTCCTAAATCACAATCTACCTCATCGGATGTATTGTAAGTTTATATTTGTTTCCTTTTTGTTTGTGTTCATTATTCACTCACCCATGTTGCTAGTGGCAAGCCAACCCCTACGGATGCTGAACAAACCATGATTGAATCCAAGATCACTCATCCAGATGGCATTGAGAAGCGTACACGTTATCGAGAATTACCGGCTGCAGCACAAACCGAGTTGGATAATTTATGGTGGTTTATTGATCAACAAGTGCGTATGGCCAAAGAAATTGAGACACGGCAATTGGCTTCCAATGGGGAATTGATCCGAGATTTGAGTCAGTCCGTGCATCGCATGTCCAAAGATTTGACTCTGCTCAAGGAACAACATCATATCACAGCTCAATCTATTGCGACTTTGACTGAATCCACTGAATACCAGGTACAAAATGCATCTGTTGCCAAAGCCTACTCGGATCATCAGAACCAAGGTCGACGTATGGAAGGAGGCACAACAATTCATCGACGCTACTTTTTTGACTTGGTCAAGAGCTTGAATGCAAAGTGTACAGAATATCGGAATGCGATCAATGACATTGAGGATCGAATGCGTGAACTGGATCAAGTGGTTGTCCAATCACCTGCAGGATTGGCGGATATTCTCAGGACTCAAAATGAAACATTGATTGCTTTAGCAGCACAAGTAGCTGATTTACATCAACAAACTGAAAAATTGAAAGCATAATAAAATTGGGTATCTTCATACGTATAGCATCATCATCGGAGAGAAAGGGGCAACGAATGTGGGGGAGGAACATATGACACCGGCTAAATCAGAGATGGCTGTTTGTCATCCCGTTTTTTTATAAAGGGATTGGTGTAACCCTATTCAAGCATGATTGGGATTATTCAGCTGGATAAATTGATTATCATTCACCGCCAAACACGCGTTCATTGAGTATCAAACGTGTCATTCATTCAATCCAACATGTAAAAGTGAGAGAGTAAAGATAGATGTAAAGTAAAAGAAAGAGAGAATCTAATCTCCTCTGCTATGACGGCAACGACTACCCCACATGCAATTTACATGTGAGCCTAGCATGGGCAATTCGATTGTGTCAGCGTCGCCGCTCATCCCATGTGAAAGTAGGTTGAGTTACACGAGCTATCCAAATATATTTCATTACACATCACGATTCTTGTTTACCCCACGTTTCTTTTCCTCCTCCTCCTCCTTCTTTTTATTCATTATACATTATGGCAAACCAAGATATTCGTTATGATGGCAAAGTGGCCATTGTCACTGGTGCTGGTGGAGGTAATGTATTAGGATGACGAGTCATTTACAATAACAACAAGGAAACTAAAGAATACACGTCTTTTTTCTTCTAGGTATCGGTCGTGCCTATGCTCACTTTTTCAGCTCTCGAGGTGCTGCAGTAGTCGTCAACGACTTGGGTGTCTCTCACACTGGCGATGGAAGCTCTTCCAAGGCTGCCGATGTCGTTGTCGAGGAGATTCGCAAGGCTGGTGGCAAGGCTGTTGCTAACTACGATTCTGTCACCGATGGACACAAGATTGTCGACACTGCCATGAAGGCCTTCGGTCGTGTGGATATCTTGATCAACAATGCCGGCATTCTTCGTGACAAGTCCTTCGCTCGCATGACCGACCAAGATTGGGACTTGATTATGGCTGTTCACGTCCAAGGTTCCTACGCCATGACCAAGGCTGCTTTCCCTATCATGAGAGAACAAAAGTATGGCCGTATTATCATGACCGCTTCTGCTGCTGGTCTCTATGGTAACTTTGGTCAAGCCAACTACAGTGCAGGTAAAGTCAATGAAATGAATGGCATGGGCAGGCAATAATCACATGGTTCTTAATCATGATTTTCCCACATATCGATAGCCAAGCTTGCCCTTGCCAGTTTCAGCAACTCGTTGGCCCGTGAAGGTGCAAAGTACAACATTCACAGCAACACCATTGCCCCCATGGCTGCTTCCAGAATGTAAGTCATCATCCTATTCATGCATGCATATCGAATCGACCAATTCACATGACAATCCCCGGATGTAGGACCGAGACTATTATGCCTCCCGAGGTTCTTGCCTCTCTCAAGCCCGATTACGTTTGCCCCGTTGTTGGTTACTTGTGCCATGAAAACACTGAAGAGACCGGTGGTATCTTTGAAGTCGGTGGTGGCTTTGTTGCAAAGTTGAGATGGGAACGTTCCCTTGGTAGCGTCTTCCGTGCTGATGAAACCTTTGATCCTTCTGCTGTCGCTGCTCGTTGGGATGAAATCACCAATTTCGACAAGGTCGAATACCCTGCTTCCATCACTGATACCGATTTCTTGGGCTTGCTTGAACGTGCAAAGGCTTCCGGTCCTAACCCCAAGGGTGAACCTCTTCGTTTCGATGGCCAGGTAAAAAGAAAAGGGTGTACTCTTTTTTATTTACACAAGGACTAAACACAATCATGATAGGTTGCCATTGTCACTGGTGCTGGTGGTGGTTTAGGCAAGGCTTATGCTTTGATGCTTGGCAAATTGGGTGCCTCTGTCGTTGTCAATGACTTGGGTGTGTCTCATACTGGTCAAGGCTCCAGCTCTCGTGCTGCTGATTTGGTGGTGGATGAAATCATCAAGGCTGGTGGTAAGGCCGTTGCCAACTATGACTCTGTTGAGGATGGTGACAAGGTTGTCGATACTGCTCTCAAGGCTTTCGGTCGTATTGATATCATTGTCAACAATGCTGGTATCTTGCGTGACAAGTCCTTCATCCGTATGAGCGATCAAGATTGGGATCTTGTGCAACGTGTCCATTTGCGTGGTACTTACAAGGGTAAGTCTATTGATAAATGATTCATGCAGTCATCCAACTTACACCTACATCCACTTTCTAGTCATCAAGGCTGCTTGGCCCCACATGGTGAAGCAAAAGTACGGTCGTATCATCAACACTGCTTCCGCTGTTGGCTTGTATGGCAACTTTGGCCAAACCAACTACTCTGCTGCCAAGTTGGGTATTGTCGGTCTCACCAAGACTTTGGCTCTTGAAGGTCAACGCAAGAACATCTTGTGCAATGTCATTGCTCCCAACGCTGGTACCCGTATGACTGCCACTATCATGCCTCCTGAAATGGTCGAAGCTTTCAAGCCTGAATATGTTGCTCCTCTCATTGGTTACTTGGCTCATTCCGAGACTGAGGAAACTGGTAGCATCTTTGAAGTCGGCAGTGGTTGGATTGCCAAGGTTCGCTGGCAACGCACTGGTGGTGTTGGTTTCCCTGCCAACCGCCCTCTTTCTCCTGAACAAGTCGCTGCTGCTTGGTCCCGTATCTGTGATTTCGAAGATGGCCGTGCCACCAACCCTGAAACCACCCAAGACTCCTTCCAAGGCTTCATGGAGAACTTTTCCAATGTTGATGAAGAAGAGGAGGAATCCACTGGTAATGAAGTCTTGGATAAGGCCAAGAAGGTACAATTTGAGCCCCATGTCTTTACCTATGGCGAACGTGAAGTCATCTTGTATGCTTTGGGTGTCGGCTGCAAGCGTACCGATCTCAAGTTTGTCTATGAGAATGATGGTGACTTTTCTACTTTGCCTTCCTTTGGTGTCATTCCTTCCTTCTCTCTCATGAACGATTTGCCTTTTGGTGACATTTTGCCCAACTTCAACCCCGTAAGTATTTGGGATGGATATATGGATATGGATGTATTGACTAATGGCTGTTGGAATGTTTAGATGATGTTGTTGCACGGTGAGCAATATCTTGAACTTAAGAAGCCTATTCCTACCAGCGGCACATTGACTTCGGAGGCTCGTATTGTTGAGATCACTGACAAGGGCAAGGGTGCTTCTGTTGTATTGGGTGTTTCCAGCAAGGATGAATCTGGAGAAGTTGTCTTTGAGAACCAATTCACTTTGTTCATCCGTGGATCGGGTGACTTTGGTGGTCCCAAGAAGGGTGCTGATCGTGGCGCTGCTTCTGCTCCCAACACTCCTCCCAACCGTAAGCCTGATACTGTCATTCGTGAAAAGACCAGTGAGGATCAAGCTGCCCTTTACCGCTTGTCCGGTGATTACAACCCTCTTCACATTGATCCTCAAATGTCTGCTATTGGTGGATTTGATGTGCCTATTCTTCACGGCTTGTGCTCCTTTGGTATCTCTGCCAAGCATGTCCTCAAGGCTTTCGGTAACAATGATCCTGCTACTTTCAAGAGCATTAAGGCTCGTTTCGCCAAGCACGTTTTCCCTGGTGAGACTTTGGAGACTCAAATGTGGAAGGAAGGTGGCAAGGTCATTTTCCAAACCCGTGTCGTTGAACGTGACGAAATCGCCATCTCGGCTGCTGCTGTTGAGCTCAACTCGGCTCATGGTGATAGCAAGTTGTAAATTGTTTTTTATTCTTTCTTTTGTATTCCCCTTCATTCATTGTGTGTATGTCATGTTCAGCTTAATCTCTTTAAACAATGAAAAACCTTTGTTTCATATGATGATGTTTACGGATTATTCTATCGAAGGTTGCAAAATGGGAAAGAGAAAAGGAAGGCCATGTGGGATCAGGGATGGCTAAGATGGATGAGATAAGCTTTATGATGATCATGGTCGCCCATGCACTCTATATACACTGACAAATAGCTTCAGTGACATTTATAGCGATGCATCCTGGTTTAGATTTGTAAATTTAGATCCAGCTACATTGGGATCAATGGTCTTCATTGTCACTAAAACGGTACCGAGAAGATTTTATTTCAAAAATCGTAACCCATTGAAGGAAAATTCATTTTGGGAGGTGGAGCGAAAGGATCACGGCAACCTCCTGCATTGGGGCCGGTACACAATAGCAATTGCAGTTTCCCATTATCGCACTCATAGTAAACACTTGTAACCGGACCTTCCTTCTTGCCAAATGCGTTTGAGTCACATGGCTTGCTTCTGTTGAACTCGGATGGACGCTCCTTTGAATACGCGCAAGAGTAAAACACGTCATTGCCATCCTTATCCTTGTACAAAGGAATGACTCGTTCATAAGCTCCTTCATTGTTACCGCACACGGTTAAAGCCTCTTGCTTGGAATTGACAGTTTTCACGCTAACAGCAGCCACGGAGGGAAGTAGTATTGTAGATAAAAGCAGCATACAAAGACATAACAGCAGCTTGGGGAAACAGCGAGGGCGTTCTTGATGAATCATCATCATGTCGATAGTGAGGAGTAAGATGAATGTACTATAGCACACACATAGAACGTGAAATATTTATACTATACGCGTTGACGTTGTATGATGCTAAATGTTAAGATCCAAGATGCTCGTGGCGTAAAAGATAGGAGATGCATGAAACGATATTTTGGTATTAACCTCTTTTTAAGAAGTTGTCAAGGCTTTTAAGAAAGGTTGATGCACAATGTTTGTTTATAATAATAGAGGTCTTTACGAATCGTTCAACGATCAGCAACAATCGCCGGTCACAGAATGGACTTCTTTTGTTGACCCCCAAAGCATAATTATGCAGCATCATCAGCATTCTTTACGCCTACAACCTCCCTATTGTGCTGCATGGCCTGCATATGAGCTACACAAGTACAAAGTCGGGTGGAGGGCACACAGACACATGTATTAACAACATATAACGACATCATTCAAGCTGCTTATTTTCTCTTGCTGTGCCATGTTGTTCAGAGCCACGACCATGGTCTATATCTACAAGCAGTGCAAAGGTAAAGATGTATATTTCCAATCAGCATTTTAGCCATCATGCATGATGTTGTGCCTAACAAGTAACCATATGCAAGCTGGTTGCTGATCCAAAAGGTTCTTTCAAACCCCTGTGTGGTTAAGCATGACAAAATTGCGACCTCGACTGTTGCTGTTGAGCTCAACTACGTGGTTAGCCGGCGTCACGCAACACGTAGGTAACAAATTATTGACATGGTTATTGGGGATTTAATGAACTTGTCGCATAGGTGAGATCTTTTATAGACCAGCATACTCGCCACTGATCGTTATCTTCTAGCTGACGGATGAAAGGGAGTGTGCTGCTGTATTGAAGAAAAAGAAGGCGAAAAGTAAAACTGGATTCGCATGTAGCAAGACAACTGTGGTAGATTGGATCATTGTCATTATCCCTTGTTTGCATGTTTGAGGAACCATATTATATTAATCAGAAGTAAGGGATCAAGAGTAATACAGAACAAGGCTCATGATTGATCTTCTACTCTAAACGTTGACAACGTCCCATGCAGGTCGTACAGTTGATCGATGCTATTATATCGGGACGTCATGGTATCATTGGAGGTGGCGAATCTCCAAAGTACGTTGGGTCGCACACACTTGTTCACGTTTGCTTGTTGCACAAAGCTACCCACCAACCGATTCCAAAACGGCAATGTCCCGGCCTTGAACCCCACCCACCTTTTTCTTCCTCCTTCCTTTATTCTCAACATGACCGTGGCTAATGGTGTTCCTTTCAAGTATCAAGTTGAAGGTGCTACTGATGCACAACATGAGGCACTCAACACTTTGGCTCAAGAGCTGGAGGTGACTACCGGTCAGCTGCAACTGATTGTCAAGCAGTTTATGGAAGAGATGCGTAAAGGTCTTGATCATTATGGTGCTACTGGTAATAAAAAAAGACTACAAGACAATGCTTTTATTACAACGATACTAACACTATTCTTCTAGTGGCTATGATTCCAAGCTATGTCAGTGGACGGCCTACTGGTAACGAGACGGGTCAATATCTCGCTCTTGATTTGGGCGGTACCAATCTACGCGTGTGTCTTGTCGAGCTGCTTGGCCAAGGAGGACAACATAGGATTGAACAAGAAAAGTTTCGAATCAGCGATGAACTCAAAACAGGAGAAATGACGGATCTTTGCGACTTTATGGCTGAATCCATCGAGACCTTTATTCAACAACGTGAATCACTCAAGGATAAGCGTCTTGAACTTGGATACACTTTTTCATTCCCGGTGCTACAAACCGCCATCAATCGAGGTGTCCTCAAGCAGTGGACCAAGGGATTTTCTTGCAAGAATGCTGTGGATCGTGATGCTGCTCTCATGTTACAAGAAGCTTTAGATCGTCGTGGTGTGTCGGTTCACATTGCTGCTGTAAGTCTCGGGAAAGTGGGGGTGTGGACTTTTTACTATTTCCCATATATGGTCATCAGGTGCGTAACACAGCTATTCTTCCAATCCAGATTGTGAATGATACCGTTGGTACGTTGTTGGCACACGCATATCGTTATCCCGAGACTGCAATGGGTGTTATCATGGGAACTGGATCCAATGCCTGTAAGTATGGAAAAAAGGATCCCATATACTGGATCAGGTTTACTCATTTACATGTAGGTTATTATGAAAAAATTGACAAGATCAAGAAATGGGATGAGACATGCAAGGACACTGAAATGGTGGTCAATATGGAATGGGGAGCATTTGATTGTGAACGCCGTGTATTGCCAATGACTCCTTATGACAACAAGATCAATCGTGAATCTCGCAACGTCAACCAGCAATTCTTTGAAAAGATGGTAGCCGGCATGTACCTTGGAGAGATTAGTCGCAACGCCATGCTCATGTTGGTGGATCGCCTTTTACTCTTTAATGGTGAATCGTCACCCATCTTCAACACTCAATGGGCTTTTGATACCGCCTATGTATCCATGATTGAGGAAGATGACACTGAGGATCTGGTTCGTACCAAAGATATCCTGGAATCAACCATGAAAATCCCATCCACCACCTTGACGGATCGAAAGATGGTAAAATTGATTTGTGATTGGGTCGGCACACGAGCAGCACGGTTGGCAGCATGTGGTCTTAGTGGTGTTCTTTCACACATTGGCCGTATTGGACAAGACGTGGTCGTGGCTATTGATGGATCCTTGTTTGAGAAGTATCCCAACTATGAAACCAACATTCGGCAGGCGATGCAGGAATTATTTGGTCAAGAGGCGGTCAACAAGATTCGATTTGATTTGGCAAAGGATGGGTCTGGACTTGGTGCTGCCATCATTGCCATGGTGGCTGCCAACAATCAAAATGTATAGTCATCTTCTCCCTCCTCGCATACTTTAGCATATATCTTCCTCTTCCCCACTCGCTGTATTTCATTTCTTTTGTGTATACATTTCCCATCTTCGCTTTCTCCGAGCGGGTTATTCCTTAACATCCATATTTGGTTAATAGACTTTTTGACATGTAACCCATTCGCTGGGATTGTGTCCCGACTTTTCCCGTTTCTTTAGTGTCCCTTACATCTTGTGTAGAGCACTCAGACAGTTGCAGTGTTCCCGATTACGTGTGAAGCAGCTCACCCCTGCTGTTCTTAAATCCCATATGAGAATATACAGCATGTTAGCATCTAGCCACCAATAACTACGGGGATTAAGCTTGGGCATGATGTTCATTTATTATATGGGAAGGATTTCGGCAACTACGTTTGTATTGTAAACGAGGAGAGCTTTCTATCACTGATGCCGGTTGCAATATGAAAAGCACTTAAATCGCTCCTTCTCGTCTTTAATAAGGGGGCAATCATTGCAGTAGGGTACATCGGCCTTGACACCGTAAGCGGTAACAAAGACGTTCAAAACCAGTGCCGAAAAGATAATGGCTAGCAAAGGGATCTTGTGCATAGTTGGATAATCGAAAAAGTTATAAGCACCATGGATACATTATTTATATGGATTCCCTTTAAAAACGGATTGATGCACTACTGGTCAGGGGTCACGGAGGGCTCTCGGGATTTCAAGGTTAGTTCGGCATGACATACGGAAATCCGTTCACTGGGTGGTGCCCCTGAATGCAATGCTCACAGAGCATATTGAAATCCGGCATATTTGTGGATCCTTCATGTTGCATTTACATATGTAGCGTTCGACTGATGATCCATATTTGCATATTGCTATGGTATGGATGACAAGATGACGGGCCTACAAGACATGAAGCCTATCGGCGTCAATCACATAAAGATAGCCAAGAGCAAGTATGTACTTGTAAACACGTGAGGATGTCGACGATGATAACAAAACGAAGATGGGGTGCCTTATCCCTTGCATGATCTCCGATGAAGTTTATACGGCGGATGATGACATTAGTGCAATATCTTCAGCATACTATCCGTCTCAAAGAAAGGATCACTAGAAGCATTGTCAATTGGAAAAATGAATTTATTGTTCTGTGTTCAAGGTTTAAGAAGATCAAACAGCGGTGGTAGTGTATGTCGTGCATTTGATGACTACTTTTTCGATGCTGGCTAAAAGCGTATCCTGTGTATTCTGGCTCAACATGTTGGTGGAAACGTATAGCTGCTTTAAGGCAGGAAAATTTTGGAAGTGCAGAATGTCTTCTTCAGGTAGAGTCCTTGCGTGAATTCCTACATGCTTGAGATTTCTGAGGCGCTGCAATGGAGAAAGCGACCCTTCTTCCACCGAATACTCAAAGCAGCACAAATCGATAAATTCCAGGATATGACAATGTTGCGATAATGCATTCATAAACGGCAAAAAGCTGGCATCCATATCGAATTCCACATGTAGCGTGAGAGACTTGAGACGTGAGAGGTGGGCGACAGACAATAGCCAAGAGGCAAGAACAGGCACAGTGTCATCATTCGATGATGGTGGAGGAATGCTGTACAAGGATAAGGTTTCCAAGCTCGATGTCTTGCCGAGTTTAACATGATGCTGAAAAAACCGTTCCAATGCCTGATGATAATCGTCTTGAGCTGGTCGTGGAGATAGTGCAATTTGTAATCGCTTCAAATGACGCGATGATCGCAAGCAATCGAGTGTCTCAGAAAGAACACCGGAAGCTCTCAATCTGGCAAATTCCAAATTAGGCGAATTCGAAAGCATCCAACAAGAAAATCGAACGTCATAGCGCCTCCTGCTGTAGAGCCCGAATTGTATCAGTCGAGGAAAATGAACGGGTGTGTGATCCATATTACTCGGCATGCCACCATCAAATCTCCCCACAAAGTCGAAAAACTCAAGAGTGTCAGCATGCGAACGAACACCGGAGACCACATCATCCATATGAAACTTGACATTGGAACGAAGAATGATTGCGTTAGGATGGTCATTATCATGATGGTCACTTGGATAAGGAGGAGGCTCGGCAGGCGCATAGGGTGCACCATTGTATTCAATCCATTGTATTCGTGGGCAATATCGATGGATCAACGAAAGTGATCTTGTGCCTTTACCATGTGTTGCTCTGAGCTTGATCAATGAAGGGAAGGCTTTGAACATGGCTTCAAGATTCTCTTGAGAAAGGGTGGTCCGCTGGTTCCGTATCTCGAAATGGATCATCTTTGGGTATACATGATTGTTGACCAGGGATGCCGTATTCAATAAAACCTCGGAGCCGAGTCTGCTTGATACAAGGTTTGGACATGTTCCCATCAAATCTTCCAAATTGATTTCCATCTCGTATCGAGTATCCATATCCAAATGCGTCAATCCATGGCCGATCACTTGTATGATAGATAAAGGTCCAAAGTCGCGAGCATTTCTTTGCTTATCTATTGAAGCATTATTAGTGATCATTCTATCTTTATCCATATAGATTTTATTTTACTTGCCTTTGACGTAAAGCATTCTTACACTCCTAAAAGTCGCTTGTTCGAGGATATGACATGGATCATGATTGCTTTCTAGTTTCATGTAAAGTTTCTTGATGAATGGTGCAAAGCGGATCAATTCAGCATGCTGCACTTGATCAGCCACGTCCTTGTCAGCGTCATGTGGTGATCTCGTTGACAACCAAAAAGAAAGGCAATCGTATTGAAGAACCCGCTCTCGCCATATCCGGGAAACATACAAATAGGGACATGGTTTGGATGAATGCAACCGCTCGTCTCTCATCAATCTCGGTATGATATTGGTCGCCACGACTTCTTCAGGTAATAAGCTAACAGGATCCATCTTTTTGCTCAAATGCTCCTTGGCAACGCGTATTGATCTCTCCAGCTGTGGATCAGGAACGGCCATATTCTCAAGTCCTTTGGTGTATTCATTGATAGCTGCAAGCTGTCGTCCTTGTTGTATATAAACATCCCCAGCACACTGATAGCCGATAGCAGACGACGGGTCCAACGATTGAATGACGGCTGCGTCACGTAAAGCGGTGTCAAACGAAGCGACCAAGGCCAATTGTCGTGCACGATCCTCAAGCAAGCTGACTAGTTGGTCCATGTCGTTTGTGTCAAGACATTGCTGAATTCGACTTGTTGCTCTACTAATGACAGTGGCTGCATCACGATACGAGGCGGCAATGGGTGGAGGTTGAAGAAGGTCTTGCAAGTCTGATAGTGCTGATACGGTCATTGTGGAAGAGTATGGTTCGGCATGATGCGCTTTGACACCAACACCGCACTTTGATGCTACCACAGCCCATCCATCAGTGATTGATGCTTTATCCGCGCCAAGTAGTCATAGCTTATATTTGTACCTCCTATTCCCTGAGCGATTTTTTTCTTGATCAATTAAACTTTCTATACGCATGCTAAAATCGTGCACTGACGAAGCGATCGTTCATAGTTCATACAAAGCTTCCTATTATAAAATAATCAGCCGCGCATAAATGCTACACAAATAACATTGAGCCAATCTAAATGGGGTCGCAGCAGCGGTGGGGGCAATATGAAAAGTGCGTTGTTGTTAACTATATAGGCTGATCAACGTATTACTATGCGTAATGGATTTAAATCATTGACTGAGTAGTCAGCCACGAATAATCTATCCACAATTGAGGTATGCGCTGCAACCGCTTCACATGTTGGAAGAATCAAAGTTACACAATTCGGGTTACACCCGTCAGCAGGCTTGGGACAACGAGAACAAAAGTGTAAATACATTGCCCCCTTTTTCTTTCCTTTCATTCAACATGCAAGCGTTAGTGAAGGTATAATCCCACAATCCATCCGAGCATTGAAAATAAGCTAATGATATGCAAGGCATACAGCTCGCTGGCTGGCACGTCCAATGAGAAGATCGAGTTTAAACAGCAATGGACATTAGGAGAGATATTCAGGCATCCAGATATCCGCTTTTTGTATGTTCCTAGTGCCAACGAACAACGCAAGATGACCCTTTTTACTCCCTCGAAGCATCAACAGACCTCTTTTCTCGAGCAAAACTTTTATACATTATCGCATCTGTGGGATACCAAACCCGGCGAGAACCTGTGGGACGTGAGTGATTTCATTATTGATGAAGAAGGTATCACAGTCGAACCTATCCCTATGCGTCCTGAAAAACGAGAGACACTGCTTAGCTTGCTAAAAGCGAATCCTGGGTATTGGTGGATTGATGTGCTGTGCAGCAGATCGGATACGCCACCAGTGATCATGAGCGGGGTTTATAGGCGCTGCAAGAAATGCTTTGCCATGATTGATTGTCCAGCTGAAGATATCGAATACTTCACACCTGACAGGAAGAATCAATTGGATCATGCTCTTCATGGTGAGCAAGTGGAAAAGGAACCAGCAGTTACTACTAGTCAGCATCTCATAAAGGAAGCATGGCAACATGGACGCAATATTGATGCCAGTCGTTGGTTCAAGCGTGTATGGACCTTGCAAGAAGCGCTACTTCCCTCTTGTGTTGTATTACTTTCTGAAATATCTGACACCTATGATGATACAAGCACCGTGTTGCTGGAATCGCTCATTTATTATCATTTTCAAATGAGAAAACTACAACTGGGTAAGTATGGATATGCATTGATCAAACAGCATACTCATGTTGCTGGCTCGTCTCTTCAAGGTGATATGCTCTTGAATACGCCATTGGTTGTAAAGGATGAGGTGCGTTCGAATGCTAGTCTTGGAGGTCACCTGGAGCCCCTTGTCATATTCTTTAACCATCTCAGGTCATCGAAACGATCATGCTACCTGGCAGTAGACTACGTGTATGGTATCCTTGGTATTCTTGGTGTTGATGTTCCACGACAGGACAACCCTGATGTCGTATGGAAGCATTTTCTTGCATATCTCGACCATGTTGTCTATGAAACGTACGGAGGTAATGACATGAGTTTCCATGACTATTCAAAAATCGATGTCTCAGAGAAAGCTCGGCAATTCGTATTGTCTGAAGCAGACAATTTGGGTCAAGTATTTGATAATGTGCTACAAGTGAATCTTCATTGCCCGTGCATGGACTGCTCTGTCGTGAATCATCGGATATTAAACGCTTCAAAGCTACCACCATTACGATGAAAAAGCCAGCCCGTGGTTCAATGTTATGGGAGGAATGACTATACGTGAAAGCTCATAGTTTAATATTATCAAGGCACTTGATTATCACTGCTAAAATCTAGATAGACATCTATCATGTAATACACACTTCTTTTATGCTGGCCGAAAGCGTATCTTTTGTACTTTGGCTCACCGCGTTACCCGGCATATCAATTGACAGGCATTCCAAGACAGGGCAATTTTGCAATTGCAGAACATCATGTTCCGGTAGACTGTTGCAGTAAATGGCAATAGACTTGAGATGCTTGAGTCGTTGCAATGGAGAAAATACACCTTCCGCCACCAAGCCGTGATCGCATGTCACCTCAATTTCTTCCAACGCGGCACAATTTGTAGCCAATGCTTCCATAAACGATACAAAGCTCGCATCCATATCGAATTGGGTCATCAATGCAAATATTCTCAGGCGAGAGAGATGGGCGACAGGATATAACCATGATGGAATCACAGAGTCAGGAGATGACGATGATGATGGTAGAACATTGAATAAAGAAAGCCTTTCCAAATTCGACCTAGCTCCCAGATGAGCGTGATGTTGTAACAGCTTTTCCAATGCTTGGTGATAATTCTCGTCACATGAGTCTGGTTCGAAACGGAGTTCCAGGCGGTTCAAATGTTGCAAGGAGATTAAGCAATCCAGGGCTTTTGATTGAACGGCTGAAGCTATCAACCTGACATAACGTAGATTTGGCGCATTCGAGATCACCCAGGTAGAAAATCCAGCATGGTGGTGCTCAGTGGTATGGAGAGCCAGTTGAACCAATTGAGGAAATTGAATATCATTTTGGATCGATATAGCAACATCATCAGCCATCGATCTCACCATCAAGTTGAGTAGTTCGAGTTGTTCAGCATGAGCACGGACAAGTGACACCACATCCTCCATATAACATTGGCGACGAAATTGAAGGATCAATGCATGGCGAATACCATCGACGTGTCCAATAAGAGGGAGGAGGAAGCCACTTTGAAGATTAACCCATTGCAGCCGTGGACAATATTGGTGAATCAATGCAAGCGGCCTTGTATCAATAGCAGGTTTAGCGAGCAGTTTGGTCAGCGAAGGGAATGTCTTGTAGATGGCCTCTAGGCTTTCTTGAGGAAGCGTAACGTAGAGATTGCGTATCGCAAGATGGACCAATTTTGGATATACATGGTTGCATAAAGACGACGTATCCAAGGCAACACCGCCGCCAAGTGTGCATGATACCAAGTTTGGGCACATTTCCAAAATATCCTCAAATCTCATCGTCATCCCGTGCCATATGTCAATCTCCAAATGTGTCAACCCATTACCATTCATTCGTAAAGCAGAAAGTGGTCCTTGATCATGCCAATCAAATGCGTCACCTAATAATGGTACATGTTAATACGTCAAGATCTATTATATCAAACCAGGAGATGCCGCTTGCCTTTGATGTATAGCTTTCTTAAAGAGCAAAAGTTCGCTTGTGAAAGAATATGCCATGGTCCCTTTCCATGCTTCTGACCCACGTGCAACGATTCAATAAAAGGTGCAAAACGAATAACCTCAGCATGTTGTTGGATTTCATGTGCAACGTCGCTTTCTTTATTGCCGTTTGATATTTTGAAAGAAAGGCAATCGTATTGAAGGACTCGTTCTCGCCATACGCGGCACACATGCAAATAAGGACATGGTTTGGATGAATACAATGGCCCGTCTCCCATCACTCTCGGTATGATGTTGATCACCACCACTTCTTCAGGTAATAAGCTAACGAGATCCATCTTTTTGCTCAAATGCTTCTTGGCTACACGTATTGATCTCTCCAGCTGTGGATGAGGAACGGCCATATTCTCAAGTCCTTTAGTGTATTCATTGATGGCTGCAAGCTGTCGTCCTTGTTGCACATAAACATCCCCAGCACACTGGTAGCCGATAGCAGACGACGTGTCCAACGACTGAATGATGGCTGCGTCACGTAAAGCTGCGTCAAACGAAGCGCATAGTGCCAACGCTTTTGAACGGGTCTCCAGTAAGCTGACTAGTTGGTCCATGTCCTCCGTGTCATTGCATTGGTGAATTCGACTTGTTGCTTTGGTAATGACAGTGGGTGCATCACCATGCGAGGCGACAATGGTGGGCAGTTGGCCGAGCTCTTGCAAGTCTTGTATGGTCATTGTAGAGGAGAGAACTACCACTTTGCATGGAACGTTGTTCTTTTTTAACACCAATAGTCCGGATTGGTACCACATAAATAGGATCGACGAAATTAATGCAACTATCATACATAGCACTTGACGTAGCTTCATATCCTATACATGCAATAAACTTTATTCAACAAGACTAAGATCGATTCCACTACCCTAAACAGGAGAAAATGTATCCATGAATGCTACAATGCATTTATCCTTGTACCTCGGTTTCCTCCACAATTGATTGTCGTCTAGGTGACACCTTTAAGAATGGGAACACATCTTTCAATGATGAAGCCACACGCATGGATGGAGCATCATGAGTACAAAGCTCTATCGTTTGCAAGTGACGACATTGCAGTGAAGACCTGATACCATCCTTAAAGTTGTAACCTTCGAGCATCAAGTGTCTGAGGTTCGGGAACTGGGATAATTCGGCCAACGTTTCGTAAAATACCCAATTAGGATCACTGGAGATTAACTTGAAGCATTCTAATTGCGGTGATGTGGTTGCGAATGCGTTGATAAAACGAGCCAATGTGCGATCTGAAACACCAGAAATATTCAGCTTGAGAGTCTTGATGCAAGGCAATTGAGAGATTGAAAGCAAATCATCCACGATCTCTTCCCAGGATTCAGTAATGCAAAGCTCGAGTGTGGTCAAGGATGATGATTGAGCACCCAAGTCTCGATGATGGGCAGCCAAAGTTTGTAAAAGGGGCACGTGATCAGGATTCACCCGCACATTGAGCGTATGGAGTCGTTGGCGATGAATCAAGGCTTGAATAATGTTTTCATTGATGGCACTTGGATCCAGGTGAACCTCTTGGAGATTGGGTGCTCGAGTAATGATCCAATCCGTGATAGCGATATGATGGGGACTTTCCATGGGTATAGAATCGAATCGTACCAGCCGCTCAAAACAGATATCCGCATCCAATTGTAAACCCTCTGGCTGGGGACGAAGATCAAGCAAATGCAACCGGCATGCTACAAGTGTGCTGGCATGCGCATGTAAAATCGATGCAATATCCTTGGTACTGTACAACTCAAGCACATGAGATGTTTCTGTGATGGACAAATCGAGTACTTGAAGACCCACTTTGCTTCGATCCACGTAGGTTGTTGGTAAGATGGTCTCTGGACCCAGTGCCAAATAACGCAAGTAAGGACACCAAGGCACCGTCTCAACCAAAGTGCGGGATGATACGAATGAAGATAATGAAAGATCCTCGATATAGGGCAATCGTTCAAACATATCGATGATGCTTTGTGATGAATTGGTAAGCTCCACGTGAATCGCCAATGATCGTAACGATGACCACTGGTTCTTGTTCTCAAATGCAATATCCATCTTGGCTGCGCCCCGACAAGTGAACGATATCAATTTGGGACACGCTACTCTGATGCAATCCAAATCCAAAATAGAGTCACCCCTCCTTGACACAGCAGCTTCGATAACCAATTGCTCGAGTTTTCTACCATAGTAGCGGACCAATTTGGCTAATACATTTTTCAACTGTGGGCCGAGATCTAGGGACGATTCAACATCGATTAGTCCCATGCCATAAAACAAAACAAGTCTACATTTACCTTCGAGATATAAACGCTTAAGATTAGAAAAGGTTGCTTTCTTGAACAACCGCTTGTAATACATGACGCTGTACAGAAAATCCAGTGATTGGACATTGGACTCATAAGTGATCAAATCATTTCCATCGTCAAGACAGCTCGCGTCGGTGATTCTGAAATGCAATGGGACTAGCTGAAGAATCTTTTCATTCCATGTCTTTGATACATGCAAAAGAGGTGTGTTGGCACAATCGAAAGGCTCATCATTCACGACCATCCTTAAAATGTTGGCGACAGGTTCGAGCGGGAGCCGTTTGATAAAGTCGATAGTTTTGTCGCTTTGCTCTACCGATGCAGACTTTGTTTGAACAAGCCGCTGATAATCTGGATTGGATGTTGATACGGAAGCTAGCCCCTTGTTGTATACATCCATGGCCTTGCGGTGATAGCCATATTGTGCGTAAATGTTGCCCGATAAAAGATATCCATCCACTGACTCTGGTTTCCATTGCTGGATCTTCGTTGCGTCTTCTTGTGCCTTCTCAAACTCTCCTATCTCGACAAAGGAACGCACTCGAATCTCCAGTATCTTCACAAGCTTCGCAAGCAAATGGTCGTAGGTTGAAGTAGCATGGCGTATTACAGGTGCGTGCGATCCTGAACGTTGAGCAGATTCCAAAGTGCTAACGAGATCCTCCCACGATTGTGCTGGCATGGTGGTGGTGGTGGTGGTGTGGAAGTGGATAGCAAAAAGAGGAGAGGAGAGAGAAAAGTTGCTTCCCCGCATGGTCTTACGTACTTTAACTGCGCATGTACACACCGCCACAATCTCCCTCTCATATTTCTTCATCAAATTAAAGTCAAACACGCGTGTTGTAGCATCACTGCTCCTCCTCATTGCGAAATGTAAAAAGTAATTTTTCATACACAAAAGAACCCTGATCATGATGATTTGGACTACTTTTTCAACCTTTCTATGCTTTACTTATTGGGACTGCGCGTTTGTTGTCGTGAATCACTTATGCAGTGAATGGACTTTTCACTTGACACAACGCCTTCATTAAATACACTCATCACCATTGTCAATGGGATAAAAAGTTTCATTGATATGCAAAGGGCTAATCATAATGGTGATACAAATTGTGAGACGTGATTGTACGGTCAAGTAAAGATAAGAAACGAGAGTAGCAAAACTAATGTCTGAATTGCTTTGGCTTTTTCGCCTTGCTAGATTGTGGATCATAGGAAGTGCTAGCACTGGGGCGTTTGCTGCTCTCGTGGGAACGCTTTCCAGTAGGCTTGGTAAAGTGCTTTTCAATGTATTTAGCAAGCTGCTTTTCGATGGATCTGGCAAATTGATTTTCAATGGGTTTGGCAGGCTGCTTTTCGATGGATTTGGCAGATTGATTTTCATTGGGCTTGGTAGGTTGCTTTTCAATGGGTTTGGCAGGTTGCTTCCCCTTGTCAAGTTGCTTGGAAGCGATATTGTGCTTGACAATGTCCTTGTTTATGACAAGTTGCGTGGCCTTTTCGGTGGGCTTAACAACGGATTCCTTCATTTTGGCAGCAGCATCCTTTGGGTTAGTGACGTTTTGGGGTGGTGGGACCTGCTGAGGTGCTTCGATAATTTGGCTTGCTGATGAGCCCGTGTCGCTTGATTCTGTATCGGTCTCACTGGACGAGGTATCATCATCATCGGTATCATCGTCATCACTACTATCACCATTATCCGAGGAATCATCACCATCGTCATTTGTGGATTGATCATCGCCATCACTCTTATGCGAGCTGTCATCATTGGATGAGGTTGCTGTTGTTGTAGCAACAGGCTCTCCACCTAGACTCTCGGCGGCCAACTTTGCGCAGTGTGCCTCCATCTCCATTTCATAGCGTTTCCTTTCTTCCTTGGCCTTGATGATGTAGGGCTATGAAAATGGTCAAGATCACATCTCGGTACCCCACACGTAGTACATACCTGCTTTTCTGCATCACTAAGCGCGTTCCATTTTTGAGCAAGCAACGTCACAACATCACTGGCTTTACCACTTTTTGTCTCCTTCCTGGTTTCTTGGCGGTGATCATCACTGAACAAAATATAGGATGACTTTGGATACTTGGGCATATCCGGTGCTCTTGGTTGTCTTGACTTCTTTCCCGCAAGTTGTGCTGGCATTTCACCGAGCAAATCGGCAAATAACACCATTTGATGGGCAGCGTCGATGCACACTTGCGAGAGCCTTTTTACTGGAGAAGACTATGTCTGTGTATTAGTCACTGTAAAGTTAAATGGGCAATCAAATTTACCTGGTCAGCGTCGTTTGACATGTTTGAAAAGAAAAAAGAAAAAGGAAGAGATTCAGCGCAAGACAAGAAGCTTTTTGGTCTATACTTAATACTGTATGCACCACCTTTTTACCTCTTGACTGGGTCGTAGCTTGTTTACTATGTACGTTGGTGAACGACTTCTTTGATAGATACTTACACTCCTTCTTTGACACAAATGATTGACACCGCTTGTTTTTTTTACTTTCCATTCGATCTCATTTTGAATGTTCCACAATCAACGTAGTTAATATGCCACGCCACCACGGCTGATATGCGTAAATGATATATCCATTCGCTGCAGCGACTTGTGTGAAGAAAGTGGTATCCAAGGCAACCGGTAACCATCAACCTCGCGTTTGTTCCACAACAACTTGGACGCCGACACTTGCATACGCTCCCACCACCCTTGATGATGTTGTAAACCAGTCATGGTTCCTATGTATGTTTTCAGACGGTCTTTTGTGTGGCATATGTGTGTGCTCTGCGCTGTGTAGAATAAAGAGAACGAAAGCGACCTTTGACAATCTCCATACACCAAATCGCTATGCCCATTAAAATGAAAATGAGCTGAAGGGGAAACGGGGGGTGGGAGATAAACACACACATTCCACGTTTATGCGCGTGTCTATCACGCGTGTATGATGCCATATTGGGTTTGCATTTATGTTGACTCCACACAACATACTACAAAAAAGGCTTTCGCTGTATAAGATACAAAGCGTGCTTGGCACTACCTTCTTTACGGATACTGCTAGTGATATCTCGAACATACATACCTTCATTGTCATCATCAGCAGCAACACAAAATAACGCATGATGATACGAGAGGAGCTGTTGTATATATTAAAGATACACCCTTGGGTGTGAAATAATGACATGAGCTGTGACAGGGAACACCATATGCACTCCTCAAGTTGATAACGTTGTTTCAGGATCTGGGTACGAGCTTTGATTGCATAAAAGGGCTCGCACGTTACCACACAACAATAAGCATCATGTTGTCTGAACCCTTAAAAGACGGTATCCATGATACTGATCGCACTTGGCTGTTTACAAGCAGCCGTATTCCTCAATACAATTTTGCTTATTGTTGTTTTCAAGCGTGTTCATATGAATTCATGTCATCTCTTCCTCATCGTCACATGAGAGTGTTTGTATTTATTACTATATTATGTGCCACATACTACTAGGCATGGTGATCTCCAAAAGAATCATCTTTTGTGATACTACGGCTTTCTTTGAGTTGCTGCTTGAGCTCAAATGCATAATCTTCGATATCATAAGGTTTATAGAGCCCGGAACAAGTTTGAAAATACATTTCTGGAACGTTCTTCTTGAGATAAACAGCCTGATCAAGTTCCAACTTGTGTAGTGTGGTAACATGTAGCTTTTGTAAAGCCTCACATTCCCCCAAAGCCAACGCATCCTCTTTGAATAGTTGATTGGTGTGGATATAAAGCGTCTCAATGGTCTTGAGGTCTTTCAGAGGAGAGATAACACCCGTTTCAAAATGTCCATGATAGCTACTGAACGATGCTTCTCTCAAGGTCCAACACTGTTCAGCAAGTAGCTTTGTGAATTCGGCAACTTCCTTGTCAACAAAGCTGCCGACTCTGAATCCAAGTGTTTCCAATTTGGGAAGCGTAGCCACAGGTAGCAACCAAGCAAGGAGTGGTGTATTGGATACCTGGAATGCTAGATGTTTCAAACGAGATGCGTCTCCCAGAGAGCTCTGCGTTTCGAAAAAGCACTTTCTGGCTTGAACCAAGCTGTCATTGTGGATTCCATCAGGTTGTGATATCATGTGCAAGTTTTCAAGGCTCGATAGATGCGTCATAGCGTGGATAACTTTGTTGTTGATAGCCGCGTTTGCGAGATGGATTGAATTTAATGCCGGTGCATTCTCTATGATCCACCCTGGTAGATCATTTTCCCATAGCAAATCCATATCTAGTTTTCGTAGACGAGGTAGACATATCTTTTTTGCGGCAATGTCATCCGTGATCGGGTATCTGCTAGCGCCAGCTTTGTTGCTTAATCCATATCCACAGCGATAATCGAAGGCTTCCAATTTGGATCCAAAACAAGAGAGTAAAAATGAAATGCGTGTTGCTGCATGGACATCCCTTTCATCCCATATTTGAAACACATGTTGAAAACCACGATAACTTTCAAAGAAATAAGGCACGTATTGATCCGTACCATACTTTAATGACTTCAAAGAGGGACAATGTTGATGCAAGGTGGTCAGAGGTCTTAGACTGGAACATGGATGAGCAGAGAGGTGTTGTAAAGAAGGAACACGGCGTAATATGTCGATCATTCCTTCATCAGTGATTGGAGTTGCTGTATAACGTAACAATAAATGCTTCATGGCTGGGTATTGTTGGTCGCTGTCAAGGGCTGTCATATCGGTCTCGCAATGATTCAATGTCAGTGAAATGAGCCTGGGACATAGCATCAATATCTGTGAAAGCTGCATGGTCATTGATTCATCCTTTTGTCCATATGCAGTATGGTGACGAGGGATGACCTCCAAATGCGTGAGAACGCTGCTGCTTCCTATGGATCGTATGGTCGAGCATAATGATGCCATGTTGCTTCTTCCTATTATTAATATTAGCAACGTGAGCTCTTGTTCCTCTCATCTCACATTGCCATCTATATAGTTACCATTGATATACAATTGTCTCAAGGAGCCAAACTTCAGGTGGTGGATGTCACCATAATCATAACTGCCACTGGACCCTGTAGTAACCACCGAAAGTGACTTCACATAAGGAGCTATCATTTTCAATCGCTCATGCTGCCTGCTTCCAGATGGATCGGATATGGATGTGCCCTCTTTGGGTTGAAAGCTGAGGTGAATGCAGTTGGATTTCAGGATACGCTCGTGCCATGTTTGGGACACTTGCATGTAATCGCATGACATGTCCTCCAGGGTCATCTCCACATCATCCATCAACATGGGTGCAATACAATTCGCCACAATATCCATAGGCAATTGACTCAAAAAGTCGATACGTTTATTCATTGCTGATTCTGCTATCGCCTTGCCATCCTCAAGTCGATGATAATAGGGATCGTCTTTGGATACTGCTTCAAGCCCCTTATCATACGCAGCCAATGCCATTTTCTGTCGCCCTCGCTGTGCATAGGCATCACCTTCGTACAGATAGCCTATTGCTGACGACGGCTGCAATAGTTGAATCGAGTTGGCATCGCGAATAGCTGCGTCAGGGTTGGCACACTTGGACAAAGCTAATGACCGGCGTTCAAGAGCACGTAACAAGATTTTGATCGCCTGCCGAACATGCTTGGTTGACTGAATGACGACGTCTTTGTACCGATGGCTGCACGCTGGAATGTAAGGAGTCGTGTCGAGGTCGTTCAAGAGAAGGGTCATTATGCCAAAAAGATAAAACGTCGACCTGCGAGCCTCATCAACCAGCGAGATCAAAGGTCGTGTCTATTAGGCTTCTCCCATTAAGGCTAGTGCCATCCGTAAACAGCATACTGTAATGCGTACGCCCACAATACGCACCATTGTTTATTCATGTGTGGTTATTAGCTTCCTCATTATGTAATAAAAGGACGCATCCATTTATTATTACAGTCGATGGTATCTCTATGAATGCAGACAGCTTTATTAGATTAGTGCTGATGAGGAGGATAATATCGTGATATGATGATGATGATGATGATATGATAACGTGTAACAGTGTATTATGCGTGCGGTACTATTTCAAAACGAGGGGGAGGAGATCTAGCGGCATTGTTTAGAATGAACACCAAGACACCGTGGACAAAAACCAGTTGTGCGACATTTTGAGCATGCTTTCCTGCAATGATGACAAACTGTGCGTTTCCTGATCTTTCCACCCGTCTTGTTGATGACAATACATTTGCAATGTATCAAATCAGCAGCTTGCTTATCACTGGCACAATTCCGACACCATTGACCATGACATCCACCAGCGCACATGATGAGTTCGCACGTAGGACAAGCAACAATACCACAACGAGAGCATTGATTGGACGCATATCCACCATCACTTGTGCGGCATTGAGCATGAAAGAGACCATTGCAACTACCACAGGGGCTGTTACTTGCACGAGCACAGGCTTGGTTATGGTTACAAATAGAGAGAGGTCGATCGCATCTTCCACAGGTCGTTGTTGATATGTGTACTGATTGGCTTGCACGACATCCTGGTCGATTACAGGTACGGATACTGCACCTAAACACGGCCATTAGTATGCATACAAATATTAACTTATGGCCCTTGGCACTTGCCTATCGCATCGTGGAGCACATTTGTTGCATTTGTGGATATAAACAGGTCCACATGATACGCAATGGACAAAAGCTGCTGCTGCTCCAACATGACAAAAATCGCACAAGAAGCAATCCATCTGCACAGGTCGTCTTGCAAGTTGTTCCAAAGCATTACGAATGACTGCCAAATCCTGACCGAATGATTGTGGTGCGTTGGGCTTATCCTCCAAGTCTTGCTGGGTGACGCCTCGTCGTAATGCTTTCCCCAATTCAAACCTTTCCAACTGTGTCATAATACCTGAACCACTTGCCACAAGATGCATAAGTTTTCCGCCGAGTGGGAAAGAATGAACGCCCCAGCATCCTTTGACCGATAGCCACCGCATAGCAGGAAAATGGATCAAGACGTGAACAATAGCATCGGCATTGACTGATGTGCCATCCAGCGTAATGGTATGAACAGCATGTTGCAATTGATGTCGTTCGAGTGATACAGTCATCGCATGAATCGTAGCACTATCCACGTATTCTCCTGCATAACCCATAAACCATACATGGCGCCATACTTGGGGACGAAAGACGGCTTGCAAGAGTGCAGTGCATGTGGAAGCAAGCCGAACACGTGTACGAGCATCGAGATATTGGGCAATAGTACAAAGCGCTCGTTCAGGAAGGTCTGATAATGATTGGGGCCGTGTCTGCCATTGTCCACGTCCTAACCTTTCAGTAATGGATGATAATGATCGCTGTGAAAGGAGACGCACTGCTTCAGGTCGCATAGGAATCACTTGTTGTGCAAGTCCATGCCTTTCTACAGGAGTTGGTAACACCACTTGGGCTGCTGTTGTTGTTGTAGTAGACATTGGTTGTGTCGTATGAATAGTCAATGGCATATTTTGTGGTTGCTGTTGCTCTTGTAGTGGTGGTGAATAGTTGTTGGTAGAGTCGTCAAGTGTCAGGGCTGCCATGGAAGGTTGTAACTGAAGAGTTGGAGGGGGGACAGTGTCTTGATGAGCGGTAGGTGCTGTTGTTGCCAATGTCACTACTGGAGTTTGCCCTGATCGAGCGTGTATATAGGCTGCATCGGCTTCAGACAAACGTTCAATAGGAATCGCAATCATTCCACCTCCAGCTTTACGCAACTTGACCTTGGTTTTTTGAAAGAGGCCCACATAAGCAGCTTCCACCTCGAACTTGCCATCGTTTCCTCGCCATGTACGCATAGACTGATCCTCTGCCGCTGTCATTGGAAAGAATACAAAAAAAAGAGAAATAAAAAGGCGGCTGAGGGTGTTTTTAATTACACTCTCTCCCACACGAACCTTACTTTAATTGAGTTTGAGAGAAACTCGTGTTACATCCATTTTGCAACAAAAATAGCCACTCTCCACTGGGGCCACGTGAGATGATCCGTTACATCGCGTCGGCATGACAACGTGTTTCACTTACTACAGATACTCAGGCAACCTCATCCATTCTTTATACCTACATCGTCATCTTTATTATGTAAATGGAATATAGATTATTGACTAGCTAGCTATAGATGCTCCCTGACCATAATTCACATTATCGATCTTATACTTCAATTGACGCAAGACCTTAGAGTCAACATCCTCGGGTACCTCCAAATACGTTAAACGAGGACATGCAAGCAAGCACAAAAGAGATGACGATGAACTGGTAACCACCTTTGATAAATCCAGACGCTTAAGTTTCTTGAGATTGTGCAAGAGGAATAGTTGATAGTCGTCCATGGCTTGTCCCTCCAATAATAAATCTTCCAAGTTTGTGCAGATGCCCACGAGTTGCTCGAGAAACGCAGAAAAGTTTTCGTGAATTACACCATCCAAGGATTTCAAAGATAAGGAACGTAAGCGTGGTAAATAGGCAAGCGAAAAGATCCAGGGTTGAGTGTTCATTGGATGCTCAAAGTAGATAGCAAACTTTTCAAGGTGGGATCGATGTTCTAATCGTGCATGACGACACAGCATCTGCCGTAAAGCAAATTGATCATGGATGCCATCTGGTATTCCCAAATTTAGCTCCTCAAGGTAAATGCGTTCCGATAAAGCGTCAAAGATGGCACCGTGGGTCGCAGCTGACAGCTCAAGATGGACTGATTTCAAAAAAGGGGCATGTCGAATCACCCACGTACAAAATGGAACGACGTAGGGCTCATAAGCAGTGAATGAGAGCTTGCGAAGGCGTGTGAATTGCTGTATGCTGTTATCCAATTCCTCATGATTCACACCATCCAAAACACCTTTGAACGTCAATGATTCGAGCGTCTTCATATGCGGCGTCAGAAATGATATCACATGTTCCACGTTGTATATCTTCACACCAGAGCTATCAATATGCAGATCCTTGAGTCCTTTTGAATTACTATGGGCCAGTTGATTCCTTGGTATACCAATGCTAGAACATGTTCCAGAGCAGCAGCATTCAAGTCTCCTTAACGAAGGACACCACCGTTGTATTGATTCCAATGCGTCTGAGTCGGTGCAGGGAGAGATGGCAAGTGACTGCAATGATCCCAAATGAACCAAGATTGTTGATAGATGGGTGGGTGTAATCTCTGGAAAAGTATGATCCAACACCATATCGATGACATTTGGGTATTCTTCCCTTGGAGGATCTGTTATATCCAAGTAGGATGCATGAATCGAGATGAGATAGGGACAACTTTGTAAGATATTGTTCAAGTGAATTGGTGGGTCGCCTCTTTGCTGGATGGTGATGTGGGTGAGATGATTGCCAATGGATGTATTCAATGCTGTAATAAATGATTGTGAATCTATTCGTGCTAAAGTGACTACGCGTTAAATAAGAAGATGTGAGATCGCATCCATGATCACTTACACGTATCATTAAGATGGGATTTGGTTTGTAAGACTTTCAATTGCTTGAGAGATTCAAAGCTGGCATCAGGTGGTAAAAGATCACCCATTGATGCATGAGTGCAGCAATCCAACAGTGTTAATGACTTGATATAGGAACCGTGGCGGATCAATGCATCGTGGCCATATCGACAGGCACACCCATCCACGTCGAATCCAATACAGTCGGACGCTATGATACGCTTACGCCAGGAATGAGACACCATTATGTACTCCCAAAGATTTCCATGTAATCTCGGTACGATATTGTTGACAACGATATCCAATGGCAGTTTGCTGATAAAGTCAAGTCGAATATTAGCTGCATGTTGTGCAGACGCCTTTGCACGCACCAGTTCGTGATATCCAAGATCAGCACGAGGCACCCTTTTAAGCCCACAATCATACGTATCCACAGCTGCTCGCTGGCGTCCTTGTTGTATATACACATAGCCCGAACAAAGATATCCGAGAGAAGACGACGGTGCAAGCATTTGCATTCTTGTCGCGTCATTGAGTGCGCTTTCAAATTGAGCACAGGCTGCGAGTGCTTTGACGCGATCGTTCAACTGTGATAACAAGGCCTGCAAAGTATCCACGATCATGTTGGTGCTCTCTTCAATACATAAGTCATTGTTCGCGTGAATGGTTGTTAGGTTGGGGAGATCGCCGATATCGTTCATAACAAAGTGAATAAAAGGTGAGAAACAGCATTGGATGTATTTGAATTCAAGTTTTGTGACATGGCTAGGCGATGCTGATCACGGGATCATGTTGCGCCTTTATTACAAGCAATGATGGGAAAGGTTCGTTATACGATATTACAAGATAAGGATTGTCCAAAAAATTATTAAAGACCTTACGTCAAGGTGGAAGATTGCGTCAACCAAGCTGACAAAGGGTGAGCGGGAGACATTACGGTGTGCACTATGCTTATCGATAGGAGCCAGCGATTGTAAACTTTCCAGACCAATCATATTGTGCGTGGTCTTGCACCTTTAGAGATACCGTCTTACTGCTTTGCATTCATGACCGACGAAGGGGCCAATGTTGGCACCGAAGATCCAATTTATGATGGCCAATTTTCATATCAGTGAACGAGACAAGATAATGAAAGCATCCCCTCCCACACCATCATCAGTAAGCACCATAGTATGCATACACTCATCACCCACCTATCACAATAAACCCCGAGGGAAAACCAATTTTTCACAATAAGATGCATATATACATAAGTGATGGTATTATTCATTTGCGTTGGTAGATGCAATGGAGTTGTGTCGGGACTGTGATCTGCGTAGACGCTCAATCTCACGTTTCAATGCGTCATTTTCTCGAGCAAGTTTTTCCCTCTCCCGATTGGAAGCAGCCAGCATGTGTTGTAAATGTTCCTAAATGATTTCATGAGTAACGCCAATCTAGAAAACCACAATCCCACCACTTACCACTGAACCGCCATAATGTTCAGAAGAGATAGATGTATAAGATCGTGCTCTATACAAAAGGTGAGTATAATTATTACACTAAAGGGAACTTTTATACCTTGACAAATGTTCATAATCACCACCACCCAATCGCTTTCCATCTCCACCTCGAGCCGATCTTTGCTTGAAAGCATCTCCAGCTGACATGTTAAGACCAGCCATCATCTCTTGAATCAAATTTTTCTGTGCATCCACTTGTTTCAATAACACTTCCATTTGCGAATAAACAGCAGGTACTCCTCCTCCATGATCAAGAAATCGCGCTGATTGGTCTCTCGATACAGTCGAGCAAGGGGACATGGTTGGCGATGAGACATTGGAACTTGGGGTATCATGATAGCCTAAAGAGACAAAACCATATAAGAAAAAAAAGCCCAAGTTGGCTGGTAGATTGTAATTGTACAATACCTTCTGCTTTTTCATTTACAACAGCAGTACTCGTATTACCACCTGTCAATTCAAACCGGCCCTTTTTGCGACATTCAGGTGACATGGTAGAAGGATCGCATACACCTTGTTCTTTGCTTGATTGTTGTTGTTGTTGTTGCTGTTGTTGCTCCTTTTCCACTGAAAATCGACTTGACTTGTGCGACGTTGTTGGAGTCATACTGGAGGAGGCAGGAGATGGTTCACGTGACATGGGTGGAGCATCAAACTTGACATGCATATCACCTGGTCCATGCACTGATGACTGATGGGATGCATTTCCTGGTTTGTGTTGTACCTCGAATCGCGATCTTCGTTCTACAAATCAAATCAGTACACTAATTTTTACTTGCATTAGCGTGGACACGTACCACTCTGTAGGCTATCTTGACTTGATACACGTGACACGGGTAAAGGGCGAATCTCATGAGATTGCTCTTGCTCATCTCCAGGCGCAGTTGTACTCTGCTGGTTGACACTAAATCGGCCACGCTTCACTTCTTGTGGAGGGGGAGCACTTGAGGAAGCTGATATTCCTAAACCAGTGGGTACTTCATCAGGTGTACTGCTTGTGATAGGAGAGATGTATGGCGAACCAGCGGAGGATGGATGACTGTTATCATCAAAATAGGCCGGTGATGTAGAGCGTTGTAAAGATGTCACTGATTGATGATGATCGCTATCACTCTTACTGTTGCCATCCTCTACCACAAATCGTGACTTTTTTGAAGGAGCAGGCGCTGCGATTTCAGGTGATGCTGCTTTTGACTCTGAAGTAGGGGATGATGTTGATGTTGGTTGTTGTTGCTGTTGTTGTTGATGTGGTTGTGGAGGATTACGTACAACGACCTCTCCGAATGTGATATGCTTCTTTTTCTCCTCACTGCCTGAAGGAGGTTGCTGTTGTTTGTTGTCTGCTGTGGTTGTTGCAGGGGTATCAAAATCCCATTGTTCAGTAGCTTCCACCGACACCTGTCTCTGGAGGACCTTCTTGTGCGGACGCTGTTCCAATGGAGGCACACGTGATAGTACTGTTCTCACTAGATACTCCTTCTTTTTTGCTTCCTTGAAAAAAGGATGATGTAAAAGCTTTTCAGCTGATGGTCTATTATCCCATGTTAGTGTTTGACAAGCACATGTATTATATTGTATATATACCTCTTGCTTGGATCCTTTTGTAGACACATGTCAATCATCTCCTTGAATGTCTTTGAGTACTTGTGCTTAGTATTGTCGCGATCCAGAGTAGGCGGGTCATTTGATAAAGTCATCATTAACACCTACATTATCACATGTTAAACAAACCCAAGTAGGGATAATGGATTTTCTTACCTTCATGGGAGGGTATTTTGCAAAGGGAGCGTGACCAGTCGCTAACTCAAGAGATGTAATACCAAAACTCCAAATGTCTGCCTTGTAATCATATCCTGCTTGCTCCATGACTTCAGGCGCCATCCAACATGGCTAACAAAATAGTATGAGTGATCCAATCATTGATCATCTGTTGTTACTTACTGTGCCCACGAACGTCTTGCGTAGCTCATTGTTCTCGGTCAAAGAACTGGATACCCCAAAGTCAGCCAACAAGACAGCTCCATGATTGTCCATCAATAAATTTCCGGCCTTGACATCACGATGAATGTGTCCATTCTTGTGCAAATACAACAATCCTTCCAGAGCCTGCCGTAAAATCGTTGCGATAGTCGCTTCCTCAAATCCATCACGAAAGGCTGTCTTCATGATATCAAGACATGATCCTTTAAACCGTCCTCTTAATACTTGTGAACCCATATACTTTTATGTATAACAACTTACCACCAGCAAGATAAGGAGTGACGATATACAATTTGGATCCAGATACAAATGAGCCATATACTTGAAGCACATTGGGATGCTTGGATAATGCCATCAACGCTGTTTCTCGCTACATGGCAACGGTTTGAATATATAGAACAATCAATGTAAAGACCACTTACACGAAGTTCGTCAATCTGGTTACGTTCAAACATATCGAGATCAATCATTTTGATGGCTACAGGCTTTTTGGTTGGCTTGTAGACGGCTGCATACACCACTGCCGATGATCCATAGCCTATATACCTTGGTCAGAATCACGAGAGATCAAGCTACTCTTTTGTCTCCAACATACCGATCGGCTTGCCAAGTTCAAAATCTTCTTCTTTCATGGCAGCATTGGTCTCTGCAATATGACTCAAACAGGAAGCTGATACATTGCCAACATGAGTTGAACTGGACGAGCTGGTTGGGTTATCGTGAAAAGAAGACATTCTCATTTGTAAAGCGTCCATGGCACTGAAGGATCGTCGAGGAGTATGGGGAGTGCTGGGTTCCGATCCGCTTGTCCCAGATGTTGCTGCAGTTGTTACGCCAAGATGAGGTCGTGGCGAGTTTTGTTGAGACATGATATAGTGTGCAACTCCCAGCAAAGGAGGAGGGTGGAGAAAGGTGGAAAAAGATCTGAAAAGAATAGATTGACTCGCTTGATTTTGTTTGGACCCGAGCGGTTTGATTGGCAGTGTGATACAAATGCACCCCTCCCCCCATTTTGCTGACAATCGTTTATCGCACGAGTGAGACGAGAAATCCTGCCATCGTCCCCCACACCCTCTCAGTCCCCAATTGCTGCTTAAATTACGGCAAGAACGGGTTACATCTGCTGCATCTCAACTGCTATCTATGATTAGCAGGGAATGGGCAGCAAGGCAATTGATGGATTACACATTTCAATTGTATATACAAGCATTGTATCTATATCTACAGGTTCATATAAAGAAATTGAGGGTGCATTACTGTTGCCATGGTTCCCACGAATACCCCGTCCTATAACGAGATTAAATATGCCCATAGTGACCTTGTTTATGATCATACATAACGTTTGAGTAGAAGTACTCGGCGCAATCGTCACTAAGAAAGCGGGTCCTGAAGATGGTAACGTTTCTTTGTACCAGGTACAATTTTCTAGAATTAAGAACGTAAGCAAAATCCAACAAGGCGTTCTTTATGTGAGAGATAAAAGTAGCGTAAAGTAGTATAGTTGAGAGAATCGCGAGCAAAATAAAGCATGCCGGGGATAATGGATGAACCAGCACGACGTCTTTAAGCTTTCACCATCACAAGCTAAGAAACACCTTGCATACCACAACATAGAAGGGATGCTGATGTAACCCACGACATCGCAGGTTTGAGCAAAAGTAACAATATCCTCATGCACTTTGTTAATACATATGGTTGGACACGTCGCTTTTTTTCTTTTGTACGCCTCGATAGAATACTTGGCGACACGCTTCATGAATTCTGATCAAACCTCTGCTGGATCTCGATTATCAATGATGGCAAGTCAAGTGTTTGCAACTTTGGTACTAATTACAACGTCAGAGCGGGATCCATCGAACCATTCACAATTGCCCAATATCGTATTCATTTTCGCAACTTGAGAACAGCCATACAACGGCAGAATTGCTCATAACTTGTTTGGCCATGAGATTACTTACGACGATTCTGCTGATTCGGTGACCACATCCATCTTCATATCCACAACGATCATTGAATCTTTGATCCCTTTTGCTTGAACGGCCACGTCATGTTGTACACTTTCATTGTTGTCAGCAGCCTACTCTTGACACTGTAATAGTATACGTGTATGTTAAGCAGCGAGGATGACCCAATTGCATTCGATACATTGCCGACTTTGAAAATTGTATTCACATACGCAAAGCACTGTAATGCAAACCATCCCTTTTCCGGTGAAGCAGATGGGAATTAATACGATATACCACAACGAAGACGATTGGATCGGCAAAGTATGCTGCCGTTAGCTCATGCATGTGTGAATAGTTATTCCGATAAACCTACATGCTAAAACAATTTAGCCACATGGGTAGGCTGTGCAAATGGCTCGAAAGCCTATTTATTAAAACGTAGTAAGACCAATGTTTAGGCAAATGAAGGGCATTTTACGAGCCGGGTGACATTGCTCCGTACAGAATGCTCGATGGTGGATGGCAACGGTCTCATAGAAAACCAGCAAAGTAATAAAAGAAAGGGGATCACGGAACAACAAAAATGCAACGCGCTATTCCGAAACCAGCACTTGGTGCACAAAGAAAAAGACATAAAAGGAGAAAAAAGTGCGATTTTAAAAGTGGAATTAATCTCATCACAAGATAATTTGCAGCCATGGACAGCATTATTGATAATGTCAATGCATACGTTGTTCCTTTCTTTACAAGCGAACAATCGCAACGTCTTTTTCATCGGCATCGAGTGTCTATTTCTGCAGCCGTCACTCTGATCACTACGTACGCACTATATACATCCATCACCACAGTCCCTCGAAAACTGGCACATATCCCACACCTCGGATTTTTTGACTATATCAAGGCAATGATGGATCGTAAACCAATCGATGAGGTATCCAAGGAGTTGACAATCCCAGCTGGAAACAAGTCCGACAGTGGGTTGTATGTGGTGAGTACCCCTTACTTTCGAATGCCTTTTCATCAAAAGATTTACATACTGCAACGGTAGCGTTTTGACAGAGATGGATGGACCATCCATGTAATTCGCCCAGAAGCTGCAAAAAGACTTTTATTTAAAACAGGTAAGACAGCAATATTCTATGACTACGAGTATAACAAGCACTGAACTTCTCTCAAGACATCTTCCCAAAGGCGGATCGATCACACACGTTTGGCACGTTATTTGGTCGTATGCTTGGCACGCGCCATATTGGCAGTCTTACGGGAGCACCATGGAAAGCTCACAGAAAGGTAAATAGAATAACATGGTAAATATTCTATCAGAGACTCACGTCTTCTTTTGCATATATAGATTGCCAATCCTGCTTTTCATGGAACGATGCCAGTCAACATGTTTGGCCAACTCAGCATCAAACTTTTCGGCGTGATGGACGAACTCTGCAAAGTGGGGCCTATTGATATTCACGATGCAACTGAAAGATGGACGTTGGATGCGCTTGGTCTCGCTGCGTTTGGTAGGTGATACTATGATGTTCCCTTGATTTTACAGCTGACTTGCCATAATATTCTCATCATGCAAGATTTTGACTTTAACGCTGTCGGAGATAAGAACAGCGAGTGGGTGACCCGCTACAAGACCGTCATGTCTGCAACGTTTGAGCCATTGTACTTGATGCTTCCAAAGTTGGATACCTGGTTTCTTCCTTTAAACGCAACACGCAAGCAAAAACATGCCGAATGCGATAGCCTTCTCAATATGATTGATGATATTATCGCTGCCAAACGCCAAATGCTAAAGAACAAGAAACAACCCAGTAACACTGACGAACACGAGGAAAAGGATGTGCTGACGATGATGATCGAAGCCGAAAACTCAGGTCAAGGAATTATGTCTGATGAGGAGTTGCGAGTAAGCACTTTGTGTGTAGTTGTTTTACCACTACGTGATTGACTTTGGAATATAGAACAATATGGTGATCTTCTTTATTGCTGGGCACGACACCACCGCAAACGCTTTGGCAGGCATTGCTTATGAGCTTGCTGTCAACCCAGTAAGTCAAAACGAATACAACTATCCTTACAATTAATAATAACAATGATGACGATGTAGGATGTACAAGCAAAGGCACGTGAAGAAGCTATCCGTGTATTGGGAGATGCCCCTGAGGATGTCATTCCTACCGCAGAGCAATGGAGCCAGATGCCTTATATCCATCAAGCCATCAAGGAGGTTCGTTTGAAGAAAATTATCCATTGGGAACTTTTCGAATGCTTATTACCAGGTCAACATTATAGAATCTCAGGGTTCATCCTCCTGCTGCATCAACTTTGGCACGTACCACCTCACAAGATACCGAGCTTGCAGGCACATTTATACCAAAAGGATCCAAAGTGGTACTTGATATTTACGAATTGCACCATAACCCAAAGGTGTGGAGGTACGTATTTTGAATGGACATGGAAGAACGACCATCACTCATTATTGGTTGCACAAAGCGACCCAGATACATTCAAACCCGAACGCTTTGCTCCAGGTGGTGAAGCAGAGCAATTAGCTGGCCAAGGAATGCCCTGGTTGCCTTTTATGTAAGTTTTGAGACTATTCTCTTTCGATTGAAATGTACCATGCTAAATAGAGCCATATAAACAGAAACGGACAAAGACAATGTTTAGGCATGAACTTTAGCTTGGCCGAACAACGCACGCTGCTACCTATGCTATGTAAGTAACTCAACCACCGATAGATGCGTTCTTTTTTCCTTAACGATAATCTCTGGATCTATATAGTGAGAAAGTACGAGTTGAGCCTTCCTGAAAACTCTGTTCATAAGAATGGCTTAAGCACAAAAGGACTTGTGCTGGGTGTTCAGCCCAATGACTTGCAAATTGTGTTCAAGCCACGTTACTAATAAACTAGCAACATGACATGCGACATTCATATGGAATTTACTCTGCATGATAACTATGATATACGCTATACAAAGGCAACTACTTGCAGCGTATGGACATGTCCGTGTCAAAGCGGCGATCTGTCCACTTGCAATGTGTGTACCTGATCTCCATCAAACCCAGCATTATATAGAAACTCGTGTAACGTTAATACTTCCTCCACTGATTACAGCCATTGCATATGATTTCGTGCGACCGTGAGAGAAAACTAGAGAAAAGATTGCTCCATTCACACTTATTGACACTAATCCTTTCTTTTTCCTTTTATTCATTATCACTTTTACTTTCCTTTAACTACACCATCCCCCTATATAATGCACTCTCTGCTGCATTTACTTATATCCTCGTCCTTCCTTTTTGGAGGTCTTTTGGCCCAAACTTGTACCAATGGTCCATACCGTACCGAATTTGCCCCAGTCTTAACAAACGATCGTGTGTATATTGTTGGGGGCACTATGGTAATAAGTAGTTTCACTGAACTCGAAGCTGCCTTACCGGGAAGCATTGACATTAAAAAACTATAGGATTCGGCCGATGTTTACAGTCTCGATCTATCGAATGGGCTAGACATTAACTGTCCTTACTGGACCAAACGTGACAAAGTACAAATCAACAGCCAGTTCGGGCCGTTCATGTATGGAGTTGCATATCCAGCAAGTAGTGGAGGCACAAGCGAAACGTTGTATGTTCAGGCTGGTGATGGTGGTACAGATGCGATGACCAAACTTGTGCAATACAATGTTTCTGGATCTTGGCGTGCTCGTAAGTGGTTCTTTTCTTTTACATTGCGTAAGGTTGATATCCAAGTGAATTGATTCAGATGCTTTTTGTACACAGCTCCTCTCTCAGGTGGATCGCCTGCAGCTCGTGCCGCCATGTCAGCAACTATCAACTCCACAGGGACTGCATTCTATTATGGTGGTCGTGCTCGACAAGGTTCAGATACACAATATGTGAGGTCGCCATCATCTTAAATCAAACTATGACTTATCATCTCTTGTTTAGTTTGATGACTTTTTTACCTTTGATACCAACACTGCTTCTTGGGGATGGCCTGAAATCACCTATGGCTGGGGGAAAGCACCCAAGCGCTATGGCCATTCAGCTACGCTGGTGTATGTATATAGATCCAACATAGTAGTGAGGTGTTAATGTGAAGTGTCCTTTGTATAGAGGGGATAAATTATTTGTTTTCGGTGGAGCAGTGGCATTGGATTCCTCAGGCAAGATGTACGCAGACTTCCAAAGCGTACTAGGTAGGTGAATATCATCATGCACTATTCAATGTTATTAATGAATGAATGAATGATCCCAAATTGTAGTGTTTGATACTGTCGAAAATACAGCACTAAGCATGGCGACTATTGGTGATATCCCTCCCGCTCGTTTTGGGTAAATCATTTCCTCCGCGATCAAACACATTACCTTTGCTAATATCCATACTATGGTTACAATGATAGATTCTCTGCTACACCAGGTAAACCAGCCGTTAGGTGGCTATTTTGGCTTGTTCTAACACATAATTGCTTAATAGCTCCGGATGGCAAATCGATTGTCGTATTTGGTGGTCTCAACACATCAGCATCTGGTTTCGATAGCTCGCAAGACGTGTTTGTCTTAGACACATGTACCTTGTCATGGTCCAAGCCAGAAGTTAGCGGTGATGCACCTGTTGCACGTGCAGGACATGGTGCGATTACTTATGGCCAGTATATGCTTGTCATGCTTGGTAAGAAAGAGAATGATACTCGTTTCTATTTTGTATTCACATTGTGTATAAGGATACAGCGGTATTCTCCAGTACCAAGACCAAAAGTATCCAAATTTGACAAACAGTGTTGGAATTCTCGACATGAAATCATGGAAATGGGTAGACAAGATCTCACACCAAGACGATCCTAGCCGCTACGACAACCCTGGATGCTCATTCTCTTTCCCAAATTTTCCTTCTGACACGAACGTTTATGGTGGTGATCATCCTTTGCCATACGATCCAACAGTCATCAGTAATCCAAATAAGCCGAGCAACGGTGCACGTAACAAAGGACTAGCCATTGGTTTCTCGCTTTTGGGAGCATTGCTGGTTGTCTTTGGTGTTTGGTGGTACATGCGTCGCCAGCGCCGAAAGGCTCGTGCACTAAACCCACGTTGGCTACCAGGTGCTGTGACCTCTCAGCAAAACAATAATGACTACCCACTTTTTGTATATCAGGATATGGAGGGCATGGCAGCATCCGACGAGAAGATCAAACGCTATGGCGAAGGCATGCGTACTAGTACCAGCAATACATACACAGCCTCTGACCATGCTCAATGGCAACGTTCGCTTGATATTGACAGTGAACAGCCTGAAGATGGGCGTGCCATGTCCAGACATATGGATGTATGGGAGCGTATGCGGGATCTCCATGGACAACACAGTGAACAGGCCCAACAACAGAGAAAAACTGATAACACACCATCGTTTAGCTTGATATGAGGTCTGGTTATCTCGCCTATTCCAGTAAAATTGTACCCTCTTAGTGTAATGATTCATTTGTTATTGCTTCCATAAAATGTGAATCATCCCATTTTTCCTCATGATGTGCTCTGGTCCTTCGCTTAATAGTAACGAGTAATTCATCATCTCATATCCATATACATATACACAAGTATTGTTCCTCTCCCCATCAGGGATAATCCTTTGTTTCCAAACTTCATAACTTATACTACTAATGTTCCAATGCAAGGCGTGCCATTTCATAGACACCGTGACGAGTCTTGTTACCGCCAATGAATCTACATATCAAGTATATCAGTAAATCCATTGAGCAATGTCAAGACCTTACATCAGCACTTACCCTCCTGCATGGACAAAGATACATCCATCGATTTTGCTGATTTGGCTCAGCTCCTGATCACGGAATCCTCTCCAGCTATATAAATATTTCATGCTTTCATCAGCAATCTATATCGTTATATTTCCACACACTTATTTACCTCTCTGGCAAGCTCTTTCTATTTTCAAAGCCTTCAGGGCGGACAGGCACACATTGGATACGCCAGTTGCTCTCAGGTGCAGTAGACTCAGGGTACAACACATACAAAATGCGCTTGTCATCTTCCACCAAACCACGTTCTTGCTCCAAGCTCAGCAAATGTTCTTTCCAGGGACACGAGCGTTCTAACGCAATCACGCGACCTGAAGGGTGTACCTGTTCGCGTTTGTCAAGAGCGTCTACAACGAGTGCACGTGCAGGCAACCAGGAGGATGCCATGCTTTGAACGTACTCGGCCAATTCACTACCAGCCATATCAGAAGCCACAATGAAACGAGCATCGGTCTCTGGATCAGTAAGGGTTTCATTCCATGCAGGATTTTTCTTGGCGACTCGTTGGGGCAAAGAAGTAGGAGATTCCTTGTACAATGGGGTAATGTTGCTAGGATATGCACTGATACCGTTATCATTGGCGTCAAGGGCCTCTATAAAGTCCTGTATATCATCTTGAGCCATCATTGCTCCATCCAGTATCATCTACACATACTTACATTGTAGGCTTTTTGGAAGATAATTTCAATGTCCTTATCCGTCTCGGGGCGACCAAGAATGTTGGCAATTACTTGACGTCCAAAGTGCCTATTTTTTGGCACAGCTGTCAAAATCCGAGATACGACCTGGTTTGTGCGACATGATGGAGGTCGACTTACTTGTAGACAAGACCTGCCGAGCTTAATTTGGTAGTATGCTTGTCATCAAAGGTTTCTGTAAAGCCACGCTACATATACGTATACCCAATATCAATTCATGCTTGCTTGGTTTTATAATTGATCTTTACCTGATGATGATCATATCGCTGCTGTGCAGGATCATAAACACCTCCCACGTCAACAACCACGGAACACTCAGCAAGCTTGGCAGGATCACGGGTACGAACGAGACTAGCGCCTTTAAAGTCATTTGTCTGTTTGAGCATCCATACAGCTAAGGCTTCATCGCTGCAAAAAGTCAATCGGTGGAAGAGGAGAGTGAGAGATCAATAGACTTTTGCATAGTTCACTGTATTTGCTTTACCAGTGGAAATGACCACTATGGGTTCCAATAATCTGAAAGGCAATTCCTGGCGTCAGCACCTAACCCCAACGTGTCACTATGGAGCAAAACCACACATACCTTTGACATGGCGTGGCGTAGAAAGGATCGAGGTAAAAAACGTGTCAACACTGTGAGGAAAGATGTGCAGCTATCGAACGCGCTGTTGCTGGATATGATGTTAAGCCACTTTAATGCAGAAAAATTGTACCACTACCGCTACTACTGCTACTATACTAGAAACTAATGCTACGCGAACAGGGAAGGGATTTCTCTAGAAGTTTGTTCCAAAGATACCAGGGGAAAAACCACAGTAGCATTTGTTTTCAAAGCAGCTTGGCATCAAGGGTTTACCAAAGTCGATGTTCCTGCACTTTTCTTCACAGCCTGGATCAATATTGTCGCACTTGAAACGGTCTGGATTTTCGCAACCAGGCAAACCATCATCCTCACGCCTAGCAAGTCGTTCAGGAATCCACGGTGTACGCTTGCTCATGAATGTTGTATCCACTGCTAGTGCGGTCGAAGACAGGGCGAATAAGACACAGAATGATTTAGACAAAAGCATAATGAAAAGTGACGGCAAAGGACAAAGATGCGTTTCATTGTGTGAATTATCATTTATAAGTTTGAACTATATATGCTTTTAGGAGAGAAAGAGATTAATTTGTACAAAAGGGATGTATCTATTTATGGAAGTAATGGGATGATGATGAGGAGAGGGAATACATGCTATGGGGAGGGGGATGTGAATTGAAATATGATAGGAGTTGTCAAGAATATCGCACGCTTGGATTACGACCGGGTATATGTGGGTGGAGCTCCCCATTCAGGCTGCCAACGTGAGGACGGTTGTTGTATTGATATTTGCTGGGATGGCTGGTTGTTCTGCTGCTTGGTAGTAGGGCTGTTGTTCTTTCTGGCCTTGCAAGGGCATTGGGTGCTGCAGGTGGTTCCCCATACCGAGTCCTGCGTAATGGGCCATCTTTGAATCCAAAAATGATCGCTGTTGTTTTCGTTGATCTTGTTTCTGGAACCACAAACTGCCTCCTCATAACTTGGAGGTGGAGGAAGGATCATTTGCTTATCTCTAATGTGATCATCAGATGCTCCTAGTGTCAAGCGACAATCCAACAACCGCATGGGAGTACCAAGTGTTAATTTTCGAGTTTTCTTGTCGCTGCTACAATCAAGGACCACGTCAAGATACAGCCAATGGCTTATAGTAATGCTGTTGTGCGCCATGGTAGGTCGTAACATATGCTCACATGATGGGACAGGCATAACAAACCAACCATCAAAGTACTCTCCCACATGGACCTTTTCGTTAAGAAACTTAAGATTGAGCAATTTTCCTTGAGTGATATGATCCGTTTGGTCAGGTGGAGAAGAGGAGCTCAAGGGATATTTCTCCAACGTATCACTGTAAAAGCCTTCTTGATCAGACAACGGAACTTGCTGCGTCTCGTTAGGAGTATTACCCCTTTCCTCCTGGCTGTTCACAATACATGGATGACGATATTTGCCGCTTAGAATCGTGGTAGCTTGTTTAGCTGCTTGTATGGCCATCTTGCCCTTACTGTCACTGTCGTCACAATCACTGCCGCTACTGTTACGAGGTGAATCTTCGCATGGATATCCATAAGCCCATTTAAGAATCATGGTCAATGTTTCAGTGTCCTTGCATACACGATCTTTTGTAGAACCTTTGCTGTTGCTGTTGGATGGCACGCTGATGGTATAATCACGCGTTTCGGTTATTCGAGCTGTAATTGAACGGATCTTGATATCTTGCTGCTGCGGCTCCAAATGCACATGGACCCCGAGGCTGGTACCAATGGCAATAGCTGTACGATCGATCCCGAGCTCATAGCGTACTCCTGCTTCATTCTCTTTCATTGGCTTGTTCCAGTTATTGATAGAACGCCCTGCCATCGAGTAAGCTAGCTGATCATGTTGCTCATCCAAAGACAAACTCACAGGTCGACTGGTATTGTAGTCACCATTCATCAACAAATTGTCAGCGCCCCCTCTTCCTGTAAGGTCAAAATATCGATCAAGCACCATACGATGCTGACTGCTGCTGGTAGATGAAGATGCTGAACCCACGTGTTGATTGAAAGGTACAGTCAGTTGTTGTTGCTGTTGTTGTTGCTGCTGTTGTTGTAGAAGACCAACTCCTAACAAGCTGGGTATTGATTCAATAGCGCGAACGACCTGTAGGCATACTGAAGCAGTCAATGTGGATTTATTACTGAAGCTTGTCCAGTCAAGCCATGAGCTTGTGTGATTGTCGCTGCCACCCAGGGGAGAACGCCGTAACGTGGCAGTGACGGTATAACCAATTTCGAGGCGACCAGGAATAGATAACGTTGTAGGCAAATAACCAGGAATAGGAAACTCAAATGGAAAACGCTGTACACCTGGAGGCATCATTCCTTGTCCATTGGGAGGGAGTAATGAGAGCTCTATACGGTGCAAGTTCGTTTTAATCGGCTTGCTGGACTTTTGCATGATCTCTACAGGAGTTTTATATAAGCATCAAATCATCACATGACTACACCCCATTGTGATGGTGGTGGACATACCTTTCCAAGGATAAACGATTTGAGCGCCTGAAAAAACAAGTTGTATAGGACCATGGATGCGGGTCTGTTGTTCAAAGTTGACCATAACTTCGCCTCGCACCATACTGGTGCCGATTGTATCGCCCAGGTAAATGACAGGCTCGTCAAGGATAAGCCGAAATAACCGATTCCGTTGAGGTATTGCTGACATGGTGAATGGTGTAAAAGATAGATAAAGGATAAAGAGATGGATAATTGATCACTACCGTGTCATTATATCTGTACAGGGACTTTGAATGGCGACAACCCCAGATTAATCGAGATCAATCCGCAGCAAACCCGGGCAAGCGGACACTGTAGATCACTGTGCAATATGGTGACACAATATATCCAAAGATGCGTGGCATGACTCATGCAAGCAGTGCTCATTGTATGATGACAAATACCCCACCAGACACAAGCTACTCTCTTTCAAAGTCGCACTGCATGTTTTCCGAATTCGATGTCCAGTATTGATTGATGCCATGGACGTTTTTGCAAAACGAACCCAAAATTAATTTATAGACCATTACCATTGAACCATGCGACATTGTCACAGTGAATAGTTTGCAAAAAGAGTTATCCAAGTGTATGCACACAAGAGGTAATCAACATGGCTGCGGTTTGTGCTACTTTGCAATCCAGTTGATCGAGTCAACACAAGAAATGACAGCAGCAATGAACGCCACACTGAACGAGCTCCGACATTGGTTCCACGTAATGTTTTGATGATGCATGTTCCCTGGTTCTGGCTCAGCAGAGCTTCATTGCATTGATTAGTAATACTGGATCGACTATGTTTTGTATTGTTTACTGGTTCCCTTCACATCTATACCATCCCAATCCCCTTGAGCATGATGGATGACCTGGATACAAAGCACTGCATATGATCCTGCCACAGAACTTGGGTAGCGATTAGACCAACAATTTGTAACGCTCCAAACACTGATTACAATCAATCGTACTCTTGATCCATCGATGATCCATCAACTCTCTCATGGCATAGAGTAATATCAGGTTTTCGCAAAACCGGGGGTACAGGGATTCTCGGTGTATCTTGTGCCATGCTATAGTCATATTGGCACGGTGGCACTTTATGTCTAAAAGGTAACATTCATCAAGCATATGAGTGGTTTTTCGTCACAAGATCATTGGTCATCAATCAGATGATACGCACGCTCCACCCCAGCTATGCAACATTCAGGGCCACCTGTACTCCAATATACCCAATTGATTGTTTTAAACACGTTCAATACGACCATTCACTAGCACCAGGGCAAATTTTGGCCTTGAGCGTACTACCACCACCGACTGACACGCATTTCCCTTCTTAACACACGCTTCGGTTACATTTGAACCTCCCTATCATCTTTATTAATTTGGATGGTGTTTCTTTTGTTTCACTGCGTTAACAAGATCCCGACAATTACTACATTATGCATGGGCCAAAAGAAAAAGAAACCATTTATCCCAACCATGAATACAAGCACGCTTTGCTATATGTTTTAAAGGAGCCAACTATGTCTTTGACAATGTCATTCATCACTCTTTTTTGTTCATCATGCTCATTTCAAGGACTGTTTTCTCCGCTGCCACCAAAAGTAATAGGCTTAATTCAAGTTCAACACCATATTTCCTTTTCAATGCATCATGGAGGTAACGTGCTGTTTTCGTCGTAGCTATGGTAATCTCCACTGTCATACTGAATGAGTTATAGTCGCTAGTTAATTCCCGTGGCGAATGCAACGTCGTATTGCTTGATCACTTGGTGCATGATATGCTGCAAGGCGATGCGACAATGGTAAAACTATTATGTTATAACGCTCAATGTGTTATTGCAGGAACTTTAACGGACCTACTGTAGATCAAAGAAGCGCAAGCCTTACTGTACACGTTCCAACAGTGGCCTGACGCGTGGCGGGTTACGGATCAAATTCTCGATCGATCGCAGAGCATGCACACGAAGGCAGGTTGTCAGCAAGCGAGCTGTGACAAATGCAGAAAGTTGACACAATAAGTAGTTTATTGCATTGAATATCCTTGAACGTTTTGTGACCAAGCATTGGAAACAATTGGATGTCGCGCAGCGGATTGGAGTCCGGAACTACTTGATACAATGCATCGTTGCGCATGCATCCGATAGTGCGAGTTTACGTAATACCAAACCACTACTCAATAAATTGGATGGTGTGCTTGTGCAGGTAAATCAGAGATAGAGTGATTGACCAAATATAGAATACTTATTCGCCATCGGCAGATTGTAAAGAAAGAGTGGCCCGAAGAATGGCCGACATTCCTTGATGAGCTAGTTCTATCAAGTCAAGCGAACCTAACTTTGTGTGAAAACAATCTGACTATTCTAAGGCTCTTCAGGTAAAGCATAACATAGCCATTGATAAGCCAACTGTATTAAAGAGCTCTATGAAGTGAAGAAGTTTTTGATGTATCGGCCGAACGACAACCACGTTGGAAGCAAGACCAATTAGCAAAGCACATGACTGAAAAGTTTTCCCCGATAATGACACTATGCAACGATATTCTTGCAAAGAATACACCAACTACTCTCACAAATGCTGCGCTTGAGAGCTTACAGCGTTTTTTAACATGGGTACCAGCTGAGATGGTGTTTAATGGTTCACATGGAGAGTCCCAGTCCAATGATAGCTTAATACACAGCCTGTGTATGAGGGTATTGTAAATGCTTGATGTTTCAGTGACATACAAACTAACCTTTATGTAGTTATCAATGGATCAATGCAGTGCTACGTGTACCTTGATACTACAATGTCTAATTGAAGCCATGAACCGCAAAGATTTCAACAATGATCAGCCAGCATCTGTTTCTTTCATAAGATGTGTAATCAATGCTGTTCGGCAAAGAGGACTTTTCCCCTCGGGTAAGCTCAAAACCACGTTATAAATGTAGTGCACGGCCAATTGATATTTGCATATGGACGTATCATAGTGTATGGAATGAGAAGAGCGCAACCGGAATACACCAGTGAAGATGTCATTGACCAGCTTGTCTATTATACCCGTTTTCTCACCACGGCTTTATCCGTACAACAAAAGGTAAAGTCCCTTAAGGAAGTTGCAAGTAATAAATATTAAAATCCCTTCGTTCATAAACGCACGCACTCTATAGATGATGATGGATACCTACAGTTCTACGCATCAAGAGGCGCTTGAAGATTTATTACAATTGTTTGATATCGATGATGACAGAATCCGTGACCCATGCATCGACTATTGGGTGCAACTGGTAAGTTCACATGCTATGGATATGACTTTCTTTCTCATCATGATATAGACCCACGGTGTCTTACATTCAGCTCAAGCACCCCAGCTATTTCCCTATGCTCCTATCATCGAGAAGTTGAGGCGAATTGTGCCTCTTCAAATCAAATGTCCAGACAATGTAAGTATATTCAGTAAGGTAGATCCATCGACATTGAAAGTTTATCCTGACCACTCGTACTTAGACTATCGCCGTCCACAGTGATGATGACGGTGATGCTGGTACAACGTTTAGATTTGTATCTGAAAGTGAGACAGAGGTTCAATACAAAGCCAGCAAGCACCTTTTGGAGAATCTGACTCAGCTTGATGCAAATGACATGGAAACAGCATTTCGGGAAATGTGGATGGAACATACACAGGTATATATTTGATAGGATTGTAATAGATACGAAACTCATATCAAAGTCAAAAGGACAGCAAGATGCCACGCTGGCTTCTGTTGAGCAAGCTTTGTTGGGCAACAAGTGCTATATCAGATGCTTTACCGAATACCCAATTTGCGGCGGACTGCTTTTCACAGCTGGAATCCATCGCAACACGGACTATGACACCCAACCAACATAACGCCATCATGGCATACAGGCTATATCTAGCCGGACATTCCGTTCGATTGCTCAATGAACGCCCTGAATTCTTACAGCATATACTTGCACTCGTTTGCACATGTGTGCATAATCAGGAACCGTATCTTCGCGAGATGGCATGCTCTACATTTTCACTCCTCTGCAATGATAGCAAACATACTCTAGTGCTGGCTGATGGTAACGGTGTATATGCTTTACTTGATCAATTGGATTCACTTGTCAATAGCTTAGAACCTCGGCAGGTATTGTAAGAAAAAACGGCTATTGCTAGCATTGCATTCACATAAGGCTCGCTATTACAGATACATGGCATTTATGGCGCTGTAGCCACCGTAATATCAGCGTCGCCAGAGCTATATCAGCAACAGCAGATACCAGTACTCATGCATACGCCGAACAAAATCGTAAGTGCATGGGACAAAGATCCGTAGAATCAAAGGGCACGTATAATGATGTAACATGCTTCATGTTTTAGTTATACTCATTGGCGAAACAGCCACAACCATGGCATCAAGGCACATGGGATATGCTGGACACGATTGTGCAAATCAATATACACGTCTGTACGGAGCTTCAACGTGGTTACACATGTCAGCTCCAGACCATTGGACCGTGCCTCGTATCACTATATCGTGAACTTGCACAGACAGAAGGTACGTACAATCAGATGCCCATATGCCATGTCCGATATCTAAATATCACCAGACAACCTATTGCTGCCAACCAAATGGAACATTGTTAAAGAGCATATCAAGCAACTGACCAAATGCTACGTTGGATTTTTCAAGGGTGATGAGGGCAACGATAGCTGGGTGGCTACAGTTTATCCACTACTGGAGGTGTTGGCTCTCTCACCACCTGAAGAAACAGACATGGGTGATTTAATGGGCGCTCTAATATCCTCGTCGTTTGTACAGGTAGTGTAGTGTATTTCCTAAAACATGGATTGGTAATATGTAATCTCACACGTTGAGAATTGATAGCAATTGAATACTACCGAACATCGAGGGATATTTTTACAGGCGGCCTATCATCAAGTGTTTGAACGAATGTATGAGGAGATTCGGCATGATTTCACAAGCAAATACGCCAAGCGTTCTGGTTTCTTCCAACTGGTAGATTCTTTTATAAGACATGCTTTTGGAGGTAATAGAGCCTATGTGTGTTTGAGTGACAGCATGTAATTGTAGAATATGATAGAGATGATGGCACTGCTGAAGGAAAACGAGTTTTCACTCCTAGTGGAGAGTATACTATGGGGAATTCAGCATCCGGCGCACGAGATCAGTAACAAAGCATTGGAGACGTGTGATGTATTCCTTGACCGTGTTGCGGAGCTAGAAGAGGAAGATCCCCAAAATGCCATGTACAAGATGTATTATACTAGCATATTGCGTGCGGTGCTTTGTGGTGTCATTGACCACGACCGGCGTACACGTAAGTATTAAAATGTACTCCGAATATTGGAAATAATGTACTTGTATATCTAGAGTTCGATATGCAAAGCCAGCTCCTAGCAAGATTGTTGGACCTTGTGCAGCAAGGTGAAGTTTACACACAGTTATACCAACCTGGAACATTTACCTCGAATGCCAGTTATGTGGAAGAATGTATTCGACAGATCCTATGTGAGATCTATCCGAGTTTACCGCAGTGAGTGCTATAAAGAGCATAGTAATGTGATGTTACTGACATTTACTTGCAGAGACCAAATCGATATGGTGGCACAAGGCATGGTTGGGTGCTGTGATGATATTGTCAAGTTTCGCCAAGATTTGATTGATTTCATGGCAGACTTCCGGTCTAGCGATGAATTTGCTCAAGGAACAGAAATCCTTGAAGCTGAAGCATGGGAGCGGCTCACTATGACATAGATCGAAGTTGCTTGACCATTATAAGCTAAATAAACTTCTATACGACATGCATTCTACATAATGACAGTATCATTTATTCCCCTATTCGGCATTCTCTTGGTTTGCTCAAAAAATAGAACAATACGAATCTAGCTGCAAAGCAGCGGAGGAAGCCCATGCTCAATAGTCAGTAGTCTACCATAATATTCTTCGTTTGGATAACGAAGAGTAAACCCAAGTAAATTCCATTATTACCAAAATCATGTTTATCGGGCTTGCGTCTATGGGTCAATCAACATGCTTTAATCGGTGGTGATGCTGCCATTCATTAGTATTAGTTTTTTAACTCCAGGTTGCTTTGTAAAAGTTGATGGCGCCCAGATTGTGCAAAATGTACTTATTCAGATCACCCTGCGTCAGTTCGAAAAGCAGTATACTGTATCATACATTGTACTACGTTACACGGATGACGGTCAAGGGATACCTGGATCAGGATGGATAGTCAAAGCTACGCACAACGGAGGGTTTGATAAATAGCATGCATTCTATTCAGTCGCCAGGCTTCAGATTGCTGCTATAGCGCGCGTTGTTAAATGTATGGCATTGATGGAGCTAGGCTGTGAGAACTGAGAAAACTTAATCACAACATCCGGCGTACCTTCAATTATACAGATAAGCTTTTTTTTTGGGAATTTTATACTCTTTTTGGTGGCGACACAATATACAATCAACCCATCCTGTATCGATATTTTGCTTCACCTTTGCTTTCTCTTTCTTCTACTTTATTTCAATGGGTTCTATATTGTCTGTGCTTTGTACACTCGCAGCTAGCTACCTGGTGTCTCAGCTGGTACAAGCGTATATGTGGAAGGATCGCTATGACGACGGCAAGTCCAAGGCACCGTGGCCGCCATCTCCAATCCGGCAACCATTGTTTTGGAATTCATACGACCGATTTAAGCGAGAATCATATCACCTGTTTTCAGCCATGGGGCAACAACTGGGCGACGTCTTTAGTATAAAACTGATGCAGCGGCGCATAATTGTGTTGAATCATGCAAATGCAGTGCGAAAAGCGCTTGTTGAACATCAGCAGGAAAATTCATCCAAGCCGAAGTACTCACATATGGAAAGCTTTGAACATCTCATGACTGAACAAGGTATATGCGCTGAAATATATGAGGATATCATTTCCATACGCTAACAAACACACACAATCACAGGCAAAACTGTATTCACTGCACAATTCTCACCGTATTGGAGCAGACTGCGAAAAGCCATCCATCGAGTTCTTGGCAGTAAAGCTTCCATCAGCGCATTCGATCGAGCATTCGATAGCCTAGCAGAGCGGTTCGCCATATTGGATGGTATCATAGATACCGATGAATTACGTGATCTAGTCAACTTGTTAGCTATGGAAGCCGCCATTACTCTTGTGATAGGCGAGAAAATACAACAGAATGAACAGCAACAGGTGCCGATTGCAACGTTGAAAGATCTCATAGATATTTGTGAACAAGGACAGTTGCTTCAATCAAGAAAATGGTATTATCGATACGGGGCATTCCTTTCAATAGCAAGAATTATCGGCATAACGTCTAAGCAGCGCGATGCATTAAGAATACGAAATAGGGCCATTGATATACTACTTTCTTTGGATGGCTCTGATGATAAAAGCGTTACCAATAGCCTGCGGCATCTACAACCCTCAAAGCAAGATCCGGAACCAGAGCAACTTACTCCTGAAGAAATAGCAATTAATCAGCTACACCTCCTCATGCATGGTTACCAACACCTCTCTTCAGCGCTGTTTACCGCTATCCAGCGAATTGCTTCTCTCGGTTTATCCTTTCAGGACGAGTTACGTCACGGAGGTGTACCATTGATGAATGCATTTATTGCGGAGTCTCTCCGGTATAACCCACCAACGCGTTTGTATTCTCACACCGCGCGCACGGATCACGAGATTCACTTCGATAACGGAGGAACTTTTCGTATGGATGAAGATACTGATATTGTTGTCAATCTCGATACCATCCACTTTGACCCACAGGCATATCCATATCCTGAAAACTTCAACCCACAACGTTTTATTTTCCCTCCAGATCACCAAAATCCTTCTATTCTCGATAAGGACAAATTAACCATGCCGGTCAGGGATCATCTTGCATTTGGTGTCGGTCGACGAGCTTGTCAAGGAAGTAGAGCGACACAACGAATAATGACGGTTGTCCTATCATCCTTGATAAGACGGTACAATCTTGAAGGAGGGAACGTCAATGAAACAATCGATCATTCGAGTGCTGTGTGGTCTTGGACAGGAAGGAGCGAAACAAAAGGTGCACCTATAAAATTCATTGCAAGGCGATAGTGGAGGAAAGATGTACTCTTTTTCTTGTCGCTCTCTGTTGTACAGCAAAGATAGGCAATTCTTATATAAACATCATACAGTATTCCGATTCTTCCTGTTGTCGTGTGATAAAGAAAACAGCCCTTGTTATCTGTGAGATGGGTTCCTGCAAGTGAAAACATACTTCGTTCCATGCATTGGCTAGTGTTTGCATGACAACGTGACTCATGGTTACGCCATCAGGTAACAGAAACATGACACAAGGAGCTCAGTTTTTCTTCTGGGTCTTTTTACCATTCTCATGATCTGTAGGTACACGCTGATAACGATAGGCTACCCTCTTGTTAATTTGTATGGCTTTGCATAGCAAAACATATCATAAACGATCCTAAAACCGTATGTGTTTGAACCTTTAAAAAGATGCATTCCCGCTCATTCTCGAGACGAGCTAGCTTGTTGAAGAGAGTATTCAAGGACTCTGCTATTCTAACCCTCATTTACGATGGGTGCCTGAAGAAAAAGGTAATCTACTTGCTGATCCATGATTGCAGGTACCTCCTCCTGAATTCGTTGCTGTACATAGTTGTAGTTTGTGCAGATGTCGAGTCTATTGCCCAGAAGCAAGTGACACTTATTGCAGGTGGCGGCTCGGGGCATGAACCAGGTTATGCAGGTTACGTGGGCCATGGTATGCTGGCAGGAGCAGTTTGTGGCCACGTCTTCGCCTCACCTTCTGCCAGCCAGATAACCTCTGTCATTGATCGTGTACAATCACCACATGGAACTTTGGTAGTCGTAATGAACTACACAGGCGATTGTCTAAACTTCGGTCTCGCCGTGGAAAGGGCGAAAGCTCGTGGTGTGAAGGTGGAGATGCTAATTATTGGCGATGATATCTCTGTTGGCCGAAGTAGCAAAGTTGGTCGCCGAGGTATGGTAGCCACAGTGCTCGCTATCAAAGCGGCAGGGGCTCTAGCTAGTCAAGGGTAAGATGAACAACTGGCTATATGTAATTTCTAATGCCACTTTGTTAACAGAGCATCACTCGCGGAGGTACGGCAAACAGCAGAATACGTTAACCATCATGCTGCAACTCTTGGTGTCGCACTTGATCATTGCCATGTCCCAGAAGGAAGTAAAACAGAGCGTCTCCCTGACAATGAGATCGAGCTTGGTATGGGCATTCATAATGAGCCTGGATGCTTGAAAGCCAAAACATTGTCTGCAAAGGACCTAGTGGACAAAATGATTGGATTACTGGTTGATCAAAATGACAGAGAGCGATCTTTTTTGCGCCTACAACAAGACAAGGCCACACCAATTGCACTTGTAGTCAACAATTTAGGCGGCATATCTAACCTGGAAATGAATCTAATGGTGAAAGAAGTCGTAGAAGCTTTGAACAAGCACCCCAATCTTGATATTCAGCGTCTTTATGCCGGTGAATTTCTGACTAGTCTCAATATGCCAGGAGTATCGATCACAATTTTAGTATCTCATGGAGAGAGTGGAGAACGCTTCATGAGCTTGTTGGATGAGCCTGCTCAAGTTGCTTACTGGCCTTACTCCTCTAAGTCGGCCTTACTCTCAAGGGATACTATGATCCCTTCCAAGAGCCGCCCTACTGACCAAAAGCAGCCATTGGTTACTAGAGATACCGATCCTGAAGGTATTGACAGATCCGTGTAAAAGTTGATGGCTTACTTCGTTACACAATGTAGTCAGCAAGAAACTTGAAAGTGCTATTCGTGCAGCGGCTGAAGCTGTTATCAGTGCTGAACCAGAAATCACGCGGTGCGATACGGTCCTTGGTGACGGTGACTGTGGTACTGCATTGAAGGCCGCTGCCCGTGGTAAGCTTTGCTCATTGCCATGATATAATATATGTTAACCTACTCGTGTCTTTTAAAACAAAATAAGCTATTCTCCTTACGATGTCTGAGCTTCCGCTACAGTCTGCCTCACAGACCATCATCAAGATTGGAGAAATCATTGAGAACTCCATCGGTGGGACGTCCTCAGCTATTTACTGTATCTACTTGAATGCTCTCGGTGCTAGCTTAGCCGAATATGGTAGTACAAGCAGGGTATCTTGGTCGAAAGGTATAACATCATCAGTTACCTTAGGGCTGAGTTGCTCGATTTGTAACTAATTAATACTATGAACTCTAGCGGCATCACGTGCATTGATCTCTCTGCAATCCTATACGGCAGCGCGCATTGGAGACCGTACTCTGATGGATGTCTTGATTCCGTTTGTTGAAACGCTTAGCCAAGAAGGTGATATCAGATCGGCTGTAGATGCGGCTCGTCAAGGTTGTGAAGCAACGCATGGGATGAGAGCACGTATGGGTCGGTCATCTTATCTCGCTGAAGAGGAAGTCAGGAATGCGAATTTACCTGACGCTGGTGCGTTAGGCTTAGCAGCTTTACTACGAGGAATTGAATATGGGGTGACTCATTGACGATGATCTATTCGTTAATACAAAAACCTACCCCCATTGTCCAAATGATTGAGCTTTGTAATGACATAATTACCCTTTCAAGTATCCAAAGCAGGAAACCGCGTTATACGCTGAAAGTCATCAATCGTTCCCCCATTATTTCCTAATAAAGGCTATAAAAGCGGTCCCATCCGCACGACGATTTGCATTGCGAATGTTAGCATATCAAACAACCGATTAATTACAGTAAAGCAGCTTTACGTCGTGTAATCATCTCTATAGCAACTGGGTATGTATGAGTACAGACGCGGTTCCCTGTTTTCACCTTGTGACAATTCCACAATGGCGAGAAATGTATCGCGAGATTTCACGCGACCAACTTTCGAGATCTCGCAAATGCCGATCCTTAACTATGCCTATACCCAATGCAAGTGTGAGTGTAACCCAGGGCAGTAGCTTATTCCGCTAGATTATGAAAGCAGCTAATGAGCAAGTCTCAAGTTCGTGATGGGGCAATACCAGATTTCGCCATGTCACCATGAGCCAAAAAAAAAAGAAAGGAACTCGATGAGGCAGAGCCCGGCAAAATATAAAGCCGGATCCGTTACACAAAGCCCAGATCACAAAAAAAATTTTTTTGGGATGGACCCCAGACTCCAAAAAATTTTTGGTGGCACGGTGGTCGGTTTGATATAGGGCACAAAACGTCCGGTGGGTAAAAATACAATACGTCCGGTGGGTATAGTACAAAACGCTCGGTGGGTAAATATACAATACGTCGGTGGGTTAACCCACCGACGTTATGTGCGAACTGGGCTTTACACAAATCGTCACCCGCTGGATGAATATTTAGACGGTTTTCGAGGCTAAAAGGACGCATTCGGAAAAAAAAATCCCCATTTTAATTACTTATAGTACTATTTAGGCTTAATATGCATGCAAGAGCTTCTCTTCTATGAAATTGATGCAATAATGTTAGTCAAAGGCATCCGCAAGAGACACCTTTCTAGAGTTTAATATCACATTTAGTCCTCTAAACTTCACCAAAGAGGTGATCTATACGTATTTAATAACATCTTGAGGTCGCTTCCACACATTTGATGGCGTTTTGCGAGTTTCAAAGGAAGGATTTATTTACAAATACCTGTTTAATGCTGCGTAGCCGACGTAATGCAGAAAATTAGAAATATTGAAAATATTTCTGTCCCGTTGTAGATATCACCTTTGACGAAATAAATGAAAAAGATAATAAATCGTTACAATACATTTGGTCGATTAACCTACGATCTTTATATATTCTTTACACCGGGAAAATACTTTACCCACCGAGCGTTTTGTGCTTTTTACACACCGGACGTTTTGTACCCCCTATTTCAATTTTTTCCATCCCAGCTACTATTTCTATAGGTCCACAAGTTCGCCTGACCCTGGTATGCACTAACATTTACCCGGGATTTTTGTACATGTATCGTTGGCGTTATACGAAGGCAACGACTCAATGTCTTGCGCTCTTTGTACCCCTTTCTTGCACGTGATCATTGCACTGTTATTACCAGTTACCATAATTTCTTACAAGGCGAGGAGACTAAGAGATCACATCACATCCTCACAACTGTATGACTTGACTTGCCTCTGACCGCTGTGATGCCTTAGTCAAAGCTGACCATAAGGACTGCTTTTATAATTGTAAACAAAGTTTCAGCTCCAGTTGACTTGTGGCTTGTCGAGAAACAGAGAAAAAATTCGCTCGTGTAGGACAAAGGGGCATATTTCATATCTTCTCGGATCATCTTGTGTCACTAATCAAAGTTGTAGAACAAGGGTTCTTTTCTAGTTGAGTTTTCGATTTGAAGGTAGGTTGACATGGAGAATGCTGAGAAAAGAGTAACAGAAGTTCATATGGGAGAGATCACGTGCTCAAGAGGTACAGGACTTCACGTGCATCTAACGGCTGTGACTTATTAGTCAATGTTGACCAAAGTGGCTGCTTTCATCAAATTTCAGATGCGGTCGACTTGTGACTTAAGAAAAAATTCGCTCATGCGGGGTAAAGGGGCATGTTTCATATCTTCTCTGATCATCTCGGGTCACTAATCAAAGTTGTAGAACAAGGGCGGTTTTATAATTGAGTTTTCGATTTGAAGGTAGATTGACATGTAGAATGCTGAGAAAATATTAAACGCAAATCATATGCAAGAGGTCACGTGATTACAAAGACCATACTAGACTTGGCTCTGAGCTCTGACCTCTCTGACATATTAGCGAACGTTGTAGAGACGGCTATGTTTCACTATCGTTCGCGAGACTTGAGATGACGTCCGCTTGCGAACTGTCGATAAAAGAGCACATATAGGTATCTACATAGTGGGGGTATGTTCAATGTCTTCTGTCATCGACTTGGGCTAGTAATCAAAGTTGTAGAACAAGGGTCCTTTTATAGTCTAGTTTCCAATCTCAAGGTAGATTAATATGTAGTATGCTGAGAAAAGAGTAACAGAAGTTCATACGAAAGCATGAAAGACATCACGTGCACACGAGTACAAGACTTGACTTTGACCACTGTGATTGATGTGTTTGTCAACGTTGACCACAATGGCTGCTTTTATATAATTCGTCGGCATCTCAGCAAGCTTTCAGGCGTCATCGATATGTGGCCTGTCGAGAAATAGTGTGGTGCATACGTATAGCGGATGATCGGTTAAACATTATCCATCACAACAAGACGGCACACGTTGGTCTTTGCAGATCACCTCCTATCCATACGTACGCTGTACGCATGATCTAATGTCACCACATTTATATGCATCATCACATACATCTCTAGCATCCTTCTCCTATTCGCATACTATACACCCGATACTAGAATTAAGATATAAAAGCATTGGAGCATCGTCTTCAGAATAAACATCAATCTCAAAGAGACTCATTTTTCGTGTTCCTTTGTTTTATTTTATCATTCATCTTCATTCACCACAAATAGAGAAAAAATTCTTTGACAGCTGTTCGTCCTCTGAGTTTATACAGCGGTTGTAGTGAATCATAATTCATCTTCAATAACTCAGAGCCAATGGTGCCTGCAGATGACCGCAATAAGGTATCTCCAAGTGCAGTTGCTACATGAATGGAGAGTGACGCGTGTATGTCAAATCGCACATTGGGTTGGAAAAACATCTACAAGTCAGAAGAATTGCAGGGTAGACATCCGAAATGGCTTTATCATACAGAACTATCTATGATCGAACTTCGTTTCGACGACGCACAGCCATTCCATGATACGGTGGAAAGCAAGTGTGCAAGTCATTTACCTAAGTCATGTTGCGAGGAGCAAATATCACTTGACTTTTCAAGTTCTCACACTTGTGTTGTATTTGTACCACAACGTTGGAGATGGTAACCATATTAAGTCGTCATACGTGGTATTTTCTATACATATTTCCTTTCTCTTTACACCTTTGTCTTGCTATGTTAAGCGAACAGCGAACCGAGTTCTGTCAGCATCATAGCGATGATGCGATCTGTAATTCCGAGCAGGTGGCAACGGATAGCTTTGATGCTGATCGTGTGCATGAGTTTCCAGCGCCCTTTCTAGTACGAACAAAATCACGGCTTGAGAAGGAAAGTTTACATCGGCAATATCAAAATCAGCAACAGCGCATGAATAGTCCATACGGATGGATTCAGTGGTTATACGAGAAGATATCCTTCTCTGCCATACTCGAAAACAAGTCGGCTGTGGCCAGAGATCATCTCGGTAAGGAGATAGCGTGCGTGCAGCTTTGGTATTAGCGTGTTAAGACCCAACATATATAACTGGTCACACAGCCAATGAACGAACCTTTTTGGCTTGGCTACGCACATCATTGGCCATGGTCACAGTGGGTGTGGGTAAGTGATATGTAATATTGTTTCATTGCGTACACTGGTTTTGCTGATGTGTCATTTATTAAACAGCTATTACACAGCTCTATAGCATGAACCCACAAGGAAGTGCGACTGCAGGACGCGCAATTGGTGCTATTTTTGTGATGCTCAGTGTTGCGTTTCTCTACCTAGCCAATGTACGCTATTTTCATTCGCAGCTGGCGTTGATAAAGGATCAGTTTCCTGCCAGTCGTGGGGCGATCATGTTCGGCTCATCGGCTGTTTTAGCTTCTTTAATTGCCATGTTTGTCGTTATCATGATTCATGATCGACAATAAATCCTGAAATACAGCAAGATGGATAGATGTTCGAGCTCTGGGGCCCGTTGTGACCGCCTCGTCATACTTGAGCAGTAACACTATTAACTTCTTCACACATACAATTTACTTGACATGAAGGCGCAGCGATTTGCACATATATGGGATCTTTTGTGTACGGAAAAAGTGTATGAGAATGTATTAAACAGGGCTTTTTGGTACTGTACGTCATGGCTATAGAGTCATTTCCTCGATTTCTTTATTCACGTATCTATCTACGATCGTTTCCTTACCAAGGGAGCTAGTTTGTCCCGCTGACACATCAGATGCTGCAGCTTTACGCATGGCTTCAGCAACACGGGTGACAGGAACCGCAAGATGGAGGTTGAAAAACCGGTTGATCGGAGAAATGACACTACCAAATGTCGTTTCGAGCAATCGTGTTCTTGGCCGTGGCTCTTCCAATTCCAAATACCCAGGATGGAAAATAGAAACACGTTGGAATCCTGTGTTGATAATACCTTGCTCCGTCTGCCCTTTCGATTGAGGATAAAGAAATGGCGAGTTTGGGTTTGAATGCTTTTATGCTGTGGTCAGTATTCTGCATATCATTGATCATAGTAGAACGATAAGGGTACTCACAGCTGACGAACAATAAAGAAAATGTACCGGCGATAAAGATGGCACGGATGTGGATGTATTGTCACTCACGGGTTTGTTCTCTTCCGCGATGATCTTTGCAGAGTTAAGCACGTAACCTTGGTCAATTCGTTTGAATGCCTCACTGCTTCCAGCGTCAGCGCGAGTGGTTCCGAGACAACAAAATACATCACTTGTATCATTAGTCCAAATACTTGTTATTACCTTCGATCCCTCTCTCATTCATGTTTATATAGCTTACTTGACGTTCTTAAACTTATCACGATGTTCTTCGAGCTTGTCAAAGTCAACCGTTTTTTGTTCCTATGTTTCCCTTCTGTTGTCAGTTACTTCGTGAATAACTTCCATGATTCGATAATACTTGCGAGCTTATCTTGAGGGATATTTGAATCAAGTTCCACAGGACGACGGCCTACAGTGATAACTTTTTGATAGTCGCCATTGAATAGTAGGTCCTTTACTAATGCTTTGCCGACAGCACCTGCGAATGAGACAAGTTAACATGCTTTGTTTTCGGCGATTGAGTGTATTTAAATTACTGACCAGTCGATCCAAGAACAAGCGCAGTCTTGTCGTGATGCATAGTATGTATTAATCAAGCTTACGAACGCCAGGACCGCGGTTTATATAAGCTAGGACGTTTCTCCGAGCCTATCAACATAGATGGTAAATTCGCCACGTCATGCACGAGTTGCCTTAACCATCTGTACAACCATCATCATCCAACTGCATATACTGTAACTCGCCACCACACATCAAGAGTCACCTCACGCCTGAAGGATAGAAACTTCCTAAATAATTCCCATTGTAGCAATTTATTGTACCTCTCAATCTCGTACCCATTCTTGCATGCTATCTCCTGTTAATAATGTTGGATGAAAAGGTTATTTTAGGGAACACATCCTTGCGTTGGCCAACCATTTCTAAGTTTCTATTATCTAGGAGATCTTCCTTTTTATTGAGTTGGACCTGGCCGTGTGTGACAATTGATGATTATTATAATACGAAGATTTTGGTATGCCAAATACAGAATGTAGAAGCATACCACTTGTAAACGCGGTGATAAAGGAAAAAGGGTTTGGTCATTCCTTTGTTGTTATTTTTTTTGCATTGATTGATCATGCCTTTGTGGCTCGGCCGTTTTCACTCGCTAAAGGTACCAACGATTTTTATCCTTTCGTGCATGTCAAGAGATACTGACATGCACGAAAAAGGGGGAACACAGTCATGGTTTTTGGAGCAGGAGAAGCATTCTGCACACCTTCACTCCTTTTTCTGTTATTTCACTCTTTTTACTCCCGTATGGCCAAAGCGAATATCAACATGAGAATGACGGATACTCACAGTCAAGAGGACGATTCACCTAAGGAGCATCCATTTTTGTATTATGGCAAAGCTGCAGAGAAAATAATACCTGTTACAGCTGCTTCTTCCAACCCTTCGACAGCTTTGAACTTATTGTGTTATCAAACCAAACATTCCTCGACGTTATACGGTGATAATATGCATCAGCAATCGATCATTGAACCACTTTGGGAAGATAAGCTGAGTGATATTGAAGACCATCGTGCCACAGTACCTATATCGACTCCACCTCCAGCAGACAGTTGGTACGCGATCTTTTTCAAAACACCCCTTGTTCCTGTATCACGCGGTAAACAATGGCATGTTGTTTTTTCATATACAATGGCATTTTTAATGGTTGCCATTATGTCGGGAGAGTTCATGATGAACCACGAGTTGTCTGGTAAAAATGAACCATAGCATGGAATAAGCAAATGTTGATAAGATCAAGTAGGTGAGTTTTTCGAGTTTGACCCTTTTAATTTCATGATTGGTCCATCGGCACAAACTTTGATCCAGTCAGGCGCACGATATCCACCATGCATGCGTAATACAACAGCAATGCCACCAGAGGAACAATACATTTGCTTTTCTCAACCATATGAAGCTAATGGTCATGCAGGAATCAAAGATAATAACAATCAGCCCGATTTACCTGACTTTAACAATCCGCGGCAATCCCTTTGTTCACTGCAACATGTGTGCGGCATGGGAGGCTTCTTAAGACCGTCAGTGCCTGATCAGACTTTTCGCTTCATCACACCGCTCTTTGTCCATGCTGGCCTTGTCCCATTGCTATGTAATATCGCAGGACTCCTCACTATCGGCCGTAGCCTCGAACGTGTTACCAACGCTGTACGCATGTTGATTATATATTTTGTTGCTGGTACCTTTGGCCATATCTTCGGGGGAAATTTTGTACCCATCACCAAACGCAAGTATCACTTACTGTGTGCCACTGATATATATATATATATATATATATATATAGATATAACGTACTCACAATATCAATATTAGTGGCAGCTGGGAGTAGTCCAGCAGTTCTTGGGTTGGCAGGATGTTTGCTCGTCGATTTTGCATTGACTTGGCGTTTTATTACTAAGCCAAAGCGTCACTTTGTCAAATTATTGCTTGTTACTGGTATGGATGGATATTGCTTCAAATTGTATTACACCATAATCGAGTGACTGAATCATATCGTTGAAAGGATTATGTTTCACCATGGGATTAATGCCAGGGTATACATTTTCATATGTGGACGAGAAAATACTATGTTATTGATCTTGACACCCGTTATCCAGGGTAGATAATGTATCGCATGTAGGAGGATTCTTGGCTGGACTTCTGATTGGGGCCATCTGCATCCCACCTGCTCATGGAATTACCAGGCGAGGTACCTTATATCTATGGATGGTGCGTTTTGCTGCTCTCAGTATTCTGATAACAATGCACGTCGTTCTCAGTAACCGCTTTTTCGACCGAGACTACCATGTAAGAAAGCACTACCACTACGTTTACCAATATATCATACTAATCGAAACCACTAGTATTGTCCCTTGTGTCGGTACATTTCATGCATGCCACTTAATGGCTCCTGTCGATTGGATAAGACATAATGTAAACTGGATCAGGATCACAACACACTTTGGGCACATTTCCTTTGCAAACGTTATATAGACCAATTTTTGAGCGCGTGGTTATCCTCGAAATACAACATCACATTAAAGAATTTGGGTACGGCTACAGTTAGAATGACTTGTGGTCTGGACATGCAACAAGATTGCAACGAGATACGCTGTTTCACCCGTGAAAGGAATCTAAGGACAAAGACGATTCTTAAATACGGTAACCTTTAACTGTATATAACCTCGAGACTGAGATCACCTTCTTCGCTATTAGGGATGTTACCCATGTAATTCCTTGTTATCTTTATGCCAAAGTTAGAATGAGGGACTTCCCGATAATGTACACGATGTGTACTGTTCTTCGCCTTTTAACTTGTCACTGTGGAAAACCAACAAACACGTGCCACCTTGGCTTGCATATTCAAACCAGCTACATTTTTCATGACATATTCAACGAACCCTTTCACAAAAATGGCATCCTCAGCGTTCTCGTCATATTTAATGTTGTCATGTCAGCTCCGGAAACATTAGCCAGGAGATGAAGTAGTTCACAGCACTATCTCACACCAATAACACCAAGTGACATGCAGTACCGCTTTATTCAAACAGCGCGATTTTAAACAACAGCAAAGAGGGCCTGATAGCTCGTATTGAAGTCAAAGATTGGCTCTTGCAAAGTTCAATTACAAAATGATCGAGCGCAATGATGCGTGATACCCTTCAATTATACAAGCCGGTCACATGAGAAAAAACTGGATATTATTGCTTAGCGAAGGGAGAGAATATACAGAATCAAAATAATCGTTGGAGAAATGATAGAAAAGATGCAAGTATGGTTTTTTAGTCGCTATCATCCAATTCATCCTTTTCTTCTTTGCGATCATCGGGTATTGATGCATCGTGCATGTCCTCATCAATATCTTGGTCACTGCTGCTACCTAGGCTTTCGCTCTTTGCATCATCCTCTTCTTCATCTTCTTCACCTTCATCAGCCATGTCAACCTCGTCTTCTTCCTCTGCAATGAGGTCTTGATCATCGGTCTCGTTATCGGTTCGCGTAATGTCCCGTTCTTCTTCGTCACTAGCATCCGCAGCGTCTTCCTCTTGTTCAAAAGTGTCATCTTCTTCCTCTTCTTCACCTGCTGATTCCTTTTCGAGATCTTCCTCATCCGCTTCCTCTTTATCTTCAATTGCTTCGGCGTCGCTCTGTTCCTGATCCTCGCCAATCAATGCATTCTGTTGTGCTTCATCACCTGAGCTATCTCCTGCTTCCGAATCGTATTCAAGCGGGTCATCCTCCTCATCACTTGGCGTAAAATCAAGATCATTTTCCTCATCATCCTCATCGTCATTGTAAGTTGATGCTGATGCGGTAGCCACTGCTGTTCCCGCCACTGCTGCTGCTGTTGTTGATGATGCTCTTTTTGAAACTGGTGCCATTTTTTCTTCGCTCATGCTACTGTCATTGATTCCACAGGTTTGGATATAAGAATCAATGCCGGTGTATTCGGATTGTTCGATAAGTGAGAATTCGATTGTTTTGTCGCTGATAGATGACCCCAATGGCGAATGATTTTCTTTGAGCACGAGAACCAGATTGAACGTATGTTGCATGATGTTGCAAAAAAATGTGGATGAGATGCTGTTGAGTGGGAAAAAGATCGTTGGCTTCTTGAATCCATATAGGATACCTTCGGGTAAAAAGTATAAACATCCTTCCTTGGCTTTGAGATACGTATTTGCATGACATCGAATCGTATTTCCATCTTCCTCCATCATTCCTACTACTGGTTTCCCTGTCTTTGACGATTCGATCGTGGTTCGAAATGCTTTTTGGGAAGGACGACTTGTTGGGATTTGCCCTTGGACACTTAAGAGTGAGAGCAAGCGATCGCGCTTTTGGTCAGATTCATTCAATATCTCATCTGCTTGATCCCCAGCCCGCTTGACCACCAATGGATTGGGTGTCTTGTTTGGAATATTAAACACAACAGGGTCAATGCCTGCATTCTTAGAGAATAGAGCAAACGTATCACCCTTGGCTGCACCAGGACTTGGCACACATGCTATCAGCTGCATATCATCTAATGTATACGAAAAGTCGTTCTCCTCTGTCTTTGGGTTCCTCAGCACCAATATCTTCGACGACAACACCAGAGTATACTTTTTGCGCGCAGGTAGCTGAACCGATATATCAGAAATGGTGACGGCATCTTGTAAATCAACAACAGTGTGGTCGATCTTTGGCCTTTTGCGTTCGCGTTCGCCATGTACTGTTGACAGCTTTTCCGCGTAATAGGCTATTAAGCGTTGAATCACTGGTATACTGTCGGGAGTTGTTCGTGTCAATTCTTCAACGGCCGATCGTAGTTCAAGGTCTTCAATTTCGGAAAGCCACGGCATCATGGTATTGGAAAACATAAAGGACAGGTTTAGTATCTGTGCTGTGTGGGGCTTGAAGGCTGGACTGTTGTAGCCCACTCTGGAAATTCGCCCTTTGCATTATTGGTTACCAGCTTCATCTTCCAGCCACCTGCATATTGACACTCCTTTGGCCTTCATTAAACAGCCTAAACGACTTGTAGAAGATTACCGGAATCAAATCATTAAAAAAAAATAAACTTTGCCTTTGATTGCTTTTCATGTGATGCATAGCTTCCCTCAACACTATGTTTGCTCATCATCTGCACGATCAAGTAGTCAAAAGAGAAACAAAAGGGCGCATCAAGCTGATCGCGATTCTTATTGTTGCTGTTGATACGTCATGTGCTCCTACGGAAGTTCGAATGTGTGATGGAAACATCTATCTACGTTTCTACGTATCGTATCCATAAGCAAATACAAGAATACAACAATGACAATGTGTCATATCCACCAATTGATGATCGACAGCATCTAGCCAGGCTGGCCAATCTGCAAAAAGCTCGTGATGTAAAAAACGCAAAAGAAAAAGAGGATGAAGCAGCAATTTCAAGAGGCGATGTCGTATTTCAAGTACCAATATCATCACCAAGTACAAGATGACCATACAGTACTTATTCTGCAAGAGGACACCGTATGTAACGTTCCCATATATATACAATGGTACACAGTGTTTCGAGTTGCCACTTCTCATACGCCAAGACGGATCCATGTTGCCCTTCCGATAAAGGCATTGCTTGCGCTCTCTTACCTTCAGGTTTACCTACGTATTCAGTATACTTTTTCCCACGTGATTGGTTCTTTGTATATTCCATTTTCAATCATTGTACATATTTCCTGCTGTTAAATAAATGCTTATATGCCTCTTGAAGCCATTTTAGTTACTGCGAATTTCGAGCGGCTCTAATGAGTTATGCATTTACCTACTTTAATGATCCATTAAGCTAAAGGACACTTTTTTTGGGGGTTGATGGGGTGCTGCCACCCATTCATATGAGTTGTACTTGTACTATCACGTTCAATGTTTATCATTGCTAAACTTTTTGGTCATGCTGTAAACAATAGAACTCTATGCAGTTATTTGAATGGCTCTTGGCGTTAGACATACGCTAGAACCTTAGATATTACTATTGCGTTTGAAGAGCCAGCAATGATCAGTAAACGATTTTGTCATTGCATGTTGGTGGACACTCACTTTGCATGGATGAGAGCAGATGATCCGAAATCACATTTTCCAAATGGTGGCTTATAAGAAAGTGTAGCTTTTATTCTCCCGCCATCTATTAATTCGTTTAAGATATACGTTGTCATGCGGTGTAAGAGGAGTCGGTCTGACGGAGAAGGTGAATAGGTTACACGTGTTGTTGACAGGTTGCACAAACAGATGGTGATGATAATCTTGGGCAATGTTGGTTCTTCATACACAAACATCGATTGACGGAAAGCTACCCACGATGGCAGAGTCAATTGCTTTGTACATGCATACCATGTTTGAGTATTTACACGTCCACATTTGATGCAGGATTACACATTGGATGTTCCAAGTTCAGGAGTTTGTTGGCTGCATAAAACCAAGGCTGGTGTCACTTTTGGCAGAGATACATAAAGAGGGATTAGTGGTTGATCCATACTGATCGAGGTATACATGTATGCATATCCACAAGAGGAGCTGCGGGGGGCTGGGTGGCTGTATCAAGGACGGCGAGAGGCACCAAAAAGAGTCCACCCCACCTTTCTCCACTCCCATTTTACACATTCAAGGTGAGACACACCCCATTGACGACCTACAGCGCATTAACTCCTGTCATGCTCTTTAATGCAAGACCTAGATGGGTGAACCGGTGGTCAATGGCGACTCTTTCAACTACAACAAGCACGCGCGCAATCTACCCATGTTTCAAACTTCCATTCCCGTACAACAGGTACGGCCAATCGCTGCAGCGCTTTTACTGCTCAAGTTTGACATTGTGGTGCTGAAGCTCGTGTGTAGATTGCTGTTCTCTCGTTTACAAGATCTAATGGAGGCGTCGCGTGTATTCATTTCCAAGTTGTCCACAACAACACTTTACACTGCCTCTTTTGGGTATGTTGGCAAGAAAATGCGTTTAGATTGGGTTTCCTTGGATCTCACATTGTGTTCATGGTAGATTGACTTGTTGGATGATGGTACCTGTGGACAGTAGCAAGAGATTGATCTCAAAGCAAGAACGTTGTACGTTGGGTCAATGGTATGTATGGTGTTGGATCTACAATGCAGGACCACTTAATTAATGAGCCTTACAACGAAACAGCAGCAGCACATTACTGGATCGGATGAATACAAGGTTATTTGCAAGCAACAATGGAATGGTATTGGGAACACCTCAAGGTAAAGTGATCATTTTAGGATTTGCCACCTTCAAGTGCACTGATGAAAGCAATAGGCTATCTTTCGGCGATATTACTATTATCACGGCTGCACGTCAAGGGACGGAGTGTACTGTCTTAAGGGGGAAGGCCATGTTGTGGTACGCGGATATTACGTTGGGCTCACGGTGCGACTTCGGTTTAAAAATGCACCCTCTGACCTTTCGTGGAGAACAAAGTATATGCTTCCCATCATTGCACTGCTATACTTTACTCGACTTGAAGACGATGGGTTGTCTTCTTGGCAACATGGCTGGATCCACGGCTAGTGGTGTTAAAGTCGGCTGGGGAGGGGCTTCATGTCACCGTTAAAACCGGTGTTTTGACGCCACGTTCCTACGGGAGGCTAGAAGGCAGTACGGATACTACATTCCTTGGCAGTGCGCCTTTATTATTGCTATTATTGCTGGAGACAAGATTCATTATTGGTATGTATAGCATTGGATTTACAATACAAGTGCTATGAATTAACGAGCTTTTACAAGGAATAGCAGCGGCATCATGATATGGTTGGCATGGAGATACGGTTCTTATTGGAAGGAAGCATGTTATTGTGAGGCATCACAAGGTAAGAGTATCCATTATGGGATGTGTCGCATGCAAATGCACTTACGATGGAAGATGTGCAACAACAAGGTCAAGAAGGCTATTATCAGAGCAGCACGTCAAGGGATGGAGTGTACTGCCTTAAGGGGGAAGGTCATGTTGTGGTACGCGGATATTACGTTGGGCTCACGGTGCGACCTCGGTTTAAAAATGCACCCTCTGACCTTTCGTGGAGAACAAAGTATATGCTTCCCATCATTGCACTGCTATACTTTACTCGACTTGGAAGACGATGGGTGTCTTTCTTGGCAACATGGCTGGATCCACGGCTAGTGGTGTTAAAGTCGGCTGGGGAGGGGCTTCATGTCACCGTTAAAACCGGTGTTTTGACGCCACGTTCCTACGGGAGGCTAGAAGGCAGTGCGGGTACTGCATTCCTTGGCAGTGCGCTTTTATTATTGCTATTATTGCTGGAGACAAGATTCATTGGTATGTATAGCATTGGATTTACAATACAAGTGCTCTGAACTAACGAGCTTTTACAATGGAATAGCAGCGGCATCATGATATGGTTGGCATGGAGATATGGATGGCACGGAGATATGGATGGCATGGAGATATGGATGGCATGGAGATACGGCTCTTATTTGGAAGAATGCTATTGAGAAGCACCACAAGGTAAGAGCATCCATTATGGGATGTGTCGCATGCAAATGCACTTACGATGGAAGATGTGCAACAACAGGATCAAGAAGGCTATTATCACAGCAGCATGTCAAGGGATGGAGTGTACTGTCTAGGGGGGAAGGCCATGATTGTGTTAGCGGAAATCAGTGCGACTCAAGGTGCCACTTCGGTTTAAAAATGCATCCTCTGTTCGTACGCTGGACTACCAAGTATATGTTCCCATCATTGCACTGCTATACTTTACTCGACTTGGAAGACGATGGGTGTCTTTCTTGGCAACATGGCTGGACCCACGGCTAGTGGTGTTAAAGTCGGCTGGGGAGGGGCTTCATGTCAACGTTAAAACCGGTGTTTTGACGCCACGTTCCTACGGGAGGCTAGAAGGCAGTGCGGTACTGCATTCCTTGGCAGTGCGCTTTTATTATTGCTATTATGGCTGGCGGCAAGATTCATACGTATGCATAGAATTGGATTTACAATACTACAAGTGCTATCAATTTACAATGGAAAAGCAGCAGCACAGTATGGATGGCATGGAGAGATGGATGGCATGGGGATACGGTTCTTATTGAAGGAAGGATACTATTGAAGTACCACAAGGTAAGAGTGGTCGTTATGGGATGTGCACTTACGATGGAAGGTGTGTGATGATAGGATCAAGAAGGCTTTTGCTCTGCTAGATCACGTGGGCACGTCAAGGATGCTATTGTACTGCGTGCTATAAAGGCCACTTTTTAACATTGGTGGTTGCTACACACAACAGCATGATTGATCTCCATGTCAACGAACAACCAGTATCGTTCAACAACTTGTCACTGCAAATACATGTCATGTATCCGTCATTGCTAATGGCAAAAAGGTTAAGGGGTAGGAGAGCGTGTGTACTACTATAAGCAGCATACCAAAGAATGGCATCAATGGATATCGTTCATACCAGCATCATTCCACGAGGTGTCAGTACACTCTACAACAATGCATTCTATACGGCATTCGAGCTCCACCAAGGCATGAACAACAACAAGGCGTCGATCGTAAGGGTGACAGCCATGATGGACATTCGTCATAAGTCTGGATATCAAGCCCATCGCAACGTCGCATCACAAACTACCAGCACATCCTTGAGCCATGTATACATATCCATTTTGGACCTCTGCCATAATTCTATTGTGGTAGGGACAATAGGCTAGATGTAAATGTAACCAGATGCTGGTAATCCTCTTTCAAAAGGATACTTTTGGGGGATATTCCAAACAGTGTTACGCATAGAAAATGCATGGGTGATCAGCCGTCTGCTTCTTCATCGACCAATTTCAAAGGGCAACGATGGATGGCTCATTCCCTCATTATCGACGAGCATGATCAAGCTTTGTATTTGAATGAAAAGAGAAATCTTTGTCCTATGTTGCTATATACAAACGCATTTAGCTAGCTAAAGCGATTATGGGTTATCCAACGAGAGGTGCGACATACACCATAAGAGCAATACTACGCAAGATGTCTTACATCTACATGTAATCGGTGGCCCGACACTAGTGCGTATGTCGCACCTCTTGTTGGATAACCCCACAATCGTTTTAATTATCTTAATACGTTTGTGTATAGCAACATAGGACAAAGACTCTGAGTTTGTTATGACCACAAGATATGATATGTAAAGTTGGCAATCTTTCTAAGTGGCATGTTTACTTTTTTTTGGTGTTGTATGAAAGTTTTGATGTAAGGGATGTAATTGGCTATCGGGGAAACATAATCTGTTATCGCTTATCGGTATTTTGATACTGAACTGCTCGGGGATGTCGCGCCCCGAACGTCGAAAAATGTCGCGCACCTAGTGATCCCCTGCTGGAATGCTGGACAATTATACTGGATGGTGGCGCTTCTGTTTTCAATGTGACGTATAATGTCGAGAGCACGGTGTTTACGGCAAATGGAGCAATACCTTGTAGTGGGTATACTCTTGTTCGAAATAACAATCGCTTTCTTTTGTTCTTATTAGCGTCAGGAGAGTATTTGATGTAGTTTGCAAATTACAGTGGTTATGAGGAAAAAGTGATTGCAAGCAAAAGTAAAGAGAGAGATAAGATACATGAATCCATTCTTTCTTACGATTGTTTTGTACTTCAGTTATATTTGCGAATAATATACGGCATTTTGCGTTTGAATCTATAAATTATATGGAACCTCGGACCTCGGTCGGCTGAGTCATTATGTGGTACACTGGGTATAAGGAGGTGATTGGTGGGAGCAAGTTGGAGGCAGCCGTAATCCTGTAAAGACCCTTTTCATGAATTATGTTCCACGGTGTGGATCCATGGATTGTGCTACCATCTTTTCTTTATTGGATGAGAGAAAATAATAAATTTTGTATGACAAATAGGGTGATCTATTTGATCCTCATACATCTCTTGACTCATCTCTTATCTTCGTGTCCCATCACATTCTGCCCTTGTACTGCTGTCCCGACCAGTAGACATCCTTTATCCTTTCATCTCTTCTGGTCCTTGTCCTGTGGAAGGCACCTAGCATGTTCCACGTTGCTGCTTCCTTCTCCATCCCAAACCCATTTCCTCACACTCAGGTACTCAACTGACAAGAATCTTCTTTCATATGCCACAAGCCACATGATCAACAAGGCAATCCTCCTGCTTGGGCGATGGCCCTCATTGAATGGCTCCAAGCTTTGGGACCTCAACAGCTATCGATATCTATACACCTTCACACACAAGTTCCCTTTTGGCCTCCCTTTGTTGGCATGTTAGAGCTCCCTAGCAGTGGTCATCCCCACCTACTTTGTATGAGTAGTAGTATTCATTTTGAGTTGTTTTATGTGGTTGTTCTAGTGTATCGCAGCTTCTAAGATCGTGAACAATACTGTAAATCTGGTCTCTTTTCCTCGCTATATACCTGGATCCTAGTAGGGCACAAGACTGCCAAAGCAGAACCGAATCCCTGTATATATCGAACGTACCGCAAGCCAGAGGTCCTTTGTCACGAACGGCGTACATTTATCTTATATGTCGTATCACATTAGTAGTTAGAGCAGCAACAACATCAACAGCAACCTAGCTCTATTGCGGTCGAATAATGGAGGAATCAATCGATGGTCCTTTCATCTCCACTCGCTCACCAGAAATGGATCTCCATCTCTATCCTGAATTCAAGGCTGCGTTACCAGGTGTTGAGCTGCTGACCAAGATTTCTTTCGACGTCCATTACAGAAGCAGATCACAGACGCTTTTTGGCAGATTGTCCTCGCAACTTGGCACAGAATATATGTATGCCTCCTGTGATATTCTGGTTAGCCGTGAAACCAACGCGTCGACAGCCAACTGGCAGATATCCAATTCCGCCTTTCTGAAATCACACAGCCGCTGGATTTGTTCCTGCATCGGACTCTTCGACAGGGCCCTCCATCATGTGAAGCTGTCATTGAGTTCGTCAATGTCGTACACGAATTGTTGGTTGACACTGCATCCCGTATTAATCAACAGTGTGTTAACAGCATGTATCGGCATACTCAAGGCAGAGGTCAAACACCCTGTGTGGCTCCTACATCATCGGTCTCTCCTTTGTTGGATCCCAAAAAATTGGTAGACCATGTTTCTTAGGCAAAGGCAGTTTACCAAACCGGCAATCGTAATGGACACAAGTATAAGGGAAAGGCGTATTCCCTTCAGCATTCTCGCTCCGATGAACAACAGCAGCATTTGTCCAACACAAATGCCAACAATGATCGCAAGCAGGATTTTCAGCCACGTTCCCGCAATCGCGACAACAAAGGAAAAAATCGGGATTCCAATCAACAATAGGCGGCAACCTTCAACACTTCACTACAGCTTGGCTCAATCTCATCGATGACTCTTGGCTCCAGCGTATCATCCAACTTAGTTTCAAGGTTCCATTTACATGGCCACCTTCTCTCAATTCTCAAGTGCTTCAACCCACTTTCTCACTTCAAGAACATTGTATCGACATGGGTGCATCCATGTGAGTATCAATGGTTGGTTAGGTGCTCCTTTCACCCAAGGACGTAGATCTACGACGAGGAGATCCACTCTCACCTCTACTATTTAACCTGACTTTTTGAACCCATGCTTCGTTCAATCTCATCAAGTCAACTGCGAGATGTAAGATAATCACCAATGTCAATTCCTCGGCGTCACAGACCTGATCCAAAAATGATATCATGGCTCTTCCCCGTAAACCTAAAAAATCAGTGGATGGGAAACCATCCCACGATAAACCTATATCGTATGCCTCCCTCGCCACCAACCATCAGGAACCTATAGTTCTCTTCTCGCAAAGTAAGCATAGTCGCCAAGTATGCAGATGTGTTCTATGTAGGTGGTCCTCAAAAAGATTTAAGGCCAAAGCTAAACGTCACATGCCCTATGTGACTTGAAATTTTTTTTACTACTATAAAATCGATGTCGGGATACCGAATGGTGTAAATTTTGTGACTGGTTTCATAGTGCGGAGAATGACTTTACTATGTAACCTTGAGTTATGAAGAAAAGCAAAAGGGTTAAGCCCATTGTGCGCCGTGACGTGCATCACGTGCGCTGAAATTAATTTCCCAAGTATAAAGTCGATGTCTGGCTACGCGCTGGTATACATTTTGTGACTACTTTACTAGTGAAATAAAAATTGCACTTAATAGCTACATCCTCTGCATAAAAAGCCTTGAAGCCTACTTTGCATCGCTCCATACAGTCCCCCCACGTGACCTCCGAGGTCTGAGATTGGAAAGTCACTTATAAACGTGGTTCTTCGCTACAGAATGGTATATCACACGATGGTCTGCGACGACAAAAAATTCCGCGTGTTTTTGCATGTCCAACTTTGTCCCTCTAACTACAACGGCCTGTTACGTTGCCTCCACGTGATCGCAGCGCCCTGGGATTTGAAATTCGCTTATAAACCCGACCCTGCGCTACAGAATGGTATATCGCACGATGGTCTGCGACGACAAAAAATTCCGCGTGTTTTTGCATGTCCAACTTTGTCCCTCTAACTACAACGGCCTGTTACGTTGCCTCCACGTGATCGCAGCGCCCTGGGATTTGAAATTCGCCTATAAACCCGACCCTGCGCTACAGAATGGTATATCGCACGATGGTCTGCGACGGCAAAAAATTCCGCGTGTTTTTGCATGTCCAACTTTGTCCCTCCAACTACAACGGCCTGTTACGTTGCCTTCACGTGATCGCAGCGCTCTGAGATTTGAAATTCAATTATAAACCTTACCCTTCGCTATCGAATGGTGTATCGCATGATGATCTACGACGACAAAAAAGTCCATGTGTTTTTGCATGTCAACTTTGTCCCTCCAACTAGAACGGCCTGTTACGTTGCCTTCACGTGATCGCAGCGCCCTGAGATTTGAAATTCACTTATAAACCCAACTATTGGCTACATATTGGTGTATGGCATAAACATGGTTGCATAGAAAACAAAATTGTTTGACTATGAGCATACAATAAAGGATGCAGATAGCGTTAGTAGCCATTATGATGACCCCACACACAGCCAGCAACCTGGGATGACAAGTACACTTATAAAACTCACCAAGACGTTCACTGTAGGGCATAAAACTGCAGCTGCAGAGAGACTCAAGCTGGTGCAATCAGGTTGACCTGAATCTCGCACTTGCTAATTGCAATGCAGGTTTCATGACATTGCTCACATTATGGACTTGACATGTTGGCAAGATCAGCAGCTACCAAAGGGGATGATGTGGTATGTTGTCAATGGTCATGCTATTATAAAGAAGTCATATTTATTGCAAGGCATATAGAAAAATAAAGGAGATAAAGGTATTTTGCATATAGTGAACAAAACTAAAGGACATACAAAAGAGAAAATGGCATAAAAGGGAAAAGGAGAGTAAGGCATAAATACACACAGCAGGCTAATGAACAAAAGGAGGTAAAACAAAAAGGATAATGGCTGTAGGAAAAAGAAAAGCAAAGGGAAAAGTGGTTATATGTGGGAGAGGGCCTAAAAATAGACAAACTTGATCATGTCAGGATTGCCTGGTTTCTTGGAAACAGCCTTCTCTTTGTCTTGCATAAAGGTCAACTTCATAGGAGTTATATAAGCCATAATTAAGTCATGCAAAGTTCTTGCTTCATCAATTCTTCCAACTGCCACCAAGGCTCGAACAGTGATAATATAAGCAGTCCTTGATGCACGCAGATGATTGTAGTTTTGGCCCTGGTTCACCATTCCTAAATGCGAGCGTTGGGCCCTGATGGTGTCCACTGGGAGAAAGACATTCTTGGCAAGGTATTCTTTTACTGATCTGGAACCCCTTGCTTTGCCAATATGAAAAAGTTGGTCCTATTATGATTATATAATCAATAATGATGTAAAACTAAGATAAAAGCACATGATGACTTACTGGTAAGGTTTGTCGTAATGCTTCCTCTGAACACAAAGTATGAATACGGAACCTGTTGGCAATTGTGGTCTGAAATCTGCGATCTAGAGGTGGGCGAAGAATGCCTGTAGCCATAAGCAGAGAGCCCTGCAAATAAGCATGGATGATGCTTTTAGCGTAATCATGCACTGGCGATGAAAAGAACTTGTATAATTGATTACGAAGGTCTGCATGCTCAATCATTGGAGTTTGTGTTTCCTCCCATGATACTACATCAGCCATCATGAGGTTTGCAACCTCCTGGTCCCTAGTAAATTACATAGCAAGCATATAAAAGATTAGCAATTTGAGATGATATGATTTGAATAAAAATGGTACTTACTGTTGCGATAATTTTGTTAATTGAACTGTAGGTGCAGCAATTGCCAGTTGAGTATCGATAGCTCGCATCCTTGGAACATGTGATCGATGGTTGTGTAGTTGTGGGGTACCAATGTACTGCTCAATCTCAAGGAATGAGTATGGCAACAATGTTGCCATATGAGCATTCTCCAAGATAAAGCGAGTAGACAGCTTGTTGAAAGCTGTCAATGCGAACACCTTGCGATTGAGTAAGAATGTTGAATTTGGAGCCCGATTTCTATGCAAGATTGCATATGCCTGGCGCCAGCCATCATGGTTTGTATCAGGGCGAGAAAACCAACCAGAAACATGGCTTGCAAGAAGGCATGCAGTTGTCCCACGACGAGCAAAAGATTGACGATCTCGCTGAGATTGAGGCTCCATATTGGCCATTGCCCATGTCCATCCTTCAAAAAGGCCACGCCATACAGAATACACCAATGATGACTTGATCCAGCAAATCGCGCCTTGTGTCTGCACCCAGCTCCTATATATAGAGTCAAACAAATGAGCAATATGTAATATATGCATAGCAAACAATGTACCTTAAGATTTGCTGCATCTCTTGTCGATGGCGAAGCAGAGATTGCAAGGAAACACGAATCTCTACACGAACGCCATCATGATATGATGGTGTTTCCTCCAAAGTGTTGGTACAGAATTTCTAGAAGGTAAAAGTTAATATATGGCCTTATTCATGTTGAGAACTGAAAACTTACAATAAAGCTATTAGCTTTGTTAGTGTAAACCTGCTCAGCAGGTGAGGGTGAAATGGGATTACAATGCTCACTTTAATGAACTTGTGTGCATCCGCAACTCAATGAAATGCCATGTGACTTTCACCTTCTTATAATACTTTTTGGTGCTCTATCGAATAAACATACGTTTGAAGCAGTCACACTATGAAAACAAAACACTTACTTATTGGATTCTGGTTTCAGAAACAGAAAAAAAACTTGTGAGACTGCTACAGTAGCGTACGTGACTTGCCATTGAAATCGTGTTATAAAACCCATATCCGCGCTACATGCTGATATAAATTTTGTGACTGTGTCGCTAATAAAATTCTAATTTCGCTTATGAGCTACATATTAAGGCTAATTTAATGAGTAACTTTCACTTTAACAAAGTTGTACACTCCAGGAAGTGGCTTGGGCTACTTGAACAATTTTTCCCATTATGAAACTATATGGTTGCACGTCGAATGGTATAATTGTCGGCATACTAAAGCATATCAAAACAAATTGCCTAATATAAGCATGTTTTACTATCCATTACTATCCCCAGCCAAATTAAGGTTTTTACTATCCAGGGGTTACTATCCTGCTATCCAGGGGGTGTCAGTGGAAAAGTGAACGTCGAAGTTTGTGACACAGAGCCATCCAATGACAGCCAAGAAGTGTGTAAACAATGGGGAATATTCCACTCTGTTTACAAACGTTACCCAATATGGAGTCGTTTTCCTTCCATTACTTTCCATGAGGCTATCCAGGGGGCGTTGCTATCCATTTACTATCCAGGGGCGTTGCTATCCATTTACTATCCAGGGGCGTTGCTATCCATTTACTATCCAGGGGCGTTGCTATCCATTTACTATCCAGGGGGCGTTGCTATCCATTTACTATCCAGGGGGCGTTGCTATCCATTTACTATCCAGGGGGCGTTGCTATCCACTTGCTATCCAGGGGGATACATCTATTTTGGGGACAGTCACTTAGTGATTGTACGTCCAAAAAACGTACAATGGATGGGGGAACGTACACAGCAGAGCGTACACAAGTAGGGTTAAGGTTTTAGGGTTTAGGGTTTAGGGTTTAGGGTTTAGGGTTTAGGGTTTAG